TGCCCTGCACCCAGCTTCAGCTTTTACAGACTGCCTCCATATTGCACCTTCGACCTCGGACTGGACTCGGACCTCGCCACTCGGTTAACCCACGAGACCAGCACACCCAGACTGGGTCCCTCAAGCAGTTCCTGTTGAAAATTCACAGCCATGCATTTGAAACACTTGATTTCCACCCCCCACAAAATCCTGGGGACCGTAGGTTGTTAAGGGAATTATAGCTCTGTGAGGGATAAAAACTATAGTTCCCATTATCCTTTTGGGTGCATGTTGTGGATGTGACCACAGCACACACTGTCCTTGTCAGAGGACCCTGGAGGATCTAGATGTGTTTTCTGAGGTGAAGCATAAGACAGTTGAGGCCTCTTGTACTGTTTTTCAGCTCAGGCTGAGTGTACTCAGTGAGGGGACGGCTTCAAGTGCTTTGAGCTCTTTGAGGCTGTGTTTGTGCCTGGGGACACCTGTTGCCATGGAAGGCGAGGGAGGCCCTGCGGCTCGTGGCTCACAGGCTGCCAAACAGCTGCCAGACCATTGCAGCCCTTCTGTCACTGCCTGCCCAATACCTGATGGACAGGGGCAGGCTGGATTTAAGTATCGGGCATTTGCTTGCCAGCTCTCAAGAGAAGCAAACCCACCGCGACTGTATGCCTTGATCCTTCAGCACCCTAATGCTTTAATCTATGCAGATGAGCAGTAAAACCACTTCACTGCTGGAACGTCCCATTGATAGATGTACTGTGTCTGAAGGCCTTATTAAGCCATGCCCACTCTCAGTTCTAAGGTGGCTTTAGAAGGCAATGGAGTTAAGACCTGCCAAGGAAGCTGGAAAATATCTTCATGTACGCGACAACGGCATCAAGAGTCTTAATAGCACAAGGATGGAAGAATGAGGAAATCCCGACTAAAGAACTATGGCAAGAGAAACTGATGGAGTACGCAGAATTGGCAAAACTGACACATAAACTACAGGACAAGGATAACTGTGACTTTAAAGATGAATGGGAACCTTTTACAAAGTACTTAAAGAAACAACAAAGTGAACTGGACTCCTTGGCAGGTTTTAAATAAACACTCTCAAACTTTTTACTGACAATAACCAGTCAGATAAATTAAGGATCTATACAGTTCTGACCATAAAGAAAGCTGGACCATAAAGAAGGCTGATCGCCGAAGAATGGATGCTTTTGAATTATGGTGCTGGAGGAGACTCTTGAGAGTCCCATGGACTGTAAGAAGATCAAACCTCTCCATTCTGAAGGAAATCAGCCCTGAGTGCTCACTGGAAGGACAGATCCTGAAGCTGAGGCTCCAATACTTTGGCCACCTCGTGAGAAGAGAAAACTCCCTGGAAAAGTCCCTGATGTTGGGAAAGATGGAGGGCACAAGGAGAAGGGGACGACAGAGGACAAGCTGGTTGGACAGTGTTCTCGAAGCTACCAGCATGAGTTTGACCAAACTGCGGGAGGCAGTGGAAGACAGGAGTGCCTGGAGTGCTCTGCTCTAGGGGGACACGAAGAGTCGGACACGACTAAACAACAAACAACAACAGCACAGTTCTGTAACATGCAGAGAATAGCATTTGTAGAGAAACCAGAGATTGGAGCTGAGGAAAGTCGGGGGGGTTACTTTATGGGGGGGATTCAAGGATGATATGTTTTAAGATAATATGTTTTGTTTAAATTCTTAATAAAAAAAAATTTTTTAAAAAGAAGGCAATGGACTTGCTCATCAGAATCTCAGGCTGGAGGAGGCCAGGAGTCAATCTTGTTCCACCACTATGAGGCAGGACTGTTCATTCACCAGACCAACCTCCTCCACCACCCCAACCCAATCAACCTGCACAGTCTAGAAACTGAAAACACATACTCTTTGAGAAGGGATGCAGCTCAGTCATAGATCATCTGCCTTGCATGCAGAAGGTCCCAGCTTCAATCGCCAGCATCTCCAGGTAGGACCAGGGAAGATTCCCCTGCCCAAAACCCTAGAGAGTCACTGCCAGTCAGTGTAGACAATACTGAGCTAAGGGGACAAGTGGCCTGACTCGGTATTAAGTAGCTTCCTATACTTGTGCTATGGGACGCGGGTGGCGCTGTGGGTTAAACCACAGAGTCTAGGACTTGCCGATCAGAAGGTCAGCAGTTCAAATCCCGCGACAGGGTAAGCTCCCGTTGCTCGGTCCCTGCTCCTGCCAACCTAGCAGTTCGAAAGTACGTCAAAGTGCAAGTAGATACATAGGTACCACTCCGGCAGAAAGGTAAATGGCATTTCCGTGCGCTGCTCTGGTTCGCCAGAAGCGGCTTAGTCATGCTGGCCACATGACCCGGAAGCTGTACGCCGGCTCCCTCAGCCAGTAAAGCGAGATGAGCACCGCAACCCCAGAGTCGGCCACGACTGGACCTAATGGTCAGGGGTCCCTTTACTTTTACCTTTATACTTGTGCTACAGAAAGTGCTAAAGAACAAATAGCTCCAGGTGGCTCTGGAAAGAAAGCCAACTATGAACTGAAAGGTAAGGCAAAAATCCCAGGTTTGGGACCAGTCTGACTTCAGAAGCAAACCAAGTGGTTGCTGTGGTGAAGAAGGACCCGTGAGAAAGCATGTGACCCTAGAACAGGCTTCCTCAACCTTAGCCCTCCAGATGTTTTGAGACTACAAATCCCATCATCCCTGACCACTGGTCCTGCTAGCTAGGGATCATGGGAGTTGTAGGCCAAAAACATCTGGAGGGCCGAGGTTGAGGAAGCCTGGCCTAGAACCTTCTGCAACATTACCAGGGATTCTGGGGTGAAAATTTGGGGTTGCTTGGGGCAGCCAAATGTACCATAACTTAGTATCAGAGCAGAAGCTTGACATACAGAGGATCCCGCGTTCTCTGGCATCTCCAGTTAAAATTTTGATGGGAAAGAATCTCTGTTGAGATCCTGGAAGGGTCCTAACAGACAGTGCGGACAAAAGTGAACTACATGAACAAATAGTGCCTTGGCAAATCTAAGAACATAAGAAGAGCCAAGCCCACAAGCAGGACCCTTGCACAAGAACAACTCTCCTCTCCTGCAGTTTCCAGCAACTGGTATTTGATAGCATTCCTGCCTAAATCTGGCAGTGAATCAGGCTTGCTCCATACTGCAGCAATAAAAAGGTAAAGGGGACCCCTGACCATTAGGTCTAGTCGTGGCCGACTCTGGGGTTGCGGCGCTCATCTTGCTTTACTGGCCAAGGGAGCCGGCGTACAGCTTCCAGGTCATGTGGCCAGCATAACTTAGCTGCTTCTGGCGAACCAGAGCAGTGCACGGAAATGCCATTTACCTTCCCGCCAGAGCGGTACCTATTTATTTACTTGCACTTTGACATGCTTTCGAACTGCTAGGTTGGCAGGAGCAGGGACCGAGCGACGGGAGCTCACCCCAATTTACCCCAAATGGAACTGGGACGAGAGAAGATGGCGTCTGCCAGCAGTAAAATGACTTTTGGATGGATTTGGCATAAACACCAGCATGTGAGGAGATACTGCAACAGCAGCGGAGCATCATACATATAAAATCCACACAGAAACACGTCATTGCTTATTTCAACTCTCTTGTGGAAACAACTCAGAGGCCATGAAAGAAGGAAGGTTAACAACAGGAAGATTTAAAGTAACTATTGGAAAGACTATTCAAGGCAGCAGAGATATGAGATGATCGGAGACCCCCCCCCCCCGAACTTGAAGCATAGGAAGTCCCAACAAAAAAATTATAATTTAGGCAGAATATTTGGACTATTTGATATGTACTTGCATAATTTGGAACATTCAATGTGATTTGATTGGATTGTTAAAATGGGAAACTTAATAAAAATGATTTAAAAACAAAAAACAACAAATGGAACTGGGACATGCCATTAGCCCAAACCATTGTGAAACACAGCCACTCACCTTTGACTGTGACCAGCACAGAGCTGTAGGTTTGCCCTGCCAGGTTGGAAGCCGTACATGTGTAGAGGCCGTTGTCAACCTGTTTGCAGAAGAGGATCTTCAGCACAAAATTCTCCTGCTCATCCTCGTAGATGATGTGCCTCCGCCCTTCGAGGATGACTTCGCCATCCTTCTTCCAAACAATCTCTGGCTTGGGTTCTCCCGTCACGTAGCAGCTCATCTTGGCATGTTTCCCCTCTGTGACGGTGAAAGTACGTGTCGTCACCCCATAGTAAGAACCACCATCGCCCCGGAAGCTCTTTGCCGTCAAACTGGCGGCCCTCTCGTAGTCAAGGGAGAGGCTCAGGCCGAGTTTCGACCGCCCTTCCATGGAGGTGTATGCCGAGGAGATTAGAGAGTCGGCAGTGGTTAGGTCTGTCTTTCTGATTTCTTCTCGCCTTTTTTGCAAGTGTGAGAGCAGAGGGGAGGTCTTGCTGCTGTCTGTGTCTATAGCGTGCCTTGTACCACCTGGGCTGTAAGAATCTGGCGTGTCCACCACCAACGCAGCTGCTGCGCTGGTGGCCCCAAGAGGGTTCTCTGCACGGCAAGTGTACGTCCCGCTGTCCACCAACCGAGTGCTTTGGATCTTGAGCGCATTTTTCTCCCCCTGGGTCTCAATCTGGATGCGGTTGGACTCTGACCGACCGCCCAGGTGCCTCCCGTCTTTCTCCCAGTTGACCGAAAGGGGTGGGCTACCCTGGACAATGCATTTGAACATGGCGTCTTCCCCCATGATGACTCGGATAGAAGTGGGTTTCTGGATGAAATAAGGTGCCGATTCTGTCACAGTGGTCTGCTCCCCAACTTTGATGCTAACTGCGGCAAAAGCTTCCCCAATCGAGTTCTTGGCCCTGCAGATATATTGACCGCTGTCGTCCAGACTCAAGTCATAAATGGTTAAACGATATAGGTCACCGTCTTCCACCATTTTAAATCTTCCCCCTGTCTGGATAGGAAGTTTATCCTTCTCCCAGCTCACCAGCGGGATGGGATTTCCAATGATCTGGCAGCTGAGTGTGGCATCTTTCCCCATGGATACCACAAAGGCCTTAGGCCTGGTCAGGAACCTGGGGACTCCACTGTAAGAGCTGAAATCCATCTTGATGGCCTGGAAAGAAAAAAAGAGGGGGAAAGCAACTGTAAGAGCAATGCCAGGTTGTTGTTTTTTAACCCACCATAGTATTAAAGTGTCTGACAGCAGCCACAAAAAGCCTGAATTTCTGGACCGTAATGTTTCCAGCTTTAAAGAACGCAGCGTCTGAGCTTCAGCTTGGTCTTTCATTACAGAGAATCCTCACCTGATTGCTTCAGGCAGTTAAGCCTGAACACATTCAAAGCCTATCTGACAAGAATCTGAGCGGAATTACAAAACTTCATTCATTTGCTGAGGATATACATATACATATACATATACATATACCGTATTTTTCACTCTATAAGACGCACCACACCACAGGACGCACCTAGTTTTTGGAGGAGAAAAACAAGAAAAAAAAAATTCTGAATCTCAGAAGCCAGAACAGCAGTGAAAGCAGCAATCCCTCTTGCTGTTCTGGCTTCTGGGATAGCTGCGCAGCCTGCATTTGCTCCATAACACGCACACACACTTCCCCTTACTTTTTAGGAGGGAAAAAGTGAGTCTTATAGAGCAAAAAATATGGTACACTGGGACGTGGGTGGAGCTGTGGGTTAAGCCACAGAGCCTAGGACAACTATCAGAAGGTCAGCGGTTCGAATCGCCGTGACGGGGTGAGCTCCCATTGCACAGTCCCAGCTCCTGCAGTTCGAAAGCACGTCAAAGTGCAAGTAGATAAATAGGTACCACTCTGGCGGAAAGGTAAATGGTGTTTCCATGTGCTGCTCTGGTTCGCCAGAAGCAGCTTAGTCATGCTGGACACATGACCCGGAAGCTGTACGCCGGCTCCCTCGGCCAATAAAGCGAGATGAGGGCCGCAACCCCAGAGTCAGTCACGACTGGACCTAATGGTCAGGGGTCCCTTTACCTTTACCTATACATATACATTTGGATGCTAAAACATTTACCCTCTCCAAGCTAATGACCATTTCACCACAATTTGAAATAGGTAACATTCATCAATCTTGTATAAGGTATACGTGAAGGATCATTTCCACCCCCAGTGTTCAGCTCCAAGGGCTTTCTGGCGGTTCCCTCACTGTGAGAAGTGAAGTTACAGTGAACTTGGCAGAGGGCCTCCTCAGCACCCACCCTGTGGGGAATGCCTTCCCATCAGATGTCAAAGAGATAAACAATTATATGACTTTCCAAAGACATCTGAAGAAAACTCTATCGGGAAGTTTTTAATGATGTTTCATGATGTTTTTTATATTCTGTTAGAAGCTGCCCAGAGTGGCTGGGGTAACCCAGGCAGATGGGCAAGGTATAAGTAAATAAATAATAATAATAATAATCAGCAAGTGGGGGCATGCTCTGGATTTCTTTTTGGGTAAATCAGTTTTTAAATAACTTTTTGTTAATACAGTTGGAAATTGACCACTGAAATGAAAACTGCAGGATAAGACTTTGCAAGGCCAGCATATGCTATGACCAGTCCTGTTATGACCAGTCCAGAAGCTGCCCAGACAAGATTGGCTCAAGTGTTGCCTACAGACCATCAGCTGGCGATCTCTTAAAGCAGGGTAGGCAATGGGGTGTCCTCCAACTAATCCAGAATGCGACAGCTAGACTGGTGACTGGGGACGGCCGCCGAGACCACATAACACCGGTCTTGAAAGACCTACATTGGCTCCCAGTACATTTCCGAGCACAATTCAAAGTGTTGGTGCTGACCTTTAAAGCCCTAAACGGCCTCGGTCCAGTATACCTGAAGGAGCGTCTCCACCCCCATCGTTCTGCCCGGATACTGAGGTCCAGCGCCGAGGGCCTTCTGGCGGTTCCCTCATTGCGAGAAGCAAAGCTACAGGGAACCAGGCAGAGTGCCTTCTCGGTGGTGGCGCCCGCCCTGTGGAACGCCCTCCCATCAGATGTCAAAGAGATAAACAACTACCTGACATTCAGAAGACATCTTAAAGCAGCCCTGTTCAGGGAAGTTTTTAATGTATGACATATTAGTGTATTTTTGGTCTTTGTGGAAGCCACCCAGAGTGGCTGGGGAAACCCAGCCAGATGGGCGGGGTACAAATAATAAATTATTATTATATTATTATTATTCCAAGTGCTGTGAACTATAACTCATCCCTGACCACTGGCCATGCTGACAGGGGCTAGAAATGGGAGAGAATTTTGGTTCAGTTCACTTTCTAATAGAAACATCCCAAATTCATACTTCTTGAAACTTCTTGAACCAAAACGCAGCTCTTCTTTGGAATTCACATTTCTGAATTTTGTAGTGCACTTCTCCAACCAAATGATGTATACAACAATGTGGGAGAGTGCCTGTTTGTGAAAATAACATACAAAAATGCATTACACTAGGGAAAACTGCATACAAAAATGTGTCTATATTAGGCAAAATTTGAACTAAAATGTTGGTGAATATTCATGAGGAATTCTAAAAAAATTGAAATTGATGCAGAAATGAACTTAAGAATAGAAAAATTAGAAACTGAGAAACTGCCAAAATCTGCCCATCCCTAGCTGAGGCTGATGGGAGTTATAGTTCAAAACATGTGGTGGGCACCACAGTGCTTCATATATTCAGCTCTTTGTATTTTCCCAACCAAGTCCACTAAAAGTTGCAGTATAATACCTCATCCCCACACTGAAAAACCACAAGCACAAGCACCACTTGTATGCACATCTCTCAAGAAGACTGAGACAAGTCATCATACGACCAACAATAGACTATAAAGCAAGTACATACCCCAAAAGTCTGACTAACCCTCCCAAATTAGGAGTTTGCACCAGTTGATTAACTCAGTGGAAAACTGATATCATTGGGTCCAAATATGTGTCTTTGATGATGCTACTGAAAATCCATTCATCATTTCTACCCATTTATTATCAGTCCATGATTCACAATGTGAAACGATGCCTTTATTTAGACTATCTGGTGCTGGAGATACAAAACCCAACTACTAGCTTTTGTATCACCGAAAGATGGTTAAATTCTTAGCAACTGAAAAACATAAGAGAACCCCTAATGGATCAGGCCATAAGTCCATTTAGTTCAGTATGGTGTTTCCCACAGTGGCCAAAATCTCACAAGCAAGACATGAGAACCATGGTCCTCTCTTTTGGGTCCTAGGACCCTCATACCTACGGGTACCTACCCTTGTAACTCCTGATTTGTCCCATGGAGGACCTTACATTCTTCAAACAAAAACACCTTGGAGGTCCCAGGCCACAGAGAGGTTAGGCTGGCCTCAACCAGAGCCAGGGCTTTTTTGGCTGTGGCCCCAATCTGGTGGAACGCTCTGTCACAAGAGACCAGGGCCCTGCGGGACTTGACATCTTTCTGCAGGGTCTGCAAGACAGAGCTGTTCCACCAGGCCTTTGGTCAGGGCACAGTCTGACTCCCTCCTTTGGTAATCCTCACAGAACTCTAGCCCAATGGTTCATTTTGTGGTCTGATGCTCTTTCATGTTGTTTGAAATTGTCCACTAGGGTCAAAAGGAGCCCATTTGTTATCGCTAACAAAAATTTTATATTGTGGATGGTTGCCATTAATTTGATTTTGGACTGATTTTAGAACGAATTGATTTTAGAATGCTGTGTTAGTTTTATTGTTGTTAGCCGCTCTGAGCCCGGCTCCGGCTGGGGAGGGCGGGATATAAATAAAAATTATTATTATTATTATTATTATTATTATTATTATTATTATTTCTGGTATCCCCCAGCAACTGGTGCTCAGAGGCATACTTTTCCTGAAGCTGGAGTTTGAATATAGCCATCATATATTAGTAATTCAAGATTCTTGTATTAATTTGCATGTTCCTTAACAGCTGAGGTCTAGGACACCCCCATATCCCTGCCTGCCTGATCACTGGGTGGTTATCAGCAGCTCCTAGTGATGATTTATTTATTTTAAAATATTTTAAAATAAGTAAATCAGCACTAGAAGCCCCTGAGAGTACCTGGATTAGAAAAGCCAACTAAGGGCTCACCCTTTTGTTGCCATGTTTCTAGGAACAGGTCTGGACTTTAAAACACCATGTTCAAGCGTGGTTTTGTCATTGCAGCTGTTTATTTGTGTGTCTGTTTTGCCCTGGTGCTATAGTAGGGAAAAGCTGGATTTTTCTTGGATTGGGTTTTCCACCGACTGCTGTTTGCTCCTTTTCAGCAGCAAAACACAGTAGGGCAAAACAAACAAACAAATGCCTTGAAGACAGAGCTTTAAAGTGCATTCCTGGGCCTGGAAAGAACCACTGCCTGATTTGGGATGGTCCAGGCAGTTCCCTTGCACAGGTCATCGAGCCGAAGGGGTACAAAATAGAGAAGATCCATAACTGAGAAGATCCCTTTTGGGGTGGCTAATTTTGGCCTCGCACAGGGCGCCGTATTACAAAATATTACCAAAGCCCACCCCTGAAAGCACAGCACAAAAGGAAGAGTGGATGTGGTCTGAGTCGGCGGTCAGCACTGTGTGTTGTAGCAGCGTATTTCATAAACGAATTATGTGCATCTTGAAGATTTCACTTTTGTCTCACCTGAAATTCCTGGCAAGTCAGTTTCACTAGTATCATGAAGGAGAAATTCTTATCCTTTTTTATCTCCACACCTTGCATGATATTATAAACCTGTATCCCTTCCCCTTTGTCACCATTTTTCTCAACTAAAAATCCCCAAATAAATTTTAATGTGAAAAGTCCTCCCAGATTGATATGATATATGATATGATATGATATGATATGATATGATTATATTATATTATATTATATTATATTATAATTATATTATTATTTTAATTTTCCACCCTTCCCCCCACCCCTCCACACACACACGGAGCTCATTTTGTGTCCGTGGTTCTTCCCCTCCCCATTTTTATCCTCACAACCACCCTGAGAGGCCGGTTAGGCAGAGAGGCAGTAGTGGCAGGCCCAAGACACCTTCATGGCTGAGTGGTGAATTCGAACCATGGCCTCCCAAGGCTGTAGCCCCACACAGTAACTCTTACCTCACACTGGCATGGGGCGACTGTGTGGAAATTTCCCCCCTCACGTTACAGGGCTTGTTTGTATCTTGTGTAATTCAAAAAGCAGTACAGTGGTACCTTGGTTTACAACCATAATCCATTCCGGAGGTCCGCTTGTAAACCATAACAGGTTGTAACCCAAGGATAGCTGTCAACTTTTCCCTTTTTTTAAGGGAAATTCCCTTATTCCTTGCAAGAAAAGGGAAAAGTTGACAGCTATGAACCCAATACGTGCTTTTGCCAATGGGGCCTCCAAAAAATTTTTGTTCGTAATCCCAAAAAAAAAAGGGGGGGTTGTAATCCCCAAAAAGGTTGCAAACCAGGAAACGCACTTCCGGGTTTGACATGTTTGTAATCCAAAATGTATGCAAACCAAGACATATGCAAACCAAGGTACCACTGTCCCTTCTCTAACCATGGCCCCCCACCACACCCCACACAAATTTGAGCCCCAGAAAAGCTTCCATTGAAGAGGGCAGCTGCCTGCTTCTGAGATTGGGGGGGGGCTTGGTGAGAGAAAGTTACCTCAGAAATTGGTTTTCAAAAACTACAAACTGATCTAGCACCTGGAACCAATAAGCTAATTTCACGTTTAGCATCTGAAAGCACTGGATAATGCCTTTTCAAAGGGCCAGGTTGTTAGGGGCGACTCCAGAAAACGTTGTTCAAAATGCCTGCCCTCAGAAGGTTGACAGTTGCCTAGAGTATATACAGGTGAAACTCGCAAAATTAGAATACTGTGGAAAAGTTCCTTTATTTCACTAATTCAACTTCAAAGGTGAAACTAATATATGAGATAGACTCGTGACATGCAAAGCGAGATATGTCAAGCCTTTATTTGTTATCATTGCGATAATCATGGCGTACATGAAAACCCCAAATTAACAATCTCAGAAAATTAGAATATTCAAGGAAATCAGCAAAACAAGGATTGCAAATCGAGCAAGATTGGACCTATGAGGAGTAGAAGTATATCTCACTTTGCATGACATGAGTCGATCGAAAATATTAGTTTCATCTTTTAAGTTGAATTACTGAAATAAATGAACTTTTCCACGATATTCTAATTTTTCGAGTTTCACCTGTATATATCAATTTTTCACAGATAAAATACAATTCATCAAACATTTTCTAGTATACAGCTGCCTATAGTTCCACTTCTGACGCAAAGATAAAACATGGAGGAAATATGCAGTAGAGGTCACTTGCTGCCATTAGTGGTTTAGTGTTGCCAGCACAAAAACCAGAACTTCTGGGAAGATTTGAGTCAGCATCCTTCTCTCATAAATTCAGGCCCTACGTGAGGGTCATGTGGTTTTAATCGGAGTTGCTGGATTGCAGCCCAGTTTGCACAGTAAACCACAGTTAAAACAAACTATGCTTTATTGTGAATCCACAGTGTCAACGTAAGAATTGTTGTTGTTGTTTAGTCGTTTAGTCGTGTCCGACTCTTCATGACCCCATGGACCAGAGCACGCCAGGCACTTCTGTCTTCCACTGTCTCCCGCAGTTTGGTCAGACTCATGCTGGTAGCCAGACACTGTCCCACCATCTCGTTCTCTGTCGTCCCCTTCTCCTTGTGCCCTCCATCTTTCCCAACATCAGGGTCTTTTCCAGGGAGTCTTCTCTTCTCATGAGGTGGCCAAAGTATTGGAGCCTCAGCTTCACGATCTGTCCTTCCAGTGAGCACTCAGGGCTGATTTCCTTCTGAATGGATAGGTTTGATCTTCTTGCAGTCCATGGGACTCTCAAGAGTCTCCTCCAGCACCAGAATTCAAAAGCATCCATTCTTCGGCGATCAGCCTTCTTTATGGTCCAGCTCTCACTTCCATACATCACTACTGGGAAAACCATGGCTTTAACTATACGGACCTTTGTTGGCAAGGTGATGTCTCTGCTTTTTAAGATGCTGTCTAGGTTTGCCATCGCCTTTCTCCCAAGGAGCAGGCGTCTTTTAATTTCGTGACTGCTGTCACCATCTGCAGTGATCATGGAGCCCAAAACGTAAGAATATAGTGTTGCAAAAATCAATGTTTGAGGCTGAAGGAAATCTCCATGTGGTAATGAGAAAACAAAGGGTGTTTATTGCTAGCAATAATGGCTCAGTGGGATCCCTCTCCAAAAGCTGAGCAAAACCCCAAAAGGGTGGGTCCTCCTTTATATACATAGCTGTTATCTATTAAAGCAATACATATGCATAAACTTCCTCCAATCTAAAGTTACAACACAATACTAATTATACCCGCCAGAAGCTCGGCTCTTCCCTCGCCGGTCCTGGAAGGATCCTTTAAAAAAGTCCCATATGCTCAGAGACTTTGCACCTGTTCATTGGGGGAGATAGGAAGCCCAGAGCACTTGTTCTTTAGATGTCCCTTTTATGAAGAGGCACGTAGTGAGACCATTGATCCCCTGCTGGTGAGATTCGCTGTCCTCCCGGAAAAGCAAAAATTTGACCTTTTCCTGTCAGGCAAAGATCATAAGACGACCCGGATGGTCACCAGATTCTGTGTACAGATCTGTAGGCACAGACCATCCCCCGACCTAAACTAGTTCATTAAGAAAATCCCCAAACTCGGTTCCATGGGTGACTCTGGGTCATCTCTCTGAGGTAGCTTATCTTAAAGTTTTAAGTGTCTATACGCTTATCGCACTTATAAATTTTAAATTTATTGTTGTACATTGTTTCAAATGTTTGTTTTCCTTCTGGGAGTGGACCCCCAAATGTGTTTTATAAGCTGGTCTCTGACCGTAATATATCTATTTATCATCTATCTATCTATCTATCTATCTATCTATCTATCTACTAATTATACCATGTATGGTCTTTCCTTCATTACCTATTCATTGAGCAAGCGAACAAAGAACTCTCTCTAAGCCGCACCTTGCTGCACGTGTTCTCTTTGCATTCCTTTCTACCTGAGAGGGTTGGGACATTTGAGCAGAGCTTGTCTCCTTTTCAAATGTAGACACTTAGGGATGTGTTTACAACCTTGGGAGTAAAGATGCTCTTAGCAGAAGATTAGGCGTTACAAAAAAAACAATAGGCACAAGGCCTCTACTGCCTAGTTAGCTGAGCTTATAGGTCTCTATGCGCATCAATAGATTTTGCTTTATTAATCTGTAAAGCGCTTTGAGGTTTTTTGCAATCAAGCAGTGAATAATTTTATGAAATAGGCTCGCACTCTGTTTTCACAGTGGCCAACAAGATGCCCATGAGAAACCTTCAAGCAGGTCCCTGGGTGCAACAGCACTTTCCTCACTTGTGATTTTGCACAACTTGCATACCAACTCCAACAGTGGAGATAGAACATAACTATTGTGTCTAGAAGCAAAATGGCTACAGCTGGGAATAGCCATCACTATCTCTTGTAAGAGCGAATACCACAGATTAACTGTCTTCTGCAGTGGAAATAACTAAATTAATGGTTCTTATTAGCCTGAGTAGTGCCGAGTTAAAAACAAAAGAGGAATGCAAATAGGTAAAATTGATGGTAATTGCAGCCAGATAGGTTATAGCGAGTAATCAAGAAAATGCAGAAGAGCTAGGGGTGAACCAATGGAGGGGAAACTGAATAATATTATAATTTTAGAATACCTAACTGTGAAGATACACAGAATGAAAGGGTTTAAGGTCAGTGAGAAAGAGGAGGATTGCTTTGAGAAGATATTGAACTATTTGAGTAGGTTTGAACAATCTGAGGCATTAAAATGTTAAAAGTTAAATAAACCTTGTGGAAGGAGGGGTGTTAAGGTATATAGAAGTGTACATATGGTTGATTTGAATATGTTATTATTGAATATTATTGAATATGTGTATTATTGAATATTGTATACCCAATGTATCAGCCACCTGGGGGGTTTCACTGTTTGTGTTTTGGTGGTTGGTAAAAAAGAATTAAAAACAAAACAAAACACAAAACTGTCTTCTGCATGAAGAAGTCCTTTTTTTGTTACAATATTATCTACATTTCCACAAAATACACAATTTTATCCACTTCTATCATGTCACCCCCTTATTTGTCTTTTCTCTAAACTAAAAAAAACAAGGAATGCTGTAACCTTTCCTCGTTGCGGAGTCGCTCCAACCTCTTGATGATTTGGGTTTGCTGTTTTCTGAACCCTTGCCAACTCTATAATGTCCTTTTTTGAGGGTGAGGTGGACAGAACTGTACACAGTATTCCAAGCGTACACCATCAATTTGTATGATGACATAATGATATTGGCAGTTTTGTGTTTCGTAATTATCTCTCCCATGGAATTTGCATTTCTCATAGCTGCTGCACACTAGACCGACACCTTTATAAAACTATTCATTACAACCCCAAGGTCTCATTCCTGGTCAGTCACCAACAGTTCAGACCCGCATAAGTGTATATGTGAGATTTATTTTTTTAAAAAAATTGCCCCAGTGTGAATCATTTTACACTTGGTAGCACTGAATGGCATTTGCCATTTTACTGCCCATTCACCCAATCTGGAGAGATATTTTGGATGCTCCTTGGAATTCCTAGTTACTTTAACTACCCTGAACAATTTTTTAATCAGCAAACTTGGCTACCTCACTGCTCACCCCTAGCCATAGAGCATCTACACAGAAGCAGGAAAACGTGGGTCCCAATTCTAATCTTTGGGGGACTCCCATTTTCTACATCCCTCTGTGTACACTGCTGAAAACATCTTGCTCTACTCCTCCCTAGTTCCTGATGCCGCCATGTTGCTGGGAAACAAATCAATTTTGTTGACCAAAACCACAAACAGTAACCATGGTTTGTTCTTGGCTTACAGCTCATGGATTGTTTGGAGGACGCAAACCATGAGCGAAGGTTCAGGAATCACAGTAAACTGGGAAATAAGCTGATTTCCCAGCCAGAATGGAAGGGTTGGGGAGACGATTAGCACACTGCATGCTCACGTTAAACCCTAGTTTGCTTTTAACCATGGTTTAACATTATGTGTGAAGTAGGTTGTGGGTAAGTGGAACTGGAAAGCTCCTGGTTTCGTTTCATTGAGAATAGCATCTGTTCATTTCCTCTCCTATTTCAGGTTCTCCAAATGTTAGAAACCTGTTCCCTTTTTAAAATGAAAGCTGGGAAATCTGGAATTTATGGTTCATTCTTCAGACAAGGGTGGCACCCTGTAGACACCCACCCATGCGCTTAACCCTAAGAAAACCTGGAATGCACCACTAATGGGGCAAAAGAGAAGGAAAACTCCAGGTGGCTGAAAATAGAGGCCCGACACATTTTGGAATTATCCATCTTTAAGAGTGTGCTTTAAGCAGAAACTCCAACCAAGTGCACAAACCCATTCATTTATTAATTTTCCATTTCAAGGACCTCCTGACTGTGTCACCCACCAGGAGGAAAAGTCAAGTGCAGGGGGGAAGGCCTGGAAGGAAGGGTTAAGGCACTGTTGGCCAAACTTGGCACTCCAGCTGTTTTGGGACTACAGTTCCCATCATCCCTGACCACTGGTCCTGTTAGCTAGGGATGATGGGAGTTGTAGTCCAAAACAGCTGGAGAGCCAAGTTTGGCCAACACTGGGTTACGGGCTCCATGCCACTGCCTGTCCTTTATAATGATTTCCCCTCTCCACCTCTTTATTGCTGTTAACCAGAAGACATATTTGCTGTCAGCACATAGAGTTCTACACCACCCTTAATCAATATGGGGACACCCGATTCTGGCAAGTTTTGACCTTGTGCCCCAAAGTTAGACCGCATGCTCATGCCATCCATGCCAGACCTCATACCAAAAGCCTAGAGTTGAGTTGAGTCAGCCATTTCTGCCCCAGATTGCTCATCAGCAGGCACAGATGCTACAGCCTGATCAGTTTTCTACTTCCTCTAATCCTTATATAAAACACTGTCAGCTCTTCTCCTCTCTTGAGCAAACGGCACTACTTCTCTGATGTTACAACGCCCTACCCTTCAGAAACACACTACTGGCCTCTCTCTGTGACACTTACTTCTTTCTGTCTGCAAACCTCCTTGGGTCGTTTTCTTGGCCGTCTTCCTATGTCGTGAAGGCTGAAATTTCAATTCAGTGGAGTAGGGTCAAGATATTAACTGATTTGCATGGAATTTCAGATATCGCTATATACAGTGGTACCTCGGGTTAAGTACTTAATTCCTTCCAGAGGTCTGTTCTTAACCTGAAACTGTTCTTAACCTGAGGTACCACTTTAGCTAATGGGGCCTCCCACTGCCGCCGCGCTGCAGGAACACGATTTCTGTTCTCATCCTGAAGCAAAGTTCTTAACCCGAGGTACTATTTCTGGGTTAGCGGAATCTGTAACCTGAAGCGTATGTAACCTGAAGCGTATGTAACCCAAGGTACCACTGTAATCCCTAGTGTAGTAAGTTAAGTCCTTTGGAGCAGGCATTTTCAAAAAAAAGTTTTTTTATCAACCGCCCTATTAGGCAATAATCTCTCTCCCTCCCCCCCCCCCCAGTGTGTCTCCCAACAAAAGTAAGATAATAAATAAATCTTGATTTCAGTGCAATCCTATGACTTTTACACTGTGCACACACCATTCATTTAAAGCTCAAACCTGCCCCCAATAAACCTGAGACCTGTAGTTTGTTAAGGGTGCTCAGGACTGCAGCCCCGAGAAGGGTAAACTTTCCAAGGTTCTTTGGAGAGGGTGCTTTAAATGTATAGTTGTGCGAACAGCTTTATTTCCAAGAAAGTGGGCTTAGGCGTGCAGCTTTAGCAAAAGTCGCGTTCCCTATACCTCCCTGTGTGTCCCACTGAAAAAAGTGCACACCTTCTATATGGATCTGCATTCTGCATAAATGCAAAAAGCAGGCATCGCTTGCCATCACAGACACTCCATGTCACTGAGCTACTGCTCTTAAAATAGACTCAGCTGTCATTCCCCATCTTTTTTCAGAAGCCCATCTGTAGAAATGCAAGCTGAGAACATGGGAGGAGGCTCTGGCAAGGCCAAATACTAGCAGAAGAAGAGTGGCGAGGTCAGACAATTAACCGAACACAAAACTTTTTTGTGAGTCTTAGTACTTAGGATGAAAACAAGACAGGTGGTGGGAGGTAACCCTCAACATCACTCCAACACAGCACGTCCACTCCAAAAGAATTATCTCCCTCTCTTGGGCAGACACCAGCAACCTACACAGGTTACAAAATCAAAATCAAAAGTTAAATACCCTGTTCCTTCAATCCTCCTGCCCATCTTTTTCCAGTGCTGGTGAAACCACAGCCACAAGTCATACTAAGCCTAGAGGATAACTCTAATGTCTTGACCTTCATCTGTACTGCTAGCCCCAGTGCTACAGAAAACCACAAATAACATAGGCACAAGACACAAACAGAAAGAGAACTGGTTCCTGGCAAGCTTTTCTGGCCACCCAGATTCAAACTGAAATTCAGGTCCTTACCTGGAAGTCCCGTTAAACCTGGAAGTAGTAAGCCACTTTCATCGGGAGAGCAGATCTTTACTGAGTTTGCACAAAGCGGGTGAAGCAGGTGCAAGTGAGCATGGGGAGACCAACAGAATTTGGGTCGTACCCCCCCCTACCCAGCGTGAGAATAAAACAGAAACCCCAGTGAGGTAGGGGACGTGTTAAAGGTGATCCCCTAGTCCCACAGCAGAAGCTCCAGCGCTTAGAGTTTAGCCTGTGAGCAGCCCCTCCCTTGGGCTGCCGTCCTCCAGTCAAGTTAGATTGCTGACGTTCCTGCTCCTCTCCCCGCCCTGCCTCCGATTTCCAAAATAGCCTTGGGTGTCATTTACCAGGGAGATTAAATTTCATGCGGTGGAGAGACGAAAGGGCATCGCTTTAGGAAACCCACCGGGGGCAGACCAAAAAGTCCATCTCCAGAGAGCTTGCGTGCAGATGAACCCTGTCCATGGGGCTGGACCTAGTGCTGTTTCTCAAGTGCTTTCCCCGGAGCCAAGTGACAGGTGTCAAACTGGGAAATGACGAGGGAGTGTTACAAGCCTGCTGGCAAAAGTTGATCAGGCTTCTTGCCTACGTCAACTTCAGAAGGGGAAGAAAGATGGGAGGCTGGGGGTGTCGTTCCAAGGGGCATTTCTGCTCCTGGATGTAAATTAAAAATATTATTGACTGAACCTTATTTTTGGCCTCCTATAGGCTGTAAGGGACATGGGTGGCACTGTGGGTTAAACCACAGAGCCTAGGACTTGCCGATCGGAAGGTCAGTGGTTCGAATCCCCGCGATGGGGTGAGCTCCCATTGCTCAGTCCCTGCTCCTGCCAACCTAGCAGTTCGAAAGCACGTCAAAGTGCAAGTAGATAAATAGGTACCGCTCTGGCGGGAAGGTAAACGGTGTTTCCGTGCGCTGCTCCGGTTTGCCAAAAGCGGCTTAGTCATGCTGGCCACATGACCCGGAAGCTGTACGCCATCACCCTCGGCCAATAAAATGAGATGAGCGCCGCAACCCCAGAGTCGATCACGACTGGACCTAATGGTCAGGGGACCCTTTACCTATAGGCTGTAACATTTTAGGGACAGGTGATGAACAGGCCTACTCCCAAAATTACTCAGTCCCAGGGTCAGACCATAAAGAAGGCTGATCGCAGAAGGATTGATGCTTTTGAATTATGGTGCTGGAGGAGACTCTTGAGAGTCCCATGCAAGAAGATCAAACCTATCCATTCTGAAGGAAATCAGCCCTGAGTGCTCACTGGAAGGACAGATCCTGAAGCTGAGGCTCCAATACTCCAGCAGACTCCCTGGAAAAGACCCTGATGTTGGGAAAGATGGAGGGCAGAAGGAGAAGGGGACGACAGAGGACGAGATGGTTGGACAGTGTTCTCAAAGCTACCAACATGAGTTTGCCCAAACTCCGGGAGGCAGTGGAAGACAGGAGTGCCCGGCGTGCTCTGGTCCATGGGGTCACGAAGAGTCGGACATGACTAAATGACTAAACCAACAACAACAAGGGTCAGACCTTCAAGCCTATCCCCTGCAATTTAGCAGGAAATAAATAAATAAATAAGTTATTCATACCCCACCCATCTGACTGGGTTGCCCCAGACACTCTGGCGGCTTCCAACTTATATAAAAACACAGGAAAACATTAAACCTTAAAAAGCTTCCCTATACAGGGCTGGCTTCAGATGTTTCCTAAATGTTTCGTACATAATGACTCTGACGTGTGGGCGCCACTACCGAAAAGCCCCTCTGCCTTCTAGGATTTCTGGTAAACCTTCCCCAGGCAGTCACTTCTGACCATGAGGACTAGTCTGGTAAACCACGGTTAGTATGTATGGCCCTTCAGAAGGGGACCTGGGGAAATTTTGGCCCCTTGTCCTCCACCTCCAGCCATTACTACAATTCCCCAAGGATTGCCATTGGGTGAATCAAACCTGGGATCCCTTATGGTGCAAAACATCACTTAATGGCCAAATTACAACTCAAGAGCTTCGATCAACAACCCATCATTTATCATGTTCCAATAAAACTAGAAGTGTACCAGATATTTCACCCTGGATCTCTCCTTCCCTTCTCCTTCCATTAATTAGAAGAGAAATTGCATTCAAGAAATATTAAAGAGGAAACTTCTGTAAAATTTTCATGAGGGCTGCAGAGTTTTGCTGTGTTTTACATTTGAGGGGTGACCAGGGGGTGTTCATGACTGTCTTTCATTCTATAAATCGGGGAGCCCCAACTTTTTTAGGATTGAAGTTGTTGAGCTTTTTTAAGGATTTTACCACAGGACATTTACTGCCATGGGGGCCAGATTAAATCGACCAGCGGGCCGGATTAGGCCCCCAAAATGGACTTTGGACATGCCTGCTATAAATCATCCCTCTAATCACCACAATGGGACACGGGTGGTGCTGTGGTCTAAACCACTGAGCCTAGGGCATGCCGATCGGAAGGTCGGCAGTTCGAATCCCCGGGACAGGGTGAGCTCCCATTGTTTGGTCTCAGCTCCCACCAACCTAGCAGTCTGAAAGCACGTCAAGTACAAGTAGATAAATAGGTACCGCTCCGGCGGGAAGGCAAACAGCATTTCTGTGTGCTGCTCTGGTTCACCAGAAGCGGCTTTGTCATGCTGGCCACATGACCCGGAAACTGTCTGCGGACAAACACCGGCTCCCTCGGCCAGTAAAGCGAGATGAGCGCCACAACCCCAGAGTCGTCCACGACTAGACCTAATGGTCAAGGGTACCTTTACCTATAATCACAACAATACAAAGACAACACGTAGGCTAATAATTATTAGAAAATATATAATAGAATAATGCTATCATTCAAATTATAGGAGTAAGCCAATCAAAGTTCTTATATACAATATAACAGAGTGGGAGCGAGGACCGTCAAGCCGTGTGCTCAAAACAGATGTCTAAGGACAGTCTCACAATAGTCTTTCAAATGTTTCAACAGAAGACATCCCAAAAGTTTCAAAAGTAAAGTTTCTCAGTCGTTTTTCAAAAGTTTCAATGGAAGACGTCTCAAAAGCCTCAAAAGGACAATGTCTCCAGAATGATGCCACTGTTTTTGGTTCATAAATCATCCCTCTGGCAGTCTGCACTCTGCAGCCTTCCTGAGTGCTCTCCTTTCCTGGAACCCTGATGACATCCTAAGCTAGGATTCGTGAAGCCCTTTTGCCTTTGAAGAAATGGACATGGAAAGGTTAAAAACATGGAAAGCTTTTAAAAACAGAATCATGGCAGCTGGTGTTCCAGCAACATCTGGGTGCATTCTACCAAAATGAAGACAACGGGGTGGGGGGTGGGCAGGTGTTCTGATCTGACCTCTTTGGAGGAAGGATAGATAGGAAGGATAGATAAAAATGAAATAATTACGTGTCTGACCACATTGACTAAAATAAAATAAAAAATCCCTTAAAGCACAGCAAGGATATCAAAGGGTTTTCAGCATCAGGGGACAGGGTTTCTGTGAGTAAACATCCCTCTCATTTTGGCCAACGTGCTGACAATCCATTGGGCAATAAGAGTGCACGCTGTACTTATTTAGTGTGCAGGGAGAAATGTACACTCATGACCCTTAGTTTAATCTTTCAGAAAACCCCCCGCCCCCGCTTTTACTAGCAAAACCCACAAATATTTATTTATTCATTGCCTTGACATACTGCTTTTCCGCCAAGGCAGCTTACAGGTTGTTGTTTTTTAGATACTAAAACGAATAAATTATATGTAAAGTTGGCCCTAAGGGACGCGGGTGGCACTGTGGGTTAAACCACAGAGCCTAGGACTTGCCGATCGGAAGGTCGGCAGTTCGAATCCCTGCAACAGGGTGAGCTCCCGTTGTTCGGTCCCTGCTCCTGCCAACCTAGCGGTTTGAAAGCACACCAGTGCAAGTAGATAAATAGGTACCACTCCGGCGGGAAGGTAAACGGCATTTCCGTGCGCTGCTCTGGTTCGCCAGAAGCATCTTAGTCATGCTGTACGCTGGCTCCCTTGGCCAGTAAAGCGAGATGAGCGCTGCAACCCCAGAGTCGGTCACAACTGGACCTAATGGTCAGGGGTCCCTTTACCTTTACCTTTAAAGTTGGCCCTGGAAGTAGCGTGTTGCCTCTGCCTGCTTCCTTCCTTGATCTGTCTTTCATCCATGACGTCATGATGCTCCCCGCTCAACAAAGCCCAACAAAAAGGCAATCATTCAGCAAAAAGCAGAACTAATTGAGGGGGAATTGCTTGCGCAGATATAATCTGATGTTTTATGCCATACCTTCTGTGCGCTGTTGCTGTGAAGGCCTAGGAATCCAGCTGGGAGAAACTTGCATGCTACTTTGTGATGCTTCTCTTGGTCCTAATAAAGCTATTGTTTTGCTGTTCTCTTGTGGGATTTTCCTGCACAGAACCAGTTCTGTTACATGAATAGCAGGAAGAACAGAGCACGTTCAAAGCTCTTGACTCCATCACAAACATGCTTCTCCTTCCATGCTGTCAATCACTGGAGCAACCACCTGTCTTCTTCACACGCATATATAGGGAGCCCAAAAGCTTTAGTGGAAGCAAGTCGGCGGGGTTTTGGATACTTTGACCTTCGCTTTCCAGCTAGGCCTTCTGACACTCTTCTCTATTGCAAGGGAGAAAGAGATATGCCAAACAACCAAGCTGCTTTATTGCACTAATGAAACGCAGTAGCTTAAGCATACTACTTCCACATTTTCAAAATAATCACTTGCTGAGACAAAGGGAAGGAAATCCAGGAGCGACACAGCCTGTGTTGTTGCTCAAAGTGCCAGTGGTCCAAGCTCTTAGAAGATACTGGGACACACACTGTTACAGAATTAGGGCTCGTCTCTGTTGGATCGAAGAAAGGTCCATCTCTCTGCGTTTCTTGTTTCCAACAGTTTGCTGCCAGATAGAAGTTTCTGGGATGTTCACAGAAGGGCACTGTTAAGTTGTGGGTGAACATATCAGACGACACAGCGATTCTCCAAACAGCTCTTGTTTATTCACAGGTCAGAACAGAACTGAACTGAAGGGTTCAGCCAGCCTGCTTATATAGGGCTCCACTACAACGTAACTGTAACAACTTTCTGTAAGTATCCAATCACTGAACGTCACTTTCAATCCCTTATTTGCATATGTGGACCTGAACTATCTACACCCTGGCCCAGGGTGAGAACTTCAGTACATAACAGGCACGAAGGAGAAAAGCCCTTGCCCACGGGATCAGTGGCGGAGGAAGCTGCTGGGGCACCCGGAAAGGCAAATATGATGCGCACCCAGGGGTGGGGCGATCTGCCCACAGAGGCGGGGCGATCCTCCCGGGGTGCCATCAGCGGCACACCGATCTTCCCGGGGGTGCCAGCACCGTTCGCCGATTGTGCAAATACGTCCAGGGCGTGGCGCTTGCCGCCAGGGATGCAAGCGCCACCCACCTGGGGTGCGTGTGCAAACACTGCTTGCTGGGAGGTGTATCCCTGACAGCCAGCGCCATGCCCTGGGAATATTTGCATAATCAGCAGGCATCACTGGCACCTCCAGGAGGATCAGCGCGCCAGAGCCTGATTGGGGTGCAAATGCTGCCCACTGGGGGGAGGGGCATCCCCGATGGCCAGCGCTGCACGCCGATCAGCGGGCGGATTTTTGCTACGATCACGAAAATCCACCTGCTGGGGGTGCGAGTGCCACCACGCTGACCCACCCGAGGGAATTTTGTCACACACCCCCAAGCATAGCACCCAGGGTGGACTGCTGGGAAGTTTTTGCCTCTGCACATGAGTCTGAGAATGTACAGTTCACATTGAGTTCATGAAACATCACACCCTGACCTGTTCTTAATGCATTGTTGACCACATCTACGGACTGCGATTGTTATGTTCTTTCAAGTCATGCAATATCAATCACTAGTAACCATGTGTTGCTTTCCCAACCCTTATGATTAATGCCCTTGCATTGTATTTGTGTTAACCAATCAGCAACAAGCACATATGTGGTAATGCTGTAATATTCAATAAAAGAGACTCGCCGAGACCTGCTCGGTAGATGCCTCCCGTATGACACCTTGTCTGTCGCTTATTTCAACCCAACAGTGGACTGCTTCCCCCGCCCCCTTCATCTGCCAGTGCACGGGACGTCTCACCAGCAACAGGAATGTACTTCTTTTTATGCCTTCTGCATCTTCCAACTTTCAGCTTCATGTCTGCAGTTCCAGGAGTACAATGCCCCCGAACATGTCAAGGTCAGCTGAATTGCCCCTTTGCATGTCACATACTACCTGTACAGAAGCTACCAGAATGAGTTTGACCAAACTGCGGGAGGCAGTGGAAGACAGGAGTGCCTGGCGTGCTCTGGTCCAGGGGGTCACGAAGAGTCAGACATGACTAAACGACTAAACAACAACAACAGAATAAAAGACTCTTGGAGACTCTTGGAGAAGACATGGAGACTCTTGAGAGTCCCATGGACTGCAAGAATATCAAACCTATCCATTCTGAAGGAAATCAGCCCTGAGTGATCACTGGAAGGACAGATCCTGAAGCTGAGGCTCCAAGACTTTGGCCACCTCATGAGAAGAGAAGACTCCCAGGAAAAGACCCTGATGCTGGGAAAGATGGAGGGCACAAGGAGAAGGGGACGACAGAGGACGAGATGGTTGGACAGTGTTCTCGAAGCTACCAACGTGAGTTTGACCAAACTGCGGGAGGCAGTGGAAGACAGGAGTGCCTGGCGTGCTCTGGTCCATGGGGTCACGAAGAGTCGGACACAACTAAACGACTAAACAACAACAACAACAGAAGACTGGAAGAGAATACATTCAATTGTCTTTCAGTGTTTGCCTTCCCCCATCCCTCATTGAGTTTGTACAGCATGTGTACCTCCAGAGGCTTCCAGCGCCAACTGGAGCAGCAGGCAAGGAGAAGAATTCTTTCGTCGTTGCGCTGGTAACCTCTGTGTTAGATTATTGCAATGTGTTATATGTAGGACTGCCTCTGCAGATGGTTTGGAAACTCCAACTGGTGCAGAATTCAGCAGCCGGCAAGACGCTTTGAGCATATTACATTGATCCGGGTCCAACTCCACTGTCTGTCAATTAGTTTCTGGGACCAATTCAAAATGCTAGTTTTGACCTATAAAGCCCTAAATGGCCCAGGACCACAATACTTCAAGGACCACTTTTCCCCATATGAACCGACCTGAACCCTGTAAGCATAAACTGAGGCCCTTCTTTGTGTGCCCTTCCATGAGAAACATGATGACAGGCCCTTTCCTGCAGTGGCTCCCCATCTGTGGAACGTTCTCTCTGTGGAGGCTCGCCTGGCGCCTTCATTACATATCTTTAGGCGCCAGGACAAAACAGTTCTCTTCAACATTTGGCTGATGAACATTCTACAGATTTAAAAACGTGTTTGTGGGAACAGGGTTGTTTTTGCTGTATTCTGTATTCTCATTTTTTTATGTTTCTGTTGTGAACCGAACTGGGATGAAGGGCAGTATGCAAAATTGATTGATTGATTGATTGATTGATTGATTGATTGATTAATTATTATGGGTCTGGTACGCAAAACCTTCCTGCTGTAAAGGACTAGCCTTGTCAAACACCTGCAATGACTTCATAAAGGCCAAGGCAATATGCCAGGTTTCTGCTGCTTAGCCCAGGATGAATGCATAGCTGGAAGCCAAACATTTAAACGCTGCTGCCTTCCAGACTTGCTGCCTCCAGCAGTATAGAACACAGAGGTCATGTTTCCAAAAGCTGGCAAAACGAAGTTCTGCTTTATTCCACTGAGTGGGCATGGGAACTTATGTTGCCTCTAAAGGCAGGTAAGCAAGTCGTATTGGAAGCCACAGAGATGATGATGATGATGATGATGGTGATGATGATGATGATGATAATAATAATTTGTTTATTATTTATATCCCACTCATCTGGCTGGGTTTCCCCAGCCACTCTGGGCATCTTCCAACAAAAGATTAAAATACAATAATTCATCAAATATTAAAAACTTCCTTAAACAGGGCTGCCTTCAGATGTCTTCTAAAAGTCAGGTAGTTGTTTATTTCTTTGACATCTGGTGGGAGGGCGTTCCACAGGGCCGGCACCACTACTGAGAAGGCCCTCTGCCTGGTTCCCTGTAACTTTTTTTCTCGCAATGAGGGAACCACCAGAAGGCCCTCGGCACTGGACCTCACTGAACGATGAGGGTGGAAACGCTCCTTCAGGTATACTGGGCCAAGGCCATTTAGGGCTTTGAATTGTGCTCGGAAATGTCCTGGGAGCCAGTGACAATCTTTTAGGACCGGTGTTGTATGGTCCTGGCAGCCGCTCCCAGTCACTGGTCTAGCTGCCGCATTCTGGATTAGTTGTAGTTACCGGGTCACCTTCAAAAGTAGCCCCACGTAGACCATGTTGCAGTAGTCCAAGCGAGATAACCAGAGCATTCACCACTCTTGCGAGACAGTCCACGGGCAGGTAGGTCTTAGCCTGAGATCCATAAAACCCCACATGAAGCATTGTGGACACCCTCCCAAACACTATAAAGCAAGAGTATTTTTGCAGGTCTCACTTAAGAACGTAAGACAAGCCCTGCTGGGATGCACTTATGAATCCCAGGAATATTGTCTCTGACACAAGTAGCTAGAACATAGCCATTAGAGATTCATAGAGTCCTCTAGTCCAACCCCCTGCAATGCAGGGATTTCAGCAAAAGCATCAATGACTAGCAGCTATTGGTAGCCTCACCTTCCATGCTGTCCAATCCTCTTCTAATGCCATCCAAGTTGGTGGCCATCATTGCACCCTGTGGGGTAAAATTCTCTTGTAAACGTTGTTATGATAGAGCAGCAGATACAACCATTCACAAAACCAGATTGGGAAATATTAAACAATTTTCAGGCTGTGAAGGCGGGGGTCAGATGGACCCCACTGTGCTGGGCCCGGGGGTTAACCCGAGCCACGCGGTCCAGGTCCGGTCCCGAATCCAAGGATTCCACAAGGAGTCAGTCCGACAGGGCCAAGGCAGGAAAGCAGGCTAGGTCAGGCACAGGGTCTCAGGCAGGTTCCAGCAAGCAACAATGTTGCTCCCACAACCTGGGGCAGGGTCCAACAGCCTTTTATATTTGCCGGGGTAACGGCCAGTCCTGATCCCCCGGTGACTCACCTCCCTGTCTTGCCCAAAGACCAGAACTCCTCTTGCGAGTACAGTGGTGCCTCGCAAGACGAAATTAATTCGTTCTGCGAGTTTCTTCGTCTTGCGAATTTTTCGTCTTGCAAAGCACGGTTTCCCATAGGAATGCATTGAAAATCAATTAATGCGTTCCTATGGTCAAAAAAAGTCCAAACAAAGCCAAATTTGGTACCAAAAGAGTTTATTAAGTGCTCTTTAAAGTCACACATACTGTAAAGAGCATTTCAAAAATTGAAGGAACAATAATTTCAGTTTCTAAACATGACAGAAAAGCATTTAAAAATCACCAAAGTGTACTGTACATACATTTTCTAAGACATTTTTTTTAAGAACAGCAGAGTGCCCCAATGGTCACAAAAAATCATAAAAATGCAGAAAAAAAACACACAAGCTTCCAGATTCTTGCAAACCCCTCCCCAACACCAAGTCCTTGAATTCCAAACACCCCAACCCAAAATCCAAACCCCCCCAAAAAAATTTTTAATAGCATAACTTACCAACTGGGTGGAAAAGAAGTTTTGGAAAAGCTTGAAAAATCACCAAAGTCTTCAAAAACCTCAAAAAAAGGCTACCACACCGCGTGCTATGAGTTGCTCCTCAAAGTCAAGTCGCAACTGCACCTCTTCAAGCAATGCACCCTGGGTATTAACGGTTTTAAGAAAAAGGAAACAAACTTGCAAGACGTTTTCATCTTGCGAAGCAAGCCCATAGGGAAATTCGTCTTGCGAAGCAACTCAAAAAACGAAAAACTCTTTCGTCTTGCGAGTTTTTCGTCTGGCGAGGCACCACTGTACTTAGGTCTCTCCTTCTCTCAGACCTTAGTCTCTGCAGCTTGGGAGATGTTGGTGGGTTACTAGATCCAGAGGCCGCCTCAGCCTCCCCTGACCAAACCGGTAGTGGAGCAGGTGTAAGTGATTGCCCAGCTGAGGCCAACGAGGTAATCCCCGCATCTGGAGCCAGGGAAGGCTGAGGCCCCTGACTCGGCCCAGCTGGTGTTTGTTGCAGGGGAACCTGTGCAGACTGGGGCTCTTCAGAATCAGGCCCCAGACTCGGTTCAGATGCCTGCTGAGGCAGAGGATCCAGTGCGGACTGAGACTCCTCTGGGTCCGGGTCCGAGCCCAAGCACAAGCCCGAGTCCCAGGCCATTACACCCACAAATCCACTGATTTCCCCCTCAAGTAGAGATGGTGGGTCAAGAATCCCTCAAAGAGTTTTTTAGGGGGCACTGCGAGATGGGGAGGGATAAACAAAATATTGTTTCCTTACTGAAGATTGGATGCCTCCTACTGAATCAAAAGTCCACGTGTTTGCATAAGGCACCAGTTGAATATGACAAGTAGTGGGAAATAGAACAGGTTGTAGATTCTATTAATCTGGGTAAACCTCTGTTGAGAATTAAGGTAGGATGCCCTTGTTCTCCCATCACATCTGGAGGGGACTCCTTAGATAAAGTTGTCTGGGGTTTGTGACTAGGTCTCCCACTTTCCAGAAGATGGTTTCACACTGCTTCTTCAGAAGGAACAGCTACTTCTATGGCAAAAATGACTTAATCAAGCGTATGATTAGAATTACTATGCAGATTCTGTTCTCTCCAACACTGTTACTCGGCTTCAATTGGCCAAATGGGGAAGGAAGCAACTTTTGATAATTTCTCTTCTTTGCAGTCCTCAAAGCCCCCTAAATCTTTTCCAGAAGACTGTGGCAGATTTAGAGGTGATGCATGGAAGAGTGGGAATGCTCAAAAATCTCTTTCCTCCCTCTTCTGCTGGCAAAAGGCTTACCATCAGCAAAGCAGTTAGATGCAACCGTACAGCTGCAGTCCAAAGGCACTTAACATTAAACCTATCTCACTGAAGAATAGGACTTGCTTCCAAGCACACATATGTAGGATATTAAGGGCTTCTTCCCACTTTGATTTCCCTTATTTCTTCCTCATGGGTCATTTCTCTTCACTGATTTCTTGAAATCACACAACCAGAGTCATTTAAATATTAAATACTTTAATTGTTTAAGTGTTAGCCAGCACACATAATAAGCACTGAGTGAAAATTACAAAAAAAGAAAATAGTATATCTTATATGGGAACCAGCAGCAGATAATGAAACGTAGATAGAACTGAATACTTGTAGCAATCAAGCTCATACCAAGTTAACATTATATATAAAAACAATGCTAGAACAAATCACTCGCCATGATTTTTATAGGATTCACCAAAACTCTTAACAAACCTTTTTCAAGACATCACAACTTTTTGTGCCTTTCTACAAGCATACCATTTTCTTAATATAATGGACAAGTGAACAAATGTTAAGTGACTTCACACAAGTGATGATTTAGCCATAGCTACATGGCATCCCATTTCACTTAAAGTAATACCACAGGTCAGTGTAGAACAATCATCATCATCACCATCGTCACCATCATCCAGAAAGTTACAAGAGAGGTAGAAGTGAGATTTTTGCAGGTTTCAGACCCACAATTGTTTCCAGATACAATGAATCAGCACCTGAACTGACCAGCGGTAAAGTATCTTACAGCAACTGACCTCTCTGTCAACATGTTTCAGTTCAAACTAGCCAATCGATCAAATCACAATAGTTTTTTCAATTATGTAAGCAACGTGTACACATTTTTACCATTCAACAAGATTGGCTGAAGTTGCACAAGGTATTAAACAGCATAGTAAAATAGTATGTCTTCACATTATCTATAATAAAAACAAATTTAAGCTTCTCTTCCAAAATGCACTGGAAATGGTCTCATCTGAAAGAAAAGGCTCATGTTTCTGCACACCACAGACATTCTGTACTCACTTGTTTTGAGCTGACCTCCTGCCCAGTATACAGCCATCTCTTTTTCTTATCAATTTTGCCAACAAGTACAATAATTTATAGTTTATTTGGCAAAGCAGGCAAGATATATTACTAATTGTTGCAGTTTTGTTAAATGTTTCTCACCAACCAGCTAAAGCTGTCCTATTCAGCTAAACCTGAATAAGTAACTTAACACTTTTTTTCCGCTCAAAACTGTAGTATTGCTATTAAGTTTAACAAAAAAAACCCAACCACATTTTTCTTTTAAAAAATGAAACCTAGAACAAAAAAAATTTGACTTTTAAAATTACTTACAAGATGCTACGAAATTCTGTTGTAAAAGCACTTACAAGGACAACTATTCATTTTCGTAATTTTATATAAATGTTTACCAAAAGTTTAAGTGTGCTGGTGATTAAGACCCATAAAACCATGCAGGGTACAATTTCAAGCCGGGTTTCCAGACAGGCGAGTAAAAACACACACACACACACACAATTCTCAAAAACTTGTAAATTTGCAGGCTGACTAGGTGTCTACAGTAGAATATTTAGGCTTAAATGAAAGCAGTCTGTTTTCCTCATTCTAAAGGTGCATTATTATTTTTTTACAGATAATCCTGTTTCTAGCATTTATTGGTGCAAAACATTAAAGGAAAACCAAACACAATCAAACATAAAAATAGGTAACTAAAACAATGGTCAACAAGAACCATTAAAACCAAAATAATGTTGTCTAATAGGCCGCAAGTTTTGTCCACTGTAGGTATTATTATAGCCAAAGTTCAGAGAAGAATGCAAAGTATTCCATATGTTCGGTAGAGCTTTGTTCAAAGCAGCAGCCCCGTGGGAGACTGTGAATTTTTAAACTAGTTCACAACAAGGCGTTGAGAGTGTTGCTCCAAAGAGGAGGAACGAAAAGCACAAGTGCTTCTGGGTACATTCAAAGCAACCTTTGCCTGGTGAATTCTGTAGCTTTAGGTAACAGAAGATCAGGGTGTGTGTTTTTAAAAAGGGGAAATGGATCTAGATATTGGTCAGTGGTCTTCTGTTTACAGAATTAAACACTTTCCTGCTATAAAGGATCTGCAGAGTTGGGCGATCCTTTGGAGCAGCTAGGGTGGGAGCAGAGGGGATGGAAGGAAATCACCTTCCCGCTGTTGAATTTCACTTTGCAGAAGGGCTCCTCTGGAGCCAAGCCATTAATGCACTACTCACTTTGTATCTCATCCTAAGGCTAAATGTTGCAACATTCTAGTAGCATTTTGTCTACAAATAAACAAGCCCTACATAAACAAAATGCCAAATAATAAAGCAAACTAGATTCACATTTAGCTTTATGGTCATCTGGTTACTATAAGGTTCCTCCAGTCTTTGCTACTCTTCTCAGTTTCCAACATCCCAGCATAAGAAAACAATAGAACTCATCTTCACAAAAAAGTTTGCAACGCACACACATGCACACACTTTCAGACAAATCTCTTAGATGCATTTTAGATTAGGAACCTCTAAATTTTGCATATCTAAGCTGCATAATAATTTAACACACCTGATATCAGAGTGCTCACAGGGCAAGTTCAGCAGGAGCTGTTAGCTGGGACATCACAGTGTGCTTTATTTGGAGCATTGGCACATATTGACATGAGTCAGAGGGGGAAAGAACTGCATTGGTTCTGAGCATGCCTTATCTTCCAGCTTAACGTATATAGGTGAAGTTCAGAATTAAAAGCAATGCAACTGTTCTGTATCTCCATTCTCCATGTGAAGAGCCCATGTATTGATTCTACAAGTGCATGCCCTATGTGGCATTAGTACCATGTGACCATCAGCCAGCTGAACTTAATACTGCTAGAAAAACATCCTGCACAAATCAACGCAAGTGCAATAGAACTCCCCCCCCCCCCCCAGTTCCAAAGCAGAAAACTGAAATTCACTTCACATGCATTAAATTTAATTTTATCTTTTGGGGGGCATATGTTTAGCCATTTTCTACTAAAAAAAAAAAAGCCAGCACAAAAGAAAATTAAATGAGAATGGATGCCTTCATAGGCAATATAACTAAAACAGGCACGTTTTATATATTCTAAAGCTAGGGAAACCAATGCTAGAAACTGATTATGAAACATTCATACTGTAAACTACAGCTATCAAATGCAGCTTATTATAATCCCTTTAAATATATTGCTTGGTTGCAACAAAAAGTGAGTACACAGTTATATTTTATCTTTTAAGACTTTGAAAGGCACATTACTTATAACCACCAATTATAACCACAGTTATAAACAGTTTTCACAAATTAATAACTCGGAGTGTCTAATACACCCATTACTACAAAGCAGTCCTGGAGAAGTACCATGATTTGGTCAACAGAAAAAAAGTAAAGACTACCAAGCCACTGTTTCTAAACACAGTAAGATTGGTAAGAGTTAAATATGATCAACTCCTCACACTGTAGACTAATTCTAATCCACAAAGCATATATGACCTCATGACATTTAGTGCAAAATGCACAAAGCATAATTTCTCAGCATTAACCAATACAAAGGCTGAAAATACCAAATGAAGGAAATGGCACTCTGATTATTATGCCTTTCAATGATTCCTTTGTTTTTTAAAATGAAGAGGGAGAGAATGAGGTATCTGCAAGTTCCTGCTGCACACACCTTACAGTCCTTTTACTCATTATTACATTTACTCTAAACATTCACAAAGCCAGGCTCCTATTTGCTTTACTGCTCCTTTTGTGCCAGCATTTGGTGGGAGGGAGACTGGGTGAAGGTCGTGCTACGCATTGTCACCACAGCTATAGGTGGCTGCCTAGTGCTGCCTGTCTCTGCTCCCTTCTCAGCTAATCAGGAAATGGCTGGGAGGGGGCAGAGTTTGACCTAGACAGGCCAGAGGTAGAACTTCTTCATTACCTGTACACAATAGGGCTCAAAGCTGGGCCTGGGGTATGGGGAGAGAGATTAAGTACGTTTATGACAAATCCATTAATTATGCTTCCGGGAGCAGTATCCAATTTAACAACTTAGTAAGCAAGTAAAATCCGTTCCAAGCATTCAAACTTGGTTTCTTCTACCAGGATCCCTCACATTTCCAAAATGGTTCTTTGAACTGAGACAACTGTTCTCCAGAATTTGCCACGGACGTATAAAACACACACACACATTACTTGTTTATCAGTACACAGAGGTATTCTCACTTTTTACAAGATTGTTAAAACATTAATACTCCTAAGTGATAAGAACCCAAACATTAACGGCCCAATCCAGAGATTCCTGTCACACACTGAAGCTCAGGAACATACACACCACTTCCTATATGGACTAGGGTCTCCTCTCGCCCAATTTGTCAGGGACCAATTTATGTGTGTGCACCCCTTACCCCATTATTTGTATGAAGCTGTCCCCAACATTACAGTGAAACTTTTGGACTGGTGCCTCATCTGTTCCAGTTCTTGCCTTATACATTCACAATGGCCATATAATATATTTGATTGTCCAAGACACAGTATGAAGCCTAATAATGATGGTGATTAAACATACAAAATTTCCTCATGCTAAAAATAAACCAGCCAGCTTTGGTAACCTAGTACAGATTAGTTTTATATAGCTATTCCTACAAACATCCCATCTCTACAAACATTATATAATGTGTATATTTATAGGTTATATATATATACACACACACACATACAGACCCTGAGCAAACATAAGCCTGATTATTAGGTCTTGCAATAGATCAAAACATATATTAAAATAAAATAAAAATAATATATTAACCATTAAAATAAATACTCAAATCATTAATAGCCATATGTTCATTAAGTGCATAACAAGTTAAATAGTAGTTTTAAGCCACTAAGGCATCAATATATTCCATTTCTAAATCTAAACAATTTAATCTCACTGGCTAATGCTCACTATAATGCAATACTTAATGCTACACATTTATAACTCCTTTTGATTTTCTTTCAGAATCAACAGATTCTGTTGTTCTACCACACTTATGGAAGCTGAAGTTTTGATTAGAGCAGCTTGACACCTGTTGCTAATACACCTTCCAACACTCCTTTCAGATTAATGCAACTAACGTGAGCTGCTGATTTAATGTAACTACTATGAGCCAGACCATTGACAATTTCTTCCTCAGCTCCTGACAGTACCACAATAAATGTGCATTATTAATTATCAGTGTGAAACAAACAGTATTCAGTAATGACTTTGGCACTTAAAATATTAGCATTACAAAACCAAGGAATGAAGTGGCACTATGTGTTTGATTGGTATCACAATTAGCTCCGCCACTTACTAGTTTCCTAGTTAATGGCTTGAGTTACAGCTTTGGATTGGTGGCCAAGAATATGAACTACTATTGCTTGTCTCCACTTAAGTTGACCCTTTCTATTTTACACCCTAGACATATACCACCAATATTAAGACTGCTGCAATACTACTACAGAAATGCATGTTATCTAGGCTTGAATCTCAGCAGTGGAAACGCGGCACAGATCCACTAGACTTGCTGGCAGCCTGGCGCATTTTCTACACTGCTGCAATATCTGCTTGGAAGCTTTCACTGTATGACCTGTTGGGGCAGGTTCTCTCTCTTGTTTTCTTTGTCTTCATGCTCCACGATGTCCTTCACTTGCAAGCTGCCAATGACAGGACAGAGCTCTTGTAAGGCCCTTTCCACTTCTTCTTTTTTTGCTGGCGTGCTCACTGAAGTTTTCGACAGGGTCATCTGAAGAGCACACCATAAAGCTGTACGTGTTTTTCGTGTGAAGAAAGCCAAATCTTTAATGGCAACCGCCAGAGCAAGGACATCTGTAACAAAACCAGCATAGCATCATTTACAATTTCAAGAGGGATGTTTCTCCCCAATACTGTACTATAGAGTCTCCTAACGTTTTCAAAGAACCAGTCTTCGGATGTGAATATTTTATTTATTTTTATTTCATAAAATTTATATTGCTTGATGGTAAAAAAACCAACAAACCTCAAAGTGGTTTACAAAAAGATAAAACAAGAAAATCAAGAAAGAATTGCAACAGTACTTTAAACATATGAAAGTTAAAATGCTAAAACAGATTAAAATTACCCCAATTTCCTACGCATCTGGGTAGGCTTGTCTAAATAAGAATGTATTTAGCTGACAAGAGTGCGGTGAAGTATTTCACTGCCAAAAGTATGCATTAAGGACTTTCCAAATCCATATCACATCATTAAATAGATGCACAAACAGTCAGTTAGTGATATTTTCATGCATTTAGGGCATAGGACTTAAGGCGCATGTTTCTGCAGGAGACTGTGTTGTAAGCAACACTACAAATGAACATTTCAAGATTCTGCTGCAGGGCTGAGGAAACCTTTCATCCTGGCAGCTGAATCTAAACTATGCTGCAAAAAAATGATCCTGGCCAATCCAAGCAGGGATTGGCTTCAATTGGAAGCTCCTGCATGGAAACAACCTCAGTGAGGTTTGAATTTGGCATCAAATTTAAAAAGCAGTGAATTACAAGCCCCACTTGCCAATGAACAATCAGGGGTTGCAGCCTTGCCTTTAGCTGCCTCATACCTGAGCGGGGATTTGGGAAAAACAGTTGCAGGCCAAATTAGACCCCCTTTCAGGTTTAATTAGGCCTTTGGGCCGGAAGTTCCCCTCTGCTTTACTTTTGCATTCAGCATCAACACTTCCATCAGCAGGATTGAGACCTCAGTTACTGAGTCTTCCTTGAATATTTAATGCTTGGACATAAAATAACACTGAAGTTTTACAATTCTATAACAGAATGAACCACTCGTTTTCTACTTGCTATTTGAACACACCTGTCACAAGTTTTGACTCAGGATCTCTTGTAAACAAAAACAAAATGCCTCTCTGGAGCAACCTCCTTTTCTCATGCATCCTGATAATTTTAAGAAGAGCAAAGAACTATGGGATAATAAATATGACATGTCTAATCACAATATTGGCATTTACATGTCATAAAGCAAGGAGCTATGCGGTAATCTGTGTCTCAGTTCTAGAAAGACCTTCTTCAGGATTTTTGTTGACTGAGAAGAAGACTCTGATGAAACTCCAGATATGAGTGCTGTACTAAAATATATTACAAATACAAAACATAAATCCAGACACTTTGCACCCAACCAACTAAACCTGATAGTAAGCATGCAGCAGCCTCTCAAATTGGAAAGTTGCCACTTCAGCAACTTTCCTTGTACTCTATCATGATGTTACATGTTTTCTCTTTGGCCAACCACCACAAGCAAGAAGAGGCAGAATATTGCAACATTATGAGACGAAACAAATTATATTAGAAAAGAAGGAACTGCAACAAAATGTATTCCTGCTTGCAGCGAGTTGGACTTAGATGACCCTTGGGGTCCCTTCCAACTCTACAATCCTATGATCCTACCACTAACCCTAAAAAGGAATTATCCTAGATCATGGGTAGGCAACCTAAGGCCCGGGGGCCGGATCTGGCCCAACTGCCTTCTAAATCCGGCCCGCGGACGGTCCGGGAATCAGCGTGTTTTTACATGAGTAGAATGTGTCCTTTTATTTAAAATGCATCTCTGGGTTATTTGTGGGGCAAAGGAATTCGTTTGTGTGTTTTTTTCCAAAATATAGCCTGGCCCCCCACAAGGTCTGAGGGACAGTGGACCGGCCCCCTGCTGAAAAAGTTTGCTGGCCCCTGTCCTAGATCTAACCACCTGGCACAGGGCTTTGAGGCCTCTTGTAGGAGGCAGTGGGATGGGTGGGGAAATGTCCACTCTAACATAACAGGAACATAGAAAGTCTTATACAGAGCCAGGCCACTGTTGCAGCTTAGTACTGTCTACTCTGACGGGCAGCAGCTCTCAAGGGTTTCAGACAGATGACATTTCCAGTCATACCTGGAGATGCTGAGGACTGATCTTGGGATCTTCCGCATGCAAAACAGCGGCTCCACCAGTGAACTATGACTCTGCCCCCTAATGCCTGCTGTAACCATGTGATCATTACATAAAACAGAGTAGGCTTTTCACTTCAGAATGCAGATTTAACCTAAACCTGTATTAAGATTTTGCTCTCTGAATGGTAACATTAATACAAAAGTCCGTTTTGCAGGTGCCACAAAGCAATTACTTGCCTTTTTCATTGTTGTAACGAGATACTCCTTGCCTCTGATGATTAGCAGCGTTAACAATCTCATCCTTGCGTCTTGCTCGGGTAGCACAGATGGCTTCCAAATGACATCTCAAAGTGGCAGATATGTTACCATGGACAGGATTCCCACAAAGCCGTTCCATTTTCCCAACTAAAGTGTGTACCTAAAAAAGAAAAATGCTTCATTAGGGTTTTTAATACTTAAAAACAATCAGCTGGCCAAAATCACGTGACAACAGCTAGGCACTTCACGCTGAATGTGAGAACACAGCTAATCTAAATTTAGTAGAAAATATTTTGGAGGAGAAGCAGTTAAAAGAAATTCAGCCATGAATAGAAGCGACACTCCTCATTGCAGCATGAGAAACATAAAACTATGTCAGGAAATTACTGACAGGCAGGCAGGGAAAGCAGAGGAAGCAAGGAAAACAGTGAAGTGGCCCTTCAGGGTTCAAGCATCCAGCCATCCTCATTTGTATTGTACATTCATTTATATTTCTATCCTACCTTGCCTAAGCTTGAAGGAACACACAAGACACAAAACAGCCACTTTAAACCAGAACCCCAACAGTTCCCAAACTCCTATTTAAGATGAGTCTTTCCAACCCCTTCTAAAGGCCATCATAGTTTTTCTTCCTCTGGAAGACTGCTGCCCACCTCAGACTGGGCTAACATAATTTCTCAAAAACGTGACAAAGCAAAGCATCAACCAGATCTTGGGTGAATGTGCTTACTCTCGCCTGCTCTCGGAATTGGTCCACAATCAGACGATCCACTCGGGAAGGCTTGTCAGGAAGCCGGGAGAAGGGAGCGTTATTTGAGCTGGATACCTGCTTCCCTGGGAAGTTTCTGGCCAGATCTGCCTCTGCCTGAAGAGAAAGCTATAGAATTAATGGAATATGTTCCTCTCTATTGCTCTTTCCCATCCTCTCCACCCGTTTGTAGCTGGCAAGAGAAAAAGTAAAAATGCTCCCCAGTTTCCTACCGTCAACCCACAAAAGCCTACAGACAAAAAACACTCAGGCAGTGAACAACAGGCACTATGCAGTTGAATCATTCTTGGCAATTTCAGTCTTGCCCCAGTCCTCCTGGAAACTGAGGATAACGAAGAAGCCATGCAGATTATGTTATCCAAACTTGGAGAAAGATTTGTCAGGCTAGATATAGTCCCCAGTCTTAAGTTTTCCTACCTCTCCACAATCTTACCAGTAATGCTATTAACATAAAAGCTAATGTCACTATTAACTTCCCCTAGGTTTCACCTTGCTAGAGATTACATTACCTTTTTCCGTTCCCTCTCTAGTGCTCTCCACTGTTCATAACAATCTTCTAGATGACTATGAAGCTCATTTGCAGCTCCACTGCGATGCTTTGGAGGTCTATAGTGGTTAAGAGGTGGTGGAAAGGCAAAGTATTGTGCAGGCAAATCTCCACAGAAGAGTTCGTTAAAGAAAGGACTCAAATAGGGTAGGTCCTCATAGTGAAGGAGGTCAGCAAGTTCAGACAACGGAAATGGCAATGGAGAAAATGCAATATTAGCTGGTGATGAAAACGTGGGAGGATTAAATGGAGGAAAATTAGGCATATGTTTATAACCAGGTATTAATGGGAAGAGAGGCAGGAAAGAAGGGTTGATGAAATCAGACAAATTGCTGCCGTTCTGTTCTTCTGCTCTTCTCAATATATCAGGCTGCGTTTGATTTGGGCTTGCATAGCCTGGGTGTGGAATCCAATTATTTTTATGTCTTCTCTCATTCTGCCTAGTTCTCTCATCAGTACTGAACTGGCTTTGCTTTTTATGAAAACTATAGTGTTTCGCAGACTCATTTACAGAATGCTTTTGTGACAGCCACCTGGAGGAAGCATTCGTGGGTACTTCACCACAGTATCCCTCTCTAGTAGCTAAGGAATCCTTCTGGGTGTGTCCAATAGGGTTAGGTTGCTTCCTATTTTCATTGAAGTTTGAAAACCCTGAGCTGTTAGGAATGTTAGCAGATATATGTTTCCCATCTTTTCTTGAGTTCAACATTGGGGACACCTGTGAATAAGAAGGCTGGGCTATAGATTGACTGGTGGAAGATCCACCAGACTGAGTTAAACACCTTGAAGACAACTGAGAACTCATTTGCTTTTGCTTCCCATAAGTTGCAAACGATGTAGCCACCGGATTTAGTATCTTACTATCCAGCCATGTATATCCATTGTAAGATGAATTCATATTCTGTAGTGCTGGCTTAAGAGGCAAGTGATTACAGGATGCTTTCTGATGATGTAAGGACATTTTACATTCAGTATTGCCAAAGTTCCCCTCTGTAGTGATGCAACTGTGATTATTTTGTGGGTGGTTTTCCTGCAATTTTGCATTCCTTCCTTCTGGAAAGCTATTCTCTTTATTAAGTGGACTGAGAAGGTATGGAGATGAGCAACTAAACTGTTGAGAGTCATAAGCAGCTGGGAAACCTGTATATCTTATATTCTGCTGGATCACTGGATCCCATATTCCATCAGCGGGAGAATTAGACAATTGAGTGAAATATTTGCTTGATCCTTCTGTGTCATTTTTCCCAAGCATGCCTCTTGCATGGTCAGCTTTCTGGAGTTCTTTAGGAGTATTCGCACTATCTTTTATTCTAGTATGAGATGAGAAAGTGCTAAAATCAGTATGGCTCTTCCCATTTCCACTGTTTAACTGATTTTTTTTATAACTGGGTACATTCTGATATGCAAGTCCACCTTGGTGATTGATTCCATTACTCTTAAAAGCCTTGTTTTCTGAATCAGCATTCTTCAAAATCTCATCAGGTGACCAACTACAAGGATCAGAAGTCACAAGCCAGGATCCTATAACATGGAGATCTTCAAGTTCTTTCTTTAGTAATTCTACAGATGACTTTTGCAAGTTTTCTTCATAAATATTTTGAGTACCAACAAAGTTTGTAGGATCTTCATTTTCCAAGCATTTTGTAGGAAAAAGCCCTGAGAAGTTTTCAGTTTTTTCAAAGTCTGATGACCACACAGGTGGAAATAATCTTGATAGAGAATTCCTGTAACAAACCAACAATTTAGTGCTAAAGACATTTTGTTTCTACAACATAACAGATGAAGCTGCTTTATACATTCAAATCAATGAACCACGTGCCACTATATTATCTACATTTAACAGGCAAGAGGTATTTTCCAGCCCACTGGTTGAGATCCCTTTTCAACTGGAAATGTCAGAGACTGAACCCCATTTGCCTCCTCTAACAACCTTTGTTTTCATAAATTCAGAAAAACATGTCATTTATGCTGAAAACATTAAAATTAATCTACTAAACATTAATCTACTCTTTTGCTGAGCTGAATGTCATCTTATGAGTTTTATTATGGTGAAAGAGCAGAACAGCTTGACCTATATAGAAGATCTGGGGAATGAGGTGAAGCAATCTTAGCCTGATATAGAATTGTAGAGTTGGAAGAGATCCAAAGGGTCATCTAGTCCAACCCCCTGCAATGCAGGAATCCCAACTAAAGCATCCATGACAGATAGCCACCCAACCTCTGCTTAAAACCTCCAAGGAAGGAGAGTCCACAACCTCCATAGGGAGACCATTCCACTGTCAAACAGCTCTTACTGTCAGAAAGTTCTTGCTGATGTTTAGACGGAATCTGCTTTCTTGTAACTTGAAGCCTTTGGTTTGAGTCCTACCCTCCAGAGTATATATGCTTAGATTACCTAGGAGACCTTTCCTGCCAACTAAGGCTAACTGCAGAACCAGGAGAAGATTATTATTTTTTTGTAATCATGGCTGGACAGGGAAGGGTTAAATCTCCACTCCCCACAAGCTAGATTGATTAAAATTACCCTCTGTGTCTTATATTACATTTTTAAAACCCTGTTGTGTGTAGTTGCTAAGAACTAACTCTGACCCTTAGAAGCAGACCAAATAGGCTGATTTTACAGGAATGTTATTTGTTATTCTACAGGGTATTAATTGTTTTATTAGGAATAGCAGGCCATAGAGTGCTGCCCTATGTGATCAGTGAAAGTATTCTTTTTTTTCTTTTTTGAGCTCTGAAGGAATCTCACTCCTAGTTCTGAAGTTGTTGGCATTTTAAGTGCCATCTGCTGGTGGATATAGGTATTTATTTACCAGTTTAGACTGCTACAGCAAAAGAAATAACCATTTAAACAAGTCCAACCTGCTTCTTTTCCTACAATTGTCTAGACCAAATAAGGCTTCGGCTGCCATCCTTGAGTGCTATTGAATTCAATCTGATATTCTGAAGGACTCCTCTAGACAACCTGTTTAGCAAGGCCAAGAGGGGGGTCTTATCATATGGGCAGCCCAGGACCTCCATACACACTGCCCAGGCTTGTGTCCAGGGGAGGTCTCTTCAGACAGATGGGTGCCAACCTCCTGATCTGCTCACACCCAACTTACAGAGAATTTAGACTACATCTGGGCTTCATTGAGCATTTGTTCTGATTTGTCTGTGAGGCTATATGACAAAGAGCATTCATCCTGATTGCTTGCAAGGTGTTTACATGTCTTCCCATTAACCATCTATTAATCTACTTTTCAAACCAGTTTCCCATCACCTTATAAACAGCAAAAGTCTGGCCTTTTCAAAGTGGATTGGTTGAGCTACGTCAACAAAGCCTTTAATTCATTTTGTTTGTGCAAACTTAGGGCTTGTTCACACTTCTGCTTGTCTAGCCACTTTCCCCTAGGAAAACCCGTTGCTGATCGTTGAACCAAAACGTACGTCCATCGTTTTTCCTTTAGCTTGATTTTTCTTCTGATTCAGTGGTAAACTGCAGGTTTTCCCAGGGAAAGTGTCAGGGAAATGAAAAAAATGCTCTGAAAGCACAGGACAAATGAAAAACCTCTTGGATCCACAGAACAAGCAGAAGTGTGGACAAGCCCTTAAAGTTTTGATATGCCCTTGAATTCCTTCCGCTAAAGACTTAAATGTGCTTAGGATCAAGAGTTAGCAAAGGTAAGGAGAGAACAGTTTTCGTGAAGCTTATAGGCGACCTTAAAATAGATATTTATATAAATAGTCATCAGCTTACCAGCCTGTAACAGGTTCTTGCTTGTTTGGCTCCTCTAGGATGCTTGTCACTAAGCCAAACATATCAGGGCCATTGCCAGAATAAGATAAATTTACCTGTGTTCTGAAAAGAGAGATATTTGAGTATCACCTGTACCAAGAATCTAAGAAGAATGAGCCTTCTAAATGAAGTACCTTTAGTTTAGGGTTTTTTTCAGAGCAAGATTTTCATGTTACTGAACAGTTCCATAAGCCACCTCAGCCTTGGTGGAGGCAACATAAAATAAATAAGGTAAGCAGAATAAATAATTAATAAAAGCATTTGGGAAACTGAGAAGCAATATTTACTGAAATTAATAAGCACCTCAGATACGAAAAAGCTCAAGTATTACTCCGCTTGACCTTATCAAGAAGATCAGAGAGCCACTAATGCATGGGAAATAAGAAACACTGTGTGTAGCAGTGAGGTTATAGGATGAGATTTGAGAATGTAACTAAAACAGGACAAGATAACTGTCTTCCATTGTATCTTCCCACCACTTTTAAAGCAGGAGAGAACATGACCAAATAAAGAATCTTGTTCTGTTTTTAATCTTATGCATACTAATCCCAGCATAATCACACTCCCAAATGACATGAACGAAGAAAGGGTATGTGCAGAAATTCTGAGCCAAACAAGCCATAGAGTAATCTTGATTTTAAAAAATGCAAAAAAAATGGAAAGAAGCGAAAGAAAACCAGACCAAAATCAGCAAATTAGAGCTTGCAATCATTTCATAAGCAAACAAGCCGAAGCAAGACATTGTGAAGTAAATTCAGCGCCAGTTCGACAGCAGAGCTTTGGAGCAAGAGACAAAATACAGATATTACAGAAAATATCAGTAAATGAAAAAAGACAGAAAAGGAAGCAACAGTGAGCATTGTGCACAGTGTACTATGAAAACTTGCAACCTGGTAAAATTAAAATGAACCCTCTTCTTAACCTGGCTTCTCTCCAACTTATTACTTCATTAGGCAAAAAGCCAATATAGCTCCTGCTAATTGCTTTAATATGGCATTTTAACAATGTCACCAAGCAATATTAAAACTGGGATACAAACATCAAGCAAGGAGACTTGATTCATCCGAACAGCACATGGAAATAGGTACCTTCACTGTATCACTTATATCAAAATATTGCTCACAGCAAACTTGTGAGACATGCAACTACTGCAAAAAGGGGAGAAGTCTAAATATAAGGGATTAAATGGAGAGGATATGTTTCCTAAGTCACTCTATTTACTGCATTAAGCTGTATCGTCATGCACTGTCCGAACTACAACTGCAACAAAGTAGGCCATACATTACAGGAGAAAGAAGTTTTATTCTGTAACAGTATCTTCACCGCAAACAATTAAGTAGTGTTAAGGAAGAGTAGTATATAAACCTTTGCTGAAAGGTGTACCCAGTAGCATAGGAAGGCAGGGGAAGTGTGGGGATGTACCCGGAGTTCATCCATACTTCTTGTCCCACTACTTTCCCTTTAGAAGCTCAATTGGAGCAAACAGCAATTTGAGATTTTCCTGGGAAAGGAGCAGGGCAAGGGGAAACTGCTCAGATCAGTGCTTTCTAGGCACAGGACAAGCACAAGTGCGGACCAGCCCTCTATCAATCCATTTGTAGATTTCTAGAAAGAACCACAAGGTGGCAATCACTTCATACCTTTTTTTGGTGCAGCCATGTAATGGGGCAATAACATTGGCATCATCTCCACATGTTGACCAGCTACTGTAAAACTGGGGAGACTCCACAGTGGACGGTGTGTTAGTTATTCCTCCAAACAAAGGAGAGAAGAGCTGTGTGTCCATTTCTTGCTTAGTGCGGTTTACCTGAGTTGAAATTCAAGAGGGAGACATTCTAAGGGGAAATAGCTTTTTACAGGCCAAATAACCAGACAAGCTCACTTTGTTGCCTTCCCTTTTGATATTAGAAAATGAAACAAAAGAAAGTTATTCTTGTCATTAGAAGAGTTTGGATTTGATATCCCGCTTTATCCCTACCCGAAGGAGTCTCAAAGCAGCTAACATTCTCCTTTCCCTTCCTCCCCCACAATAAACACTCTGTGAGGTGAGTGGGGCTGAGATACTTCAAAGAAGTGTGACTGGCCCAAGGTCACCCAGCAGCCGCATGTGGAGGAGTGGAGACGCGAACCCGGTTCACCAGATTACGAGACTACCGCTCTTAACCACTACACCACACTGGCTCCTCCACATTACTGTTTTACAATAATGAAGCATGGTGAAAAGGTACAAGTACTAGCAGTTATGACATGCAATGCCTTGCTTTAGAAGTGTACTCACAGATCAACACTCACACCACATTTTGGTAAAGCATGCATGTTCCTACAGAGCTATTAACTGCACATATGGGAGTCTTCTGAGCAACAACAGAAAGAAAGTAATAGAGCACAAATGAGACCCAGAGGAAGACTATATTCACCAGTGGGCACAGGGAGGATGTCAGGTCAACACAGCCCTCCCTCCCAAGACAATATTTAAGATTAGTACTGCATTCTCTACAAAGCTACCATTGTTCAAGAGAGTGTGACTAAAATGCTTAAAAAGGGGGAACATGTAATGCTGTCCCTACCCTGTCTTACCCTATTGTCAGAGAATACAGAGTACTCTGTGCAAACCACAATAAATAACCAGTTGGTAAACAGGACTGCATTTATGCTTCATGTAAAACGTCCAGCAGAGTTAAGATGTTGAATTGCATGAAATGAAGCAAAGTAAAATTTACTTGATTTTTGCCAAGAATGACTTCTTACTGTTTAGGGAGAGCCTGCAAAATGCATTTGGGCAGAAGAGAACCTCTAGGCTGCAGGCCTAATTAGGTTTCCCCAATGTGGTTTTCAAAAAAAACCACTCTCACCTGTTGATTACCTGATACCAGGCACTAGACTGGTGAATCTGTGGTACTAAAGTGCAATAGAATTAGGAGCACACTTTAAGTTCACTCCCAAGTCTTCCTTTTTCTGCTGCCCCCGCCTCCAAGACAGAAAAAGGTGGCAAACTCAAAAAACCAATGGATTCAAGCTGAAGGAAATAATCAGAAAAGCACTTGGTGCATTCCCAATTCATCATTTTCAGTTGCTGCGAGTGAAACCAAGTCATCAGACACCCATCCTATGACACCAAGTGAATAACAGGTGAGTGGTCCTACTCACTTGTCAAGCTGGAATGCAGAGTGAGCCAGTTCCAGACCTGGCCCACCAGCTGGATCCAACCCCACACCCCTGAGTTAGAGTGAAAATAAAAATATACCCTAAGAATGAACAAATAGGGCCTGCAACTAAAGGTTGCAGCCTACCTCATTCTCCTAAAGAAGTATGTTCCTCTTCAGAATTCCAGATGTTCAAGAACAGTAGCCTTGTAGTTAGGTCTGAGGGTGCTGGAGGGGCAAGGCATTTCCTCTGCTACACTAAGTAATTTTAGGGGGCTCAGGTTTATCTGCCAGCACTATACTTGAGGAGTTTCCTTGCTTGGCTTCCATGTTAGGCATGAATGATTTGACTTCCTCAGTGGCCAACACACCCAGTGAGTGGCATAGGACAGAGAGAATTATCATTTCCTCTTTAGTCAGCCTACTGCATTTCACTGCTGGCTCCTTCGGGATCTGACATGGAAACAAAGCAGACTGGTGGAGGAAGAGGGACATAATGGCCTGTGCCTCTTCCACCAACCTGTTTACTTGCCTGCATGAATTCCTTGTGGCCGACAATGACCAGGCAACTAAATAAGCACAAGGCTGATTTGCAAGCCTTTATACATCTATACCTAGCAAGTATCAGAGCATGTCTATACTACCACACTCTTCTGGGATAGTCCTGCTTCATTTCCAAACTGCTACACACATACACACAACACACCCTGCATTTGCCAGGAGGGCGAATGATTCCTAATAAAATTCTATTTGCTGTGGACTCACCTGTGGCTCATAATGACTGAATGTGGTGCTTTGCTTAACCATATCCTCATTTTCAGTGTGCGGATTCTTGTTTCTAAAATGAGTAGCATTTCCAAACAGACAGAGGTTTGAAGTCTTAACCACAGGTCTCACCTGTTCAAAAATAATCCAGCATTACAGTTAATAGTAGCTTGCAAAACATTTAATAAAGCTAAACATAATTAAAAGTGAAGTGGCATTCTCCCCAATATTTTGATGAAAAAAATCTGCAAAAGTTGAACAAAAAAATGAGAAAACATTCAATATACTATTGTCCTCCTTTCTAAGGCTCAGTTGCTTTCCAACCCAGTAAGAAACATTCCTTGACAGGTACAAATACTTGCTGCTAAATATGCACCTTGAATTCCAAAACAATCTGTGAAATGCTGTACTAAAGTCTGCAGACTAGCAGATTAAAGACTAAATTACGTGTGATGCCTGGCTGTGTGGAGCTTGTCCCAGCCTTTTTACTTTTTACACACACACACAATGCAGTTGCATAGGCTACAAATCAAAGTGCAGGGCCAACATGTCTTATACCCCTTCCCTTTGTGGTCTTTTGGGGACTAAAACCGAATCCCTCCATTTCCCTTTTGCCCCGCAAGAGAATCAATATGGCTACCTTCATTTTCCCAATACAGTACAGCAACACAGTGCAGCTGAAGTGGTGCTGAAAAGTTCTGCATCGTAACTTTGTACCTTGCCAATGGTAAGTCATCTATTTCTTCTTCCTTTCTTCAAATTTATATCACTTATCTACTTCAATTAAACTCTTTTCTTTTATTATATTGTTAGCTTCATATTTATGTATTTTCCTGGTGGCAATGCCTCTACAGTGGTATCTCGGGTTACATACGCTTCAGGTTACATACTCCGCTAACCCAGAAATAGTGCTTCAGGTTAAGAACTTTGCTTCAGGATGAGAACAGAAATCATGCTACGACGGCGGCGCAGCAGCAGGAGGCCCCATTAGCTAAAGTGGTGCTTCAGGTTAAGAACAGTTTCAGGTTAAGTACGGGCCTCCAGAACGAATTAAGTACTTAACCCGAGGTACCACTGTACTTGCATTGTTCACTGACACCTACCTACCCACCCACCGACCTCTTAAACTTCACCAAGTCCTGTTCCCCTTACAGCTCACCCCCTGCCCCCTCCTATCACAGCTCACCAAACCACCACTCCCTCTATTTACACTGAAGTAGCTTGCCTGACTTGCCACTTCTTTCCTCTTCACCCTCTGCTGCTGAAGGTTTCTTTTATTCTTTCTTTTTTTGAGAGAGTGAGCTATCATTGAGCTGCAGTTCCCAATGTCAGCGGTCTATGGCTAAGCGAACTGCAGTGTGACAATATCCTTACGCAAATCTCGGAATATATTGTTCCACACCACCCCAATCTCCAAGCGATTCCAGGGGTTCCAGGCTCCTACCCAAGGTTTGGTTTACTTGGAATGAGGAACAGCAGACTGTGGTGTCTTTAGGCTGTATGGCTTGCAACCTGAGTCTACGATGCAGGGGCTCACAGCATTAACATCCCAGGAGACCTTGCTTCTCCCATAGTCACAGTCTTGGAATCAAGCAGACATCAAACACGACTCTCATTTTCTGGCTTCTGCCAGTAGCCTGCTTCTAGCCCAGTTCTCACACACTCAACTCTGGCTCTTGTCCTTCTACCCTCCAGGTCAAAAAGGGGGACCCTCTGACACAAAACTTTGTTAATGTATTTTTAATCTTTTGTTAGAAGCCGCCCAGAGTGGCTGGGGAAACCCAGCCAGATGGGCAGGGTAGAAATGATAAATTATTATTATTATTACTTTGTTATTCTAAGGACCATACTTAGGTGGTAACTAGATATTGCTATTATCTATATAGGAGCACCATCTCTTTGACCAGGAAGCCTCTTGACATGGCCTAAAAGGGTCTGTATCTGCTGCTGAGTAAGAGAGACAGATTGGGGATGCACAGGCCAGGTTTTAAAACTTATATTACTTTCCTGTATTAGCAAACTGCAACCTTTCTCTCCACACTCCACTGAGGCAGACAGAAAATTTTCTGCTTCCAAATACGAGTTTTATGGATGGATATAATGGTAGTCAAATTGGGCAGTTTTGAAATCATACAGGAACCATGGGCGCCTATATGATAAATATAAATGCAAAATTATTTGGGCATGTTAAAATTAGTATGTTAACAGTTTTCAGTGTTTTAACTTTCCCTCTTGGAATTTCTTAGAACATATGTTGTTAAGTTATCATGGCCTTAAAATATCTACAAGCATTCCTTTAAAAATAATTTCAAATAAAGCTTTGAATTCGTTTGAGTATTTTGGGAAGATGAAGCAACATTCATGCTGCAATCCTATACACACATACCTGAGAGTAAGGTCCATTGAACTCAACAGTTCTTACTTCTGAGTAGACATGTCTAGGATTGTGCCATAAGTGCAGTTTATTTGAGCAGGGAGCAAAATCAAAATTTCAGTTCAAATACTTGCAGCTACTTGGGAAAAAAATAGAAATTATAAGACATATAAAACTGACATAGTGTATATTTTTAATTTTATAAAAAATAGTCAAACATGCTAATTTAGAGCCAAATCTATTTAGGGCATTGCAAACTTTTCACATTAAAAGTTTTCCAGAAAAGCCACATCACTTCCCCACTCAAAAGTGGTTTCAAGTATCTGGTTAACATACCCCTTGACATTTAATCTCTCATGTCTTCAGCATTTTGAGTAAAGAAACTCAAAAACTCCCTGTTTAGAGACATGACAACACCACCACCTTTCTAACCGTACAGCAAATTCAGCTTATTTAAATGCAACTTTGCAGAAGTTACTTTTTAAATTTTACACCTTCCCTCCCCAAATTCAAAGTGTAGGAAGGGGTAGAAATTAAATTCCCCACCCCACTTAAATGTCCAAACAAACCTGCACAGGGTTTATATTACAGTAGTTGCTTCTTGCATATACACCTTTTCATGAACACAAACCCGAGACAGAAAGTCAGGCACAGGCTTTACATACATTCAGCTCTGGTGCAAAATACAATCTAACAGCTATACTGTGTTACATCGCACCTTGTCCAACTGCCCTCAGTGCTGCTATGTGACGCTTAGACATGACAACTCCGTTACTACTCAGATACAGAAACTGTTGCCAGGCTATTGTGTTTCTTCTCCACCCACTGGAGAAGCAGGATAAACAAAGCAAGGAGAATGCAGGGTTGGGTCTAAACACTGACACAGATTCAGAAGAAAAACTAACAGCATTGTCAAGTACTGTACTCATATGCTCTAAGAACCACATTTAATCTGCACACAACCAACCCACAGGAAGCCTGATGGTACTATAAAGCCACAATGCATTTTCCAAACATAAATTCCTATTTGGACTGATCTGAAGTGATATGCCTCCCCACAAAGATTTCAGAATACCAAAGGCTCTGTCTGCCTTTGCAAAAACAAGAGAAACTCCGAGCTTACCTTTTTGGCCTTCTTCCTTTACAGCCAGCCTCAGCTGTGACTGATGTCACTGGAATACCAGTATGTGAAAGTATTATGGGAATTGTAGTTTTCAGACTATTGTGAAATAGCTATAAAGTACAAGGCTCTATTACTGCAGTAACTCCCCAGAAACCTGCAAGAGCTATTGTACATACAGAATGAACTTGGAAGGGACATAAATTAACTATTCTGTTCTCTATGTCTGGCTAGAATGTAGTTTCTATGTGAAAAGAGCTCTTTTCTGTTTTCTATCCTTTTAACATTCATAAGAAACAATACAGTACAGTACAATACTGAGCTAGTACCTAGAGGAACCAATGGTATGATGGTGTAAGGCAGTTTCCTACATTCTTAGGAATCTGAAAGACTTGAAAGTGACTTGTGGCAGCTGGCCCAAAAGTCAAAATTACTGAAGTACCATGTCTGTCCTATTAGAAGTAGACTCAAATTGCTGCACCCATGCTAGTCCCATAAAAAAAAACAAAATCAAAAGTAACAGTTGTATAATACCTTTATTGAGATAATAAAACAAGTAGGTTTTTAATTTTCTCTCTAGCCCACAGGTCCCATGTAATGCAGAGGTGAAAGTGAACAACAAATGTGGTTGCTGATGCACTGTATTACCGAAGGAGATTAATTTTAGGTGGTAGAATTAGATATAAAATCAACAGAAGCTGAATTTGGGTAGTGTCATCTAGTGGCTAGAGGGTACTAAACCAGTTCTTTATTTCACTTTGTGTTTTCTGCCTCATGGGTTACCTGAGTGTCCCAGCTAGAACTAGAGACACAATCCAGTTAACTGTTGACTGTCACATTTTCAAAGGGAGAGCAGCTATGCTTCTGCCTATAATCTTATACACCAAGCGTTCTCCAGCCCAGCTAAATCTGCATTAGCAGTTCCCTCATTCCATCTTATTATTAAACTACATTCTGGGATTTTTTTTTCCCATCTGGCAAACAACAGCTTTTATTCCTTTTTAACGTCTCATTCATAACTCAAACGAAGAGTTTTAACGAACACAAAGCTCGCTTACTTTTGCTTTCTTCATACAGCCCCAATGAAGACACTCCCCTACTTTTCCTTTCTTTTCTTGGAGGAGAGAAGGCAGTAATACAAAGCCACCCTTTGGAATGACAGGTACGCCGTGTGAGAGATTAGCAATCCACAAGTCATTGGAAGGCCATGGCTCATTTAAACGCAAATCCACCTGCTCAAAGACTGTAGTTTGAAACACAGGCCAATTTATTCACTGTGCCAGATTTATATTTTTATCAGGCTGGCGGCAAGATGCTTTGCTGTGCATCGCTAGTAAGGTAAAGGTAAAGGGACCCCTGACCATTAGGTCCAGTCGTGGCCGACTCTGGGGTTGCGGCGCTCATCTCGCTTTACTGGCCGAGGGAGCCGGCGTTTGTCCGCAGACAGGTTCTGGGTCATGTGGCCAGCATGACTAAGCTGCTTCTGGCAAACCAGAGCAGCGCACGGAAATGCCGTTTACCTTCCCGCCGGAGCGGTACCTATTTATCTATTTGCACTTTGATGTGCTTTCGAACTGCTAGGTTTGCAGCAGCAGGGACCGAGCAACGGGAGCTCACCCCGTCTCGGGGATTCAAACCGCCGACCTTCTGATCAGCAAGTCCTAGGCTCTGTGGTTTAACCCACAGCGCCACCCGCGTCCTGTGTATCGCTAGTAGACAATGTTAAATGAGATTGTTGGTGGGCCACGTACACCACCCTGGAGCTCCTTGGAGAGGTGGTATAAAAATGTAAGAAGCAAATGAATCAATGAATAAAGAAATAGATATATGAGGGGAGTAGCAAAGGATATGTGATTACCAGGGCTGGCCCAAGACAGCCCCTGAGTCGAACCACTAAAACAGGCATAGGCAACCTTCGGCCCTCCAGATGTTCTGGACTACAATTCCCATCATCCCTGACCGCTGGTCCTGTAAGCTAGGGATCATGTGAGCTGTAGGCCAAAACATCTGGAGGCCGCAGTTCTCAACCTGCAGGTCCCCAGATGTTGTTGGACTACAACTCCCATCATCCCTGACCACTGGTCATGCTGGCTAGGAATGATGGGAGTTGTAGTCCAACAACATCTGGGGACCCACAGGTTGAGAATCACTGTCTGGAGGGCCGAAGTTTGCCTAGGCCCGCACCGAAACGACACCCCCATCCACCCGCCAGGGAAGGAGGCGGGAGTGGAGAGCGACACCAGGACCCGCTGCCCCTGTGGATTCTGCCGCCTGAGGCGCTCGCCTCACCTTCGCCTCACGGGTGGGCCGGCCCTGACTTCCACCCTCCCGCCCCACGTCCCCCCCTAGACCCTGTCACGGGCGCAAATAGGGTCGCCCCTCTTCCCCTTCCCCGCCGCGCCTCCCGCAGGGCCTCACCTCTGGCCGCCGGATCCCTCCTGAGAGGGGAACAGCCAGAGCACGGGCGCCGTCCGCCACCATCTCCTCCTCCTCCTCCTTTTCCTTCCCGCCTCAGCAACAGGGGCCGGCGCTGGTTGGTTGGACGGAGGAAGTGGGCGGGGCCTGCCGCCAAATCCTTCTCTTTCGCCGCAGCCGCTGGCTCCCGCAAATAGATGGTGAGGGGGCGGGGCCGCGTGCGTGCGTGCGTGCGTGCGTCTCTAGCACAACTCCGCCCACTTTGACACGCCTCCGGGAACAGGCTAGGCGGCTAGTATTTGTGCGCGCGCGCGCGCTCCGCCCCGCGAAATGCGAACGTTCGAAGCGCCTTTTTCGAACGGCTTGCGCGCGCGCCGCTGCCCCCGCCCGCGGCACGCGATTGAAAAGTCGTTAACGGCCGTTAGGCTAAAGCTGATAGGGTTGGGAGAAACCATTTTGGTCGCGGGGGAGGGGGGGGAAGGGAAACGGGAATGTAGAGGGGGAAGAGAGATCATTTTATAAGTTTATACGCATCAATAACAGTCCTTCCTTTCCGTTTTTTTCGTTCCCACAAGCTTTTTGGGAACTGCTTTTAATGAGGGGGCTGGTGCCCTAGTGTCTTTTTATTGTAGCTATCCAAATGGTTTTAATAGATTTTATATATGTATATAGCCTTATTTCTATCAATGTTCAATTGTTTTGAATGATGGGTTTTTTAATTTAAAAAAAAAATGTTTTAGCGGTTCTTATTTATATATATGTATGCCCTCTTGAGTCCTGCCCAGGGATGAGGGAGCGAGGTATAAATAAATAATAATAATTCTCTTATTTTACTCTTATTATTTCATAATAATTCTTTTATTTTATACCTGCCCTTTCTATTTCAAATTGAAACCAAATCAAAATGAAAAAGAAATAAACAGAAGAAATAGGGAAACTACCAGGGTTGTCATTTTGTGGGATGTTAAGATGGAGAAAGGGATGGCGAGGAAGAAAACTTCCAAAAGTAGCAATTGGGTGGAAACTGAAGTATCACGAGGCTTGTTTGCATGTGATACTTTTAAGTCAAAACACTCATTGAAGGATTTTTTGGGGGGTGGGGCAGAGCAGAGATATTAATGAAAAATTAAAGAATTCAACTTGTAAGACATTTGTACACATATAAATATATCAATTATATAATCATTGGTGTTCACAGAGCTTGCAGACTCCCTCACGAACCATAATCCCCAGATTCCTTTTCTTTTTTTAAAAAAAGTTAAACTTTCTAGCATTTGTAATAACTCAAGCTGTTTAGTGCGGCAGCGCCGACACTTTGGAACTCCCTGCCTATTGAGATCAAGCAGGTTGCCTTCACTGTGCTTTTTTCAGAACCTGCTAAAAACATTCTTGTATAGAGGAGGCCCATTGACAAATTGCAGCACCGGGTGGAAAGACCGGGCAAAGTTGTTGCAGTATGCACAGCTGTAATCTTCCTCCAAAAAAAGGAGGCAGGGTGGCCAAAAGCAGGAAGAGAAGGAAGAGCAACTGAAGAGGGAACGCCATTCGCAGTACATGGGACAGGAAGCCACGGGTCTTGGGAGCAGCTGGGCTGGCACCACCCCTGTCTTGCCCTCTAATATCAATGCCACTTTGTCTCCAAGGTGTTCCTTCCACCAGCCTTGTTTTCAGACGTGCAAGGTTTCTCCGGTCGCTGAGGACAGCCTCCTGTGTCCAGTTTGTCCACATCCTGCAGAAATGCACTTGTGTCTGGCTTTCCAGACACAGATCCAGCGTCAAGGGCCTTCTGGCGGTTCCCTCATTGCAAGAAGTGAGGTTACAGGGAACCAGACAGAGGGCCTTCTCGGTAGTGGCGCCCACCCTGTGGAATGCCCTCCCTTTAGATGTGAAGGAAATAAGACATCTGAAGGTAGCCCTGTTTAGGGAAGTTTTTAATATTTAATGCTGTATTGTTTTTAACACTCGATTGGGAGCCGCCCAGAGTGGCTGGGGAAATAAATATATTATTATTATTATTATTATTATTATTATTATTATTCCATGTGAGACCTTTAAATCACTTGAGACTCTTTCCAGAAGCTGCTTCAGTTTCTTCCCAATAACGTGGACCTTCTCATGAGCTTCAACATAATCTCCTCCGCCTGATTTGATCAGCAAGTGAGTGGAAATCTCCTGCAGAGTGTTGACTTGCGGCTGCCGTTCCAGAAGCTCCTTCCCCAGTTGCATTAATTGTCTTCGGCCAATGTGGAGAGGACCATTTGTCATTCTGCTCTCCACCCCAGTCAAATAGAAAGGCTCTCCATGGACCCACCACACGCGTGTCAGGTTACAGGGGAGTCTGTAACCTAAAGTGTCTGTAACCCGAGGAGCTTGTAACCCGAGGTACCACTTTACAGCTAATATGTGAATCACAAAGATCCAGCTCAAAGCAGGAACATAAATTGCTACATGGTGCAAATGGCTACACGTAACACAGGTTCCCAACATGCGTACTAACACAATGTAACAGATCACAGTGAGAAGCCACACCGAATCAGCAAAACTGCCAGTGCTTATTGCACATGTGTAGTAAACTTAAAATGAGGTAATGATGTACATGATTGGTGAAAATTGAAACCCTTTGTTTGAAACTTTATAAAAACCATTGCCTGAACCACTGGGCGTGGTTGCAGTTCTGCGGAATGATTCAACTGTAACCTACTGCTTTGCAATAAATGTTTGACTCAACTCCTCAAGCTTCTGGGTTGGCTTAAACTCAGGAGATAAGTCATTTTTGGCTTACAACAATGGCACAAACTTTCATGGTCTCTTGCTCACAAAAAGCTCATGCCACAATAAGCATATTTCTTTCTTAAAGGTGCAAGAATATTTTTTTTTGCTACACCATATAAGCTGCCCTTATAGTTTTCCTGAGAGGGCAGATTTTCTGACTTCCAGGACTGTTGGAAGCGAAGCAAACTGCCGCTTCTACACCTACTATTTGATGAAGCTGTTTCAAGTAAAAGATGGATCGAGTGCTGTTATTTTAACTGCTCTGAGTAGGTTGGCAGAGATACAGTAAATAAACACAAAGCTGGCAGTGTAGTGATTGAAAGCCACCGGTCTACATAGCTCAAGTGCAGGCTAAACATAAAAGCTGAATTACAAAATACCAGACAGCATTAATTGACATGTAGAGCATTTAATCAAAGAATTGTAGAATTAGAAATGATATTTAGTCTGACCCCCTACTACAGGAATTTTGGGACTCTTGACAGTCAAGTATGTGACTCAACTATTTTCACTGCCAATTACATTTTATAGCAATAGTTCACAGCAGAATGGAAGTGCTTTTTGCACAGATGTTCCTGTCAGTTTGTTAAGACTGGGCCCTTTTAAAGAGCAACTTTATTCCTACAGACATACATTGCATAATTCTGCTTAAAAACCCAAGTCGTATTTCCAAAAGCGCTGGCTCAGATGCACACTCCTTGAACAGTGTAACCCAGTTCCCATGCTTTGATCAGCCTCATCCATCAGCTGGTGGCGAAGGGGAAATTCTATGCCAGCAATGCTCCAATTCAAGCTGCCATTATTTTCTCAGGTTAACAAATATGATAACATCATGTGGATTGAACATGCAATGGCCATTGTTAAGATGCCATAGTGAAAGGAGATAGGATGGCTAAATAGTCACGGATGTAGCTAAGAAAGTTTCATTGGCAGAGACCAAGACAGGGGCTTGGCAGGCAAGTCGCACCAGCCCTATCTATTGCAGAACAAGCACCATCTATTGAATGAGAATTATGAATAGATTCCTTTAAAAAGTGACCTACAACTTGTAGGCCAGCCTGAGGCTTAAAAATAGAATCTAGGTATTTGGGTATTTATGCCAGATTGAACACATCTACTCACATACCATCATGCTTGTTTCAAGCAGGAGCCAAAAGCTACCAGATAAGCGAGGGCAAGGGTTTTTAGGTAGCTGCAGCAACTATCAAATGCTAGCTGCTACAGTCACCTGGAGGCTTCTCGGCACTTGACGTCACATTCATTGGCTCCTGTGATATCTGGTGAACACACTCTTTCCCAGCGCCCCAGAAGTTTCCATAGTTGCATGCACCTCTATGGAACAACACACCACCACCTAACTTGTGCATGAAAGGTATTGCACAAGCATTAAAAGTTGTGGAAGTGTCTATCTTAAATTGTCTCTATCTTAAATTGAATTTTTTTCTAAAGTGGTTTAAATCCTTTCCCCCTCCTAACTAACCACAAAGGCAAATTATGCAATAGGACTCTGATTCAACGTCTTTGAACTTCTTATTTGAAAAGCAAATCCACAATTTTGGTAGGGTTTTATGAGCTGCAACTAGAGTTCTGTAAATTTAAACCTCAAGCAACATTTGTTTCCTCTGATTAACAGCAGCAACGGGCTGCGGAGAATAAACCAGCAGTCAATAAATTTTAATTTAAAAGTATTTGCAACCCTAGTAATAAACAGAAACATGTTTGTAGAAGAAAATTACACAGCACTTCACTGTTGGGATTTTCACGGTGGCAACAGTTATTCTCTTTACTATTATTCCGTATGTCATAGATTAATATAATTCCTTATGTCATAGATTGTTACATTTTTTATATTGATAAATTATAATAAATACTTTTATCACACCCCAAAAGCTGCTGTGCAGTTCTGTAAAAACACTGGGTTGTATCCAACATTAGTTATGCTTATAGCATACCCACTGAGATTAATGGACCCAAGTGAATCATGTCCATTCACTTCAATAGGTCTACTCCAAGTTTGATGATTGGAAACAATCCAGTGTTGCCCAAAGTAGTAATGGCACCATTCAGAAATCTCTCCGTAGCTACAGCACACTTCTCATCACTCTAATTAAATAATAAATCACTATTAATCATACTGCACACGTTTTTTTCTCCATCAGCGACTTCCCCATCTCAGACCTCTTCCAACTGCAGCAAGAGCAGCTGCTGCAAGAGAGAGAAACCCAAAGAGCTGTTCAATCATTTCTTTTTCTTTTGACTAGGAAGTTGTGACTGTTCTGAGGGTGAATCACCACCAAGGCCAGGGATTCTCAGCTTGCTTGGAGCTGGAGCAAGGCACGGCTTTGAAATACACTCTCTACGTGCAAATCTGTACGCTGGCTGTTGCAACTGGAAGCCAGCACAAGTAGACAGAAGCTTCCGTAAATGTGGTACTACTTTAAGAGGCTAACATGTGCATCAAGGTTTTAGCAACATTCCTTGTTTATCCGTTTGCTTTGTAACATGAAAAACCTTTACAGAAACTTTTTGGTAAAAGTGGCCTGGGGTTTTAAGAACTCAGTTCCACTTTCATGTGTTGTACTGAACCTTTCTGGAATGAAGGCATGGATAAAAGTGAAGGCTGTTTGGCTAATTTAGAAAAAAAATATATAGTCCTAATAGGAAACCTAATACAGTGGTGCCCCGCAAGATGAATGCCTCGCAAGACGAAAAACTCGCTAGACGAAAGGGTTTTTCGGTTTTGCGTTGCTTCGCTAGACGAATTTCCCTATGGGCTTGCTTCGCAAGACGAAAACGTCTTCCGCTTTTTTTTAAAAGCCACTTGAAGAGGCGCAGTTGCGACAGACCGTGCTTCGCATGACGAAAAACATAGCAAGACGAAAAGACTCGCGGAACGAATTATTTTCGTCTTGCGAGGCACCACTGTAGAGCCAATGCAAACATACTTTAGTCTTCCCTGCTGACCAATGTAAAAAATGAGTGTAACTAGCCAGGAACTCCTCCTTGACAAGCCACACTGAAATGAATTATGTTGTGTAAGATGAATTGATCCATCATGAAAAGGAAACACTGTAATTCTGGATGAACAGTATGTAAGCTCTTTGGGCATCTTCAAGACACAAAGCAGAGGATCCACAGCGCAAAGCTCCTCTACTTATTGGCAGGCTTGGGCCACCATTTTGGGATGGAGGCAGTGACTCTCACGTGCGAATCTCCTGATATTTTTAGATGCAGCGGTTCGTTTATGTTAGCCAACCGCAGTAATGCCACTCCAAGTTCATCTACTCCGGCACGGTACTTTCCAGCCGGCTTTCCTGATTCCAATACAATTTCAGCTCCCTCAGGGATGCTCTCGGAAGACATGGGAGTTGAAAGCTGTATGGGCAAGAGGCGTTTACGGATGACACCCATATGATGGGTCCTAGCTGTTAACTCCTGGCCGATGTAACAGCCTTTGGTAAAACTGATGCCATTCATGTAAGTCAAGTTGGATTCCAAAGGGAGGGCTATTCCAGAAGGGAGGTCTTTAATTCCTTCTGGCACACCTGGAAAAGGGAGAAAATAAAGAGGTAAGTGTTGAACAACACTCATACCTTGAGTAGGAGTTTGACTGGCACTTGGTGCTGCTACTGGTGAGTAGCTAAGTGGTTTATGGGGTAAAACATTATGATCCAATTCCCAAAGATGCTAAGTCAGTGGGAAGAGCACCTTCATTCTGGCACCTGCACTGATTCTCAACTGGTTCTACACACAACAGATTTATAACAATGTTTGCCCTTAGGTTTCTATCACTTCCTCTGCCAGTCACTGCAAGTATAATCATATTGTGGGCTGGATACTGTTTACCAATGAGTACTGAACGGCAGTATTTTCAATTACAACCTGTTGTCGTCTCTTGATGGCCCATCTGCTTTGAGTGCTTCAGCCTTCCCAAATGTGGAATGTTTATTGGAAGCTTGTAAAGTAGAAGATCAGCAACTTAGGGAAGACTGGGACAGGAAATTAGAATGAACTACACAATAGTGAGAGAAAACGAATACAGGTTTTTATTAAAAGAAGAACATATACCTTCCTAACTTCAGAACTGCTTGTTCATGAGAATGTTACCGAACTCCCTTCAGGCCTTTCCAACAATTTCTCTGTTTGCCAGAAAAGCAGATCTTTTCTGGGACATAGAATAGAGCTGGAAGGGACTCAAAGGGTCCTCTAGTCCAGGCATCCCCAAACTTGGCCCTCCAGATGTTTTGGGACTACAACTCCCATCATCCCTAGCTAACAGGACCAGTGGTCAGGGATGATGGGAATTGTGGTCCCAAAACATCTGGAGGGCTGAGTTTGGGGATGCCCGCTCTAGTCCAACCCCCTGCAATGCAGGAACCTCAGCTAAAGCATCCATGGCTTCACTGAACATGATCCTCCTTTGTGGCGAAGATACTTCTGTGTGAACCAGTATAGAGGGTCACCACGCCCTCCAGAATAACAGCTGCAGAAATAACTAAATTGTTGTCTTTTGTTCACATTAATGCCGTGATAGTGATTATTTCCAAAATAAGGTGTTTGTTTGGAAAGTACCTGCTGTCATGAATGAAGAATGCTTAGAATCCAGAGAGTCACAATTCTTTTTAAAAATTATGTTTTGGAGAACTGGCAATTATGGAAATTGTGCACAAATACCAGCAGATCACCACCAAGGAGGTTCACACAATTTACATTAAATTCTGTATTGGCCAGGGGAAGAACAAATCAGATCCAAATTTATCAAACTGTCACCACTACCCCACACTCAAGCGTCAGTCTCAATGTCAGCTTAATTGTTTACAAACATTCCATTCACAAGGTGGATAGCTGATAAACGTCACTTTAAATAATGTTCAGGAAAGTTGAGTCCTTAGGTTTTGTTTCATCCTATAGGCATGTTGCCATTCCCACCAACAAACTATTTTTACAACTTAGTGGGGAAAAACCACAGCCCGGTGGTCATATTATGTCGCAATTTATAAAACAAAACTTAAAATCAGATCTGGTATGGTTCTCACTATGCCCACTACAGGGTTGGCAATGTGGGGAAAGCCTTTCATAATATATATCAGCCTTCCCCAACATGGTGCCCTCCTAATGTTTTCGACTACAGCTCCCATCATGTAACTTATTGTTTGTAGGTTGCTTTGAGATTCACTTGAATGGGAAGTGGCATCAGTATCTGAACTGATGTTTTGAAGGTGTTATTGTTGCTTTATTATATGCTTGCTGCCCTGGACTCCTTCAGGAAAAGGGGCAAGATATAAACTTAATGAATACAATAATAAATACCATAATCATTCAATTGATGCGCTAAGTGTTAATTCCGCAAACGTTCATGTGTTTAGTTATCATTGTGCAATGCCTACATAAAGCAAAACTTCTGCTTCCAGAACAGCTGTTCAAAGATTGGGGCAGTTTTACCTTGTTTATACCTGTGCCTATGATAATCCTTAACATTCCCAATCTGGCATCCAGGAACAACCTCCAGTGGTTCTGTGCCTTTGCTGGTTATCAGCCTCCAACCCATAACACCCACTCTGGGGTCAGGCGTTGCAACCACTGCTTTGCCGGCACACTGTTGGAGTTTACAGGCCCCCTCCTGAGACAGTTCCTTTGGAATGACAGCCCACAAGGAGAGGTCAAGGCAGGGGGTGATGTTTACTTTCCTCCGTATTTTATACAGTTTCAAATGCTTTTGAAGGGACTCCAAGACCCCGGCATCACACTCCAACAGGATGTGGGGCTCTTCTTGCTGGCTTTCGTGAATTCTGAAAAAGATCCAAGATCAGGAGAAAATAAGAGTCGTTAATAGGAAGGCCTTGATCCCAGTTCTGTCCCTTTCCTTTCTGTCTGCAAAGAACCTCAAACTTTTTAAAGCTCCTCTTCCTTATATTGTGCCGGATTGTTTCCAGTGGCAGAAAACAAAGCAAATTAAGGCTGCACGCTATATAGTGGTACCTCAGGTTACATACGCTTCAGGTTACATACGCTTCAGGTTACAGACTCCGCTAACCCAGAAATATTGCTTCAGGTTAAGAACTTTGCTTCAGGATGAGAACAGAAATCGTGCTCCGGCGGTGCGGCAGCAGCAGGAGGCCCCATTAGCTAAAGTGGTGCTTCAGGTTAAGAACAGTTTCAGGTTAAGTACGGACCTCCGGAACGAATTAAGTACTTAACCTGAGGGACCACTGTAGATGCTTACTAAGTACCTCTGAGTATATTTGGGTGGAATTCACCAACTTGGATGGTTTTAAAAGAAGATTAGACAAACTCATGGAGGAGAGAGCTCTTAATGGCTACTAGGCATGAGTCTCTTTGGTTCTTGAGAGGTCTCTGCCAAAATTCATGTTCTACACAGGCTGGTCACAACAGGCAAAACCCTGACACCCATGTAAAGAGTCCTTTTTTGTTTTGCAATCCCTTATTTTACACCACTCTAACTGGAGGAAGTGCGTATGACTGAGGATACGATGCCTGAGGGGGTCCCCAAATCCTGGAGCCAGCTTTGCCTTTAAGAAAACTGGCACAGGACTCCAGCCGCAATGTCTTGCATGCTGACTTTGGAGCAAGACCCAGAGCATTCAGTGGAACTTCCAAGAAAGCGCATGTAGACACTGACTGTTAAAAGTGCCTTCCTTTGCTTTTGGCACCCTGCGTATATGTTGCAATAACCCTATACTTAAATAGTTATTTGTTCTATTGTTACTTCATGTACAGTGGTACCTCAGGTTACATACGCTTCAAGTTACATACCCTGCTAACCCAGAAATAGTGCTTAAGGTTAAGAACTTTGCTTCAGGTTGAGAACAGAAATCGTGCTCCAGCAGCGCGGCAGCAGCGGGAGGCCCCATTAGCTAAAGTGGTGCTTCGGGTTAAGAACAGTTTCAGGTTAAGTACGGACCTCCGGAACGAATTAAGTACTTAACCCGAGGTACCACTGTACTGCATTCATCATGAGTAGTTACAATGAACCGGTAGATCCTATCTGCTGCAGCCTTCATCCGCCTTCACAGCAGTTGTAACAAACCACTTGTTATCATCTGCCTGTTCTGCTCTTGGATCATTCTCAAGGCAAATCTTAAAAAATGTAGTATAAACACCGACAACTGGAAAACACTGGTCTGTGAGCGCTCCAGTTGGAGAACAGCCTTTACCAAAGGTGTCATGAGCTTTGAAGACACTTGAACTCAGGACGCAAGGGAGAAACGTGCTAAGAGGAAGGCACACTTTGCAAATCCACACCTGGGAACCAATGTCCCCACTGTGGAAGGACGTGTGGGTCCAGAATTCACAGTCACTTATGGACTCATTGTTAAAACCGTGTTTATGGAAGACAATCTTACTCGGCTATGAGTGATCGCCAAAGAAGAAGCAGCATTCATCAGCCTTTGCAAGAACTGTTCCTGACTAAAAATGACAAATATCTGCACTGCTGAAGGCATTTTTTTCACCCTGTATAAAATAACACTATACCATTGTTGTTATTTATTTTATGCATCTTATATATATATACTGTAAACTGAACCTGTCATCTTCGGATTAAAAGCCGTATATAAATTTAAAACTATTATAATAAAAAAATGAGAATTTAAAACAACAATACTAATTTTTATAATAATTAAAATAATAATATACAGCAGCAATTATTATGCCTATGGGGGACTAGAAAATCGCGTCAGACACGACTAAACGACCAAACACCAACAACTTTGCATTCACTAATGCGCCCATGCAGCTGCAAAGCAGGGAACCTCTCTGTACAGAGTGACGTCATACTGACCTGTACAGAATGACGTCATAGAGGCACCTCCCCTGGACGTTGAGGGCATGCGCGTAGATGGCGCGAGGCGCGTCCGCAGCCCCGCCCTCCGCCGCCGCCAAACGCGTCACGTCATTGGTCAGCAAGCCCTGGAGGAAGGTCACCGCCTCCGGGCCTTGGAAACGGAGCAAGGCGCGGCTCAGCGGAAAGCAGCCGGCGGTCGCTTCCTCGCCCTGTCCGCAGCTCAGCCTCCTTCCTTCGCTGCCGAAGCGCAGCCTGCGAGGGAGGCCCCTCCGCAGCGCTGCGCTCGCCCTCACCAGCATGGCGACCTGAGGAAAAGTGCCGAGGGTAGAGGCGCCGGCCTCCCTACCGCCATATTGTGTGTGGCGGAGAGCTGAGGGCGGGAAGCGAGGCCGAGTGCGCAGGCGCACAGGCCTCCTTTGCTGCCTTGGGCGCACCCTCTTGGCCGTTCCTTGTTACTGCAGCGTGGAGTGTAGCACCGAGAGGGGGCGGGGCTGTCGCTTCAAACCCCGCCTCCCATTGGCCCAGGCGCTGCTGCTGCTGCTACATTCTGCTGCACGTGCTCCATTTGTAGGCAAGCTAGAGCCCGGGGCCAGATCCGGCCCAATCGCCTTCTAAATCCGGCCCGCGGACGGTGCATGTTTTTATATGAGTGGAATGTGTGCTTTTATTTAAAATGTATCTCTGGGTTATTTGTGGCTCATAGGAATTTGTTCATTCCCACCCGCCCTAAAAGAAAATATAGTCCAGCCCCCCACACGGTCTGAGGGACAGTGAACTGAAAACGTTTGCTGACCCCTGTCCTAAGGTCTCTCTGCAGTTCCAGGGAAGCAAACCTTCCCTGCTGAGTGAGATGGCGTTACTTCCAAGTAAGCGTGCACAGGACTGCAAGCTGATTGGACTCAAACCATTTGGGGAATGTGTTCCTGTACCTGTATACTGACTGATTCAGTGCACTAATTCCACACCCTATGCAACCTGCTGGTCTATCTCCACAGGGAATCAATGAAGTGCTATACTCAGACATTTTATTCTCTATTCCTACAGTGATGGGTCCAAATTACACAGCATATTGATATTTGAGTTATTATTACTTGGACAGTCCTAGTGAAAGCTGCCCTGAGCTATGCTTGATTCTCTTAATAGAACGCAAAGGCTCACCAAAGAAGAACATATATTGCATTTTCTTTTAAGATTGCTAGCCTGCATATAGGGACTGGACGCGGGTGGCGCTGTGGGTTAAACCACAGAGCCTAGGACTTGCCGATCAGAAGGTCGGTGGTTCGAATCCCCGCGACGGGGTGAGCTCCCGTTGCTCGGTCCCAGTTCCTGCCAACCTAGCAGTTCGAAAGCACGTCAAAGTGCAAGTAGATAAATAGGTACCACTCCGGCAGAAAGGTGAACGGCGTTTCCGTGTGCTGCTCCGGTTCGCCAGAAGCGGCTTAGTCATGCTGGCCACATGACCCGGAAGCTGTACGCCGGCTCCCTTCGCCAATAAAGCGAGATGAGTGCCACAACCCCAGAGTTGGCCACGACTGGACCTAATGGGCAGGGGTCCCTTTACCTTTACCTATATAGGGACTGTGTTGTTTTGGCTGTATTTAAGTTACTCAGGCAGCCTTTTTGGCTGAAGACCAAGGTACAAATGCTCCATTGAGCCTCTCTGTGTGTGTGTACGCAAATGTGCATGGGGTTGATGCCAAACTGGGTCTTTGACTCGGGATAAAATAAAGCCTAGTTTTGCCCCTGCTTAGTATCATCAGCATTGATTGGCAGCAGCTCCTCTGTGTGTCAGGCAGGGGACATTCCCAGCTGGACATGCCATGGATTGAACCTGTAACCTTCTGCATGCCAAGCAATTGTTCCGCACCCAGATTTGAGCAGTTGGTGAAACATCCCAGCATGTTCCAGATTCATTCCGGACCGCTTCGAACATAGGCCATATGCAGAGCCAGACTATTGTTCCATCTAGTTCATTGTTTGCCGGCTGAATGGCAGTGGCTCTCCAGGATTCCAGACAAGGGGACATTCCCAGCCCTTACCTGGAGATACTGAGATTTGAACCTGGGACATTATGCATCCAAATCAGATGCTCTGGCCCTGAGCCACAACCTTTCCTTCTTCCACCTCTGTAGGAGGAAAGAGCTTGGATTTTGGACTCTTCCAGGGACCAGATGGCTGCCATTCATAGCCTCTTAGCCTAACCTACCTCACACGGTTGTTGTTAGGATGAAATGGGGAGGTTGAGAACCATGTACACCAGTGCTTGAGCTCATTAGAAGAAAAAGGTGGCATATTTGCTGTTTAGTCTTGTCCTACTCTTTGTGACCCCATGGACCAGAGCATGCCAGGCCCTCCTGCCTCCTGCAGTTTGGTCAAACTCATGCTGGTAGCTTCGAGAACACTGTCCAACCATCTCGTCCTCTGTCGTCCCCTTCTCCTTGTGTCCTCCATCTTTCCCAGCATCAGGGTCTTTTCCAGGGAGTCTTCTCTTCTCATGAGGTGGCCAAAGTATTGGAGCCTCAGCTTCAGGATCTGTCCTTCCAGTGAGCACTCAGGGCTGATTTCCTTCAGAATGGCGAGGTTTGATCTTCTTGGAGTCCATGGGACTCTCAAGAGTCTCCTCCAGCACCATAATTCAAAAGCATCAGTTCTTTGGCGATCAGCCTTCTTTATGGTCCAGCTCTCACTTCCATACATCACTACTGAGAAAACCATAGCTTTAACTATACGGACCTTGTATATAAATTCAATCAATCAATCAATCAATCAATCAGTAATCCCAAAATTCAATTCAATCCACTCTCCCGCTGCTGGGAAGAGGATTCAGTCCAGTCGAGGCCTGCCTCCCCAGCACGTTTTCTGTGGAGAACGCACTAGCATAACCAGGGTTAGCCCAAGTGTTATGTACTGAGTTGAATAGGATCCAAAATGCAGCAGTCTGATTGGTCCTAGAACAATAGGATTCAGAATGCAGCAGTCTGATTGGTCCTAGAACAATAGGATTCAGAATGCAGCAGTCTGATTGGTCCTAGAACAATAGGATTCAGAATGCAGCAGTCTGATTGGTCCTAGAACAATAGGATCCAGAATGCAGCAGTCTGATATTTCACCAAGACATTTGGGTACCTGTGTGTGCCACAAAATGGTACACACACACCTTGCCACCAGGGAAGAAGGGTGAGTGAAGATCTACCTTAGGAACTAGGGGGAAATAAAGATCTGCCTTGGGATCTGCCGCCCTAGTGGATCCTGCTGCCTGAGGCGGTCGCCTCACCTTGCCTCATGGGTGAGCTGGCCCTGAGCAAAGCAGACCCCTTAAGGCTTTCTGCTGGCCCCTTGACAGTTCCAGATTGCTGTGGACATGCAGAGCGATCCAGGAATCTCACCACCCATATTGGGCCCAATGCAGTTCTATATTTCAGGTTCTGGCCGGATCCGATGCACAGCCTTAGCAGTTGGGGAGGGGGAGTTTGGGGGTTCAATCCTGCGGGTTGCTGCTTTGCAAGAGCCTTCTCAACTTAGCGATCTTATATACTACACTATTATGAACTGAACCTTCTCTAGTCAGTTAGTTCAGAAGAAGAGTAAATTTTGTAAAGCAGTTATTCAAGGCTGAAGTTAAGAGTGGGCCCAGTCCTATGCATGTTTATTCAAAAATACCGTATTTTTCGCCCTATAGGACGCACTTTTTCCCCTCCAAAAATGAAGGGGAAATCTGTGTGCGTCCTATGGGGCGAATACAGGCTTTCTCTGAAGCTTGGAGAGTGAGAGGGGTTGGTGCGCACCGACCCCTCTCGCTCTCCAGGCTTCAGGAAGCTATCAGCAAGCCTGGGGAGCCCGCGGGAGTTCCCGCAGGGCTCCCCACGCTGCGGATAGCAGCCTGCCGCCCGGCGTGCAGGGCGCTCTGAGTAGAGCGCCCCGCGCCGGGCAGACATCGCCCAGCCCCACAAGCTCGGGGGACAGCTGGGAGGCGCAGCGCCGCCATACCGCTGTTCCCCGACCTGGTTTTTTGGGGGGAAATAAAGGGGGGGGGAATTTTCCTTTGTTTCCCCCCCCCCCCAAAAAAAAACAACCCAGGTGCGTCCTATGGGACGGAGCGTCCTATGGGACGAAAAATACGGTAATATCTGCTGGTTTCAGTGGGGAATATTGACACGCAAGTACACAGCTGTGTAGTATAGTCATATTTGTGTTTTCTTGGAAGATGTTTTAATGGGACTTCCTCTCCTTTTGTTCTAATGAGGCTTACGCCTTAGCCTTTTCACGTCTCACTGCAAGAACAATGAGAGTCAAACTAAAATGTGCTACCTCAAAGGAGCGCTGGTGCAGAAATGCACGAGGTGTCCTGTGTAACTCCAAAGCTTGCATCCAACATCCTTCACCACTTTTTGGACCAAATAAAAGGTATTTCCTCATGTGTACTTTTGATGAGGACACATGCAACTTCCCTAGAGCAGTGGGACTAATTTAGAACTGCTGCATCTGCTGCAACTTTTGCCCCCAGGACGGAACCTGAGAAGGAATCATTCTTCAGTTTTGCAACAAGAATTAGTGAGCCCAGCACTGATTGACTAGCGCCTGTGTCGTCTCTAAGAAACCTCTAAAATTTTCTGAGCAGTTTTGTGATGTTCAGATATTCCCTTTTGTTTTTAATAAGTTAATGAACATGCAGAGCTTTTAAAACGGGATGGGGAGAGGGCAGCCTTTCTGAAGGGTAACAACAACAGGGAAGATTGACGGGTGAGCCAGTGTTCCTTATGCTGGTATTTTAGTTGTTGTGATTGACATCAGGAGGAAGCTTGGCTGATGGGTGGCAGCAATCTTTACATCAAATATGTATTTACCCTGTGTTTTATTGTTAGGAGTTATAATCTAGCAAACATGGAAACAAGTCCCCATGGCTACATTTAAAAAAAAAAAAACTTTTGAAGGACACACATTAGCCCTTCTACATAATTGTTTGCACTTCTCATACAACAAACCAGATCAAAAGTTTGATTCCATTTTATTAGTATTGAACAACGAACATCCAACAGTTTTGTGCTGTTGCTTTTTAAAATGTCCTATCATTCTAAATACAATCCAACGGTAACAATTTACATGAAAAATATTTACAGAGAAAAGAGTCAGTTTTGCACTCAAAACGTTTCTCATACAACTTGCAAGTTAGTACAAAAAAATAGTAACATAACAGCATAGATTTGTTATGGCCTTTTAGTTAATTTCAAGTATTTTCCAGTGGAATGGAATGTGAGTGACAGCATAATCTGGCTTCTGTTCTGGTTTTTAAACTTGAAACCTTTTAAAAATCATATTAACTGTTAGAGCTTCCCACATGACCGCCTGGGAACTGCAGGGAAAGTGTTGCAATTTCTTTGTGGCAGATCTCAGTCTCCTTCATAAAACTACAATTCCCAGGGTGCCTTGTGAGGAAGTGTTGATTTTTATAGTTAAAACGATGGGTTCTTAAAAACTTTCTCTACTGCAGATATTATTGTACATTGCTTATTCTTTGCGGGGAATCACATTTTTAAAAATGGAATGGATACCACAAGACAGGGTCACTTGAAACGTTTCTGAACGAAAACTCATTATAACTTCTGCATTCCAATGCAGCTGTAAAGTGAAGTAGCATATGCACAAATCAGGCAACACCTGCCATTTTCTATGAACACTTGCTATTTTCCTTCTCCCACCGGGGTCATTGCAGTAACAATGGAGTGTAGAAGGAGTTGACTAAATTTGCATCTATTTATCTAGCAGTTCAAAAGCACGTCAAAGTGTAAGTAGATAAATAGGTACCACTCCGGCGGGAAGGTAAACGGCGTTTCCGTGTGCTGCTCTGGTTTGCCAGAAGCGGCTTAGTCATGCTGGCCACATGACCTGGAAGCTGTACGCTGGCTCCCTCGGCCTATAGAGCGAGATGAGCGCCGCAAACCCAGAGTTGGCCACGACTGGACCTAATGGTCAGGGGTCCCTTTACCTTTACCTATCTTCATTGAGGCAAGAGTCAGAAAGGATACTTCACCACCCTTATGTAAACCTACAGGGAGTTCATGGCCACTAGCCAGAATTTTCCTGCAATTTCTGATTTGCTCTCTTCTCACTTTGGGAACAGGCGATTAGCCAGCGGCCACAGACTTGGAGGAAACGGTTGGGAAAGTTTTGAAGAAACTCAAGAAGCCTCTCTGTTTGTTATGACAAAGTCTGAAAAGGGATGTGGGATATTCACATAGCCATTTTGACACTGAAGTCATCGCTGCAAAGTGGCTTTCTTTCCCCTGGTTCCACTGTTTTTGTTTTTGCTTCATTCTTTCAAAAGCAGAAGCTTGGTGGACTCTTGTCTATAGCGATATTGTGCTGCTGCTGACCACAATGCTATTCACCAGGACAAAGATAAAAATGGTTGCGGCTTCAGGGACTAATCTACACTGGGGAGTTATAACTTTAAAAATGTGTTATAAAAATGTGACACCAGAGGGCGTAGTAGAGCAGCGATCTGTCGCCAAAGAGAAATTGCATCGGGAGCTATATATTTTTATGGCGTTTTCCAGATCAGTGTAGATCAAGCCTTGATTACAGTATCAAAATGGTCATTGTGAATTGAAACTTTGAAAGGGTATTTTATAATGACACCCAGTATTTGTGCCTAGCGTGATTTACATCTCCGACAGGAACAGGGAGCTTGTGGACCTTGAGAGGTTGTTGGACTTGAACTCCCAACAGTTCCAAACAACACAGCTGATGGACAGGGGATGATGGGAGTTGTAATCCCATTACAAATGGAGGCCCCCTGATCTAGGACAACCTATTTCCCTAGGGAAGAGAAGGTTGCATTGTGGAACAAGGAGTCTCCTTGCCATGAAAAAAGGGCAGATATGTTTATTTTTCTCTCACCTTCTGAAATTTTGACTTCTTTTTTTTTTGTTAAACCTCCCAGTGCTTTATTCCCACCCACCCCCAACACTTTTAGGAAAAGAGCAGAGATTCAAATATACCTGCACCCACCGCATCCAGAATTGTAAGCCTTTCTTCCTAACACCTGAATGAGAAACTACAGAGACTCCTCAGTGGCAACAAAGATGAGCAGGGAGTGCACTCTGTGTGTGCTCAGGGGTAATCTGTTCAAATCTCTAGAGCTTATATCAAAGTTTAAGCAAGAAAACAGCCCGAGGGCAGCTGATTCGCACAACTATTTCCGTATGGGGAAGCCACCATGAAACGCTGCCCTCCTGCTTCTCAGCACCACAATTTCCGCTGGTGCTCAGCCAAAAGGCTCCGAAACTAGAACTGTCTGCTTGAGTTTTGAATTTGAAAGAGTGCTAAAATCAGCAAATTGCAGAGGTATGGGGATTTTTTTGTTGGTTGTGGAGAGACTTGTAGCTGCAGCTCCTCTGGGCAGCCCTCAATGTTTTTCTCCCCGGTAACCCAGGAGTGATATTAAGAGAAGAAAGAAAGAAACTGAAGACTTCCATGCCGACAGTGGATAAGAACATAACATAAGGAGGGTCTGCTACATCAGGCCAATGGCCCATCTAATCCACAATCCTGTTCTCACAATGGCTGACCTGTGGGAAACCTGTAAGCAGGATCCGGGCCCAAGAGCCCTCTCCCCTCCTGCGTTTTCCAGGAGCTGGTATTTAGAAGCCTTCAACTGTGGAAGCAGAGGACAGCCATCATGGTCAGTAGCCACCGAAAGCCCTCTCTTCCATGAAGCCCTCACTTCACGACCCACCAATTTGCCATGATGTTAATGTCTCCTCCATCATTCCTTCAAAATGTGGGTTGACCCATGAGCTTTCACTGAAGGTAGGTGCTGGGGCTCAGACCTGGTGAATCCCGGCACAAATTGAGCCCTGCTTCATCCCTGGGATACTGATTTCCTTCTACCCCAAATTGGAGCCCAGATGTTGTCCCTGTTCTGTGTTCTGTTCCCTGAGATTAAAGAGCCCTTGCCTGATGGGAAAGCAATTGACTTTTATTTTACTGTTTCCTTGATTACATATGTAATTTTCCCTCCTCCAACTAACTGCTTGTCGACAAGTTAGCTAGGGTTGCCTCCTTTTCTAGGACATGCTTTCAGCAGCCGCACAAGAGGCAGAAATTCAACAGTGTTCACGTTCCCCATCATTTTGGGGAGGACTGCACCTGACAAATTTTTGCCTGCCACACAACTGCTAAAACCACAGCCTCCGATTGGAAAAGGGGAGTTGGCAACACCTACATTTACAAGCCCCCTTGTTATGTTAGCGAAGAGACACTCTTCCTCCAAAATGAATCCCAATTTATCATAAATATTGACCACGATTTTGGCTTACCCATAGTATTGCAAGGACACTACCCTTGACCTCAGTTCCTGAGGCAAACTGGTCTCTCCCTGTAGCTGACATTTGCATTCTCTAGACTCTGAGGACCAAATGGAGCAGGGGCAAGCGACCGTGGACATCCATTTATTGTAGGACTCCCAGATGGCCTGTCCAGCCATCATGGTCAGTGGTCAAGCATGATGGAAATTATAGTCCGGCAATGAGAGCCATAGGTCCCCCATGCCTGAAACAGAGGTTTGATTTCAACCACACAGAGATCTATTGCAATTTGGCCAGGGGAGAACAGACCCGGCTCAATATTTCATTTTGAAAATATAATACATATTGCCTGAGTGCTTTTCCACACGCAGATGTGTATGTGCTTGCAAATGCAACACCATGATCAATTTCCCTGCAAATTATGGGTACTCCTCAGATGCTGGCTTTGTCCAGATGCCTGAGCAACTGGTACGCTGATTATCTGCAACATCCATGCTCAGGTGGAGGAAGGTGAGGGCGGCCACATCTGGGAGGTGGGCACACTGACTTCTGGAGTCCCAGAACATTTGCAAAGCCACAGGTCCCCCCCCCCACATCCCCGCTCTACACAGAGACACAACAAAGATATCACAAGTGTTCAGGTGTTCCGTCTTTGCAGCGTTATTTAAGGCACTTTTGGTTAGGGTGTGGTACAAGCAGTGGTTAAAAACCCTTCTCAGTGACAGTGGCCAAAGGGAATGCTCCATTTTCCACTGCAAAGGAAGAAAATGTCCTTGTCTGCTTCTCAGCTCACTGCTGAGGATCAAGGGAGTAAACACCGCACATCTCTGAAGCAGGTGACTCCACTGAAGCCAACTGTGAAAATCCCACAGACATGCTAGATTTGGGGTTTCAGCCTCATTTTGGAAAGCTGACCGCTGCTTTGTGGAAGCCATTAAACAGTTCAGAGGAGGGCATGGCTACGTATACGGATTAGTAAACCTTTAGCGAGTGCAGCAGTGGTCTTCCTGCAAACCTGATCAACCACTCAGAGCAGCCTTGTAAGATGTTGCGGCAGCTTCTGCAGGTGGGCAGGTTGCGTTCCACCAACGAGGTTAGAAATTAAAAGGGTTATTTCAGTCATTTAAAGCAGAATGGAAGGAGGAAAGGGGAGGCATGGTTTGGACTGACAGTTGCTTAGCACAGACAACCCCCTATGGAGGAACAGTAGTCTTGATGCAATAAAGCCTTGGACGCAGAATTCTCACACTTTTTCCTCCATAAACCCAGGCCCTGACCACAAACTTGCAAGCTGGTGTGGGCTGCCGTTGGAATCGATGCAGCCAGAAGTGACACGACTTCCAGTTCACACACAACCTATCAGGTACCAAACTTAAGGATAAAACGGGGGCATAAGAGGCAGCAATGGATAGATTGGCAAGTGTGTGGAAAGCGGAAAAGGATGGATTGGCAAGGAGGAAAGCAGAGGAACGGGGAAAGCAGAGGAAGAGAAGACATCCCAAATGTAACCAGCACAGCAAGGGAGGTGATACCTGAGAGCCATACTGAGCAAATCTGGAGTCCCAGGCCCTCTACATCACGGGGATAAGCCATTTAACTGGAGGGCAGGCCTTGCAGCCAGCACACCCTCTCCCCGTTCCATCTGACAGGGGACACTGCCCAGGAATATACTCTGGAAGCATCATGGCACAACCTGGTGACTTCTCTTTGGGAGTAACAAGACATGTGCAAAGGGTTCCGCCACTTCCAGGTAGCTGATTCGTGCATCGAGGGGGCAGGATTGGTGAAGGATGGCGAAGAGAGGCTTCTTGCCAACCCACTAGATGGTCCTGAAATGCATTGCTCATTTGGCAAGACCCCCAAAAAGAACCCCATTGCTAGCGCCGTCTTGGGGCCGGTTCCGTTCCCGACAGAGAAGCCACCCCCACCTTGTCGTCATCAGGCTATATACCTTGTTAGATCCACACTGAGTTTTTCCCATCCTTGCTGTTCGAGCTACCTTTCTCTGAGCTGGCTTTGGGTTTGGCGCCTTGCTTCTCCTGCACGGTGTTGGCCCGGTTTTGCTCTGCCACCATCCCGCCAGAAGCCGAGCTGCTGGTTCTGGACGGCTGCCCGTTCGCCTGCGTGTGGTTGTAGCTCTGGAAAGCAATGTCCAGCTGCTCCTGAGCCACCCGCAAGTGTTTGTGGAGCGTGGACAAGTCCGGCGGGAGGTTCTCGTCGGGGCTGGTGCACTGCTGCTCCTGGGCTACGTTGGCCAAGTTCTGCTCGTGAGCCATCAGGCTGTTGGGGACCTTGGCCTGCTTGTCCGACTTGACCACCAGGTTGTATTCCGGGGGGCAGGAGATGTTCTTCGGGTAGGCAGCGTAATTGTAGGGCGGCTGGCGGAAGCTGTGCACCTTCCGGTCGCGGATGGCGTCGCGGATGGTGCCGATGCCCAGATGGCACATCTCGGCCACGTTGAGGAGGAGGCAGAGGCAGCTGACCACGTACATCACCAGGAGGAAGATGGTCTTCTCCGTCGGCCTCGAGACAAAGCAGTCGACGTCGTGGGGGCACGGCTGCCGGGTGCAAAGGTAGTAGGGCGTGACCTCGAAGCCGTAGAGCATGTACTGCCCTATCAAGAAGCAAATTTCGAAAGAAGCTCTGGTGAGGAGCTGGAAGACGTAGATCTTCATCAAGCCCTCCTCTTGAATGTGTCTCCTGCCGTCGTGCTTCTTCTGTTGCTGCTCTTTCTTCTTCTCCTCCTTCGTCTTGACCTTCTCTTCGCTTTCCGCCACATCATCCACGATCATGGGCTCTTCCTCCTCGGCTCCCAGGGGGTCCTCCAGGTTGCGGACGGCTTGCCAGTTGAGCGCAAACTGCTTCTTCTTCTTGAAGCCCCGGAACCTCTTCTTCTCCTCCTCGGAGGACCTGGCGATCCTGTGGATGGCGTAGCCCAAGTAGATGACGGAAGGGGTGGAGATCATGATGATCTGGAAGACCCAGAAGCGGACGTGCGACAGCGGGGCGAAGGCATCGTAGCAGACGTTGTCGCAGCCGGGCTGCTTGGTGTTGCAGGTGAACTTGCTCTGCTCATCCGAGTAGATGGACTCGCCCCCGACGGCCGTCAGGACGATGCGGAAGACGATCAGGACCGTCAGCCAGATCTTCCCCACGAAAGTGGAGTGATTGTGGATTTCTTCCAGCAGGCGGGTGAGGAAACTCCAGCTCATGTTTGTCATAGGGGCTAATCATTTATAACCTGCAAGAAAAGGACAAGGGAGGTCAAAGCACAGTTAATGCCAGTCTGTCCCACAGAAGATGCTGCTGCTACACCATAATTGTAGAGTTGGCAGGGACCACGGGGGTCATCTAGTACAACCCCCTGCAATGCAGGAATCCTTTTGCCCAACATAGGTCTCGAACCCATAACCCTGAGATTAAGAGTCTCATGCTCTGCCGACTGAGCTATCCCACCTGCTTCCTGTTAGGAGTTTTCCAAGGCTCATATATGCTCTGCTTCCCCTGTTTCTGCATAAGAGTAACCTAAATTATGGATCATGTGCATAAAGGGTAAAGGGACCCCTGACTATTAGGTCCAGTCATGGCCGACTCTGGGGTTGCGGCGCTCATCTCGCTTTATTGGCCGAGGGAGCCAGCGTACAGCTTCCGGGTCATGTGACCAGCATGACGAAGCCGCTTCTGGCGAACCAGAGCAGCGCATGGAAACGCCGTTTACCTTCCTGCCGGAGTGGTACCTATTTATCTACTTGCACTTTGATGAGCTTTCAAACTGCTAGGTTGGCAGGAGCAGGGACCAAGCAACGGGAGCTCACCCCATCGTGGGGATTCGAACCACTGACCTTCTGATCGGCAAGTCCTAGGCTCTGTGATTTAACCCACAACGCCACCCGTGTCCCTGCGCCACAGACCTTTGCATAGGTATGCTCCCTCCCCTCACCCTTCTGCCAGGGTGGATGGGCAGGAAAAGAGCAGCAGCCGCGGTAGTGCATCTGCTTTGCATGCAGAAGTACCCGGGTTCAATCCCAGACATTTCCAGGCAGGGTTGGGATCTGACCCACTCTGAAATCCTGGAGAGCTCCTGCCAGTCAGTGCAAACCTCACTGAGCTAGATGGACCATCAGTCTGACTTGGTACAGTGGTACCTCGAGTGATCATGAGCCAACAGTGTGACGCGGCAGCTAAAAAGGCCAATGCAATTCTGGGCTGCATCAACAGGAGTATAGTATCTAGATCAAGGGAAGTAATAGTGCCACTGTATTCTGCTCTGGTCAGACCTCACCTGGAGTACTGTGTCCAGTTCTGGGCACCACAGTTCAAGAAGGACACTGACAAACTGGAACGTGTCCAGAGGAGGGCAACCAAAATGGTCAAAGGCCTGGAAACGATGCCTTATGAGGAACGGCTAAGGGAGCTGGGCATGTTTAGCCTGGAGAAGAGGAGGTTAAGGGGTGATATGATAGCCATGTTCAAATATATAAAAGGATGTCACATACAGGAGGGAGAAAGGTTGTTTTCTGCTGCTCCAGAGAAGCAGACACGGAGCAATGGATCCAAACTACAAGAAAGAAGATTCCACCTAAACATTAGGAAGAACTTCCTGACAGTAAGAGCTGTTCGACAGTGGAATTTGCTGCCAAGGAGTGTGGTGGAGTCTCCTTCTTTGGAGGTCTTTAAGCAGAGGCTTGACAACCATATGTCAGGAGTGCTCTGATGGTGTTTCCTGCTTGGCAGGGGGTTGGACTCGATGGCCCTTGTGGTCTCTTCCAACTCTATGATTCTATGATTCTAGGTTACAAACACTTCGGGTTACACGCAGTGGTTCTCAACCTGTGGGTCCCCAGATGTTGTTGGACTACAACTCCCATCATCCCTGAGCTTTGGCCTTGCTAGCTAGGGGTGATGGGAGTTGTAGTTCAACAACATCTGGGGACCCACAGGTTGAGAAAGGCTGGGTTACAGACTCCGCTAACCCGGAAGTAGTACCTCGGGTTAAGAACTTTACCTCAGGATGAGAACAGAAATCGCGCGGCGGCAGCGGGAGGCCCCTTTAGCTAAAGTGGTGCTTCAGGTTAAGAACGGTTTCAGGTTAAGAACGGACCTCCAGAATGAATTAAGTTCGTAACCCAAGGTACCACTGTACAATGGTACCTCGGGTTACATACGCTTCAGGTTACAGACTCCGCTAACCCAGAAATAGTGCTTCAGGTTAAGAACTTTGCTTCAGGATAAAAACAGAAATCGTGTTCCAGCGGCGCGGCGGCAGTGGGAGGCCCTATTAGCTAAAGTGGTGCTTCAGGTTAAGAACAGTTTCAGGTTAAGAATGGACCTCCAGAACGAATTAAGTACTTAACCCGAGGTACCACTGTATAAGGCAGCTTTCTATGATTCTAAAAATAGAGGCACTGAGTCAGAGAGGTATGAAATCTCTCTGTGACACACAAGAACTTTGTACACACTTTTTCCTTACAAGAGGAAACCCCGGGCAAAGCCTGGACTTCCCTCTTGATAAAGACTGGGCAGAGCCATCACAGGCTGGGGAAAATTGCTTCGCAGGCTGGGACCAGGTGCCGTTGGCGAACACTATTCTAAGACCCGTTGGCAGGTTTGCGCTGTGTTTGCATATCTCTAATAACATTTACTTAGCATTTCCGCAGCGCTTACCACATCTCAGTAATTCTTACAACAACAGCCCTGTAAGGTAGGGCAGCATTATTCTAAACCGGTGGTTCTCAAAAGGTGTGGCAGGAGAGGATGGGAAGTGCTGTGGGAAGAATTCACGGACCATCAAAGAAGCATTTAAGCATTTCAATGTAGCATAGCATAGCATAGCATAGCATAGCATAGCATAGCATAGCATAGCATAGTATACTATAGTATAGTATAGTATAGTATTAGTGGTACCTCGGGTTAATAACTTAATTCGTTCTGGAGGTCTGTTCTTAACCTGAAACTGTTCTTAACCTGAAGCACCACTTTAGCTAATAGGGCCTCCTGCTGCCGCCGCGCTTCTACCACATGATTTCTGTTCTCATCCTGAAGCAAAGTTCTTGACCCGAATTATTATTTCTGGGTTATCGGAGTTTGTAACCTGAAGCGTCTGTAACCCGAGGCATATTCTCCACGGCATATTTTTGTGAACAGAGATTTTCAATTCTGACCAATAAGAAAGAGCAGGAAAGAGAAAGGCGGCTTCTTTGCATTGATCAAAAGACAAGAGTTAGTCTGTCTCTAATTAGACCCAATATAAATGAGATTATCTGGCAAAAGCAAGATAATCACACCTCTCACTGACTTTGCACACATACTTAAAGGTACATATGGAAGAGGCTCGTTTATAATTGTATTTTGGGAAATGATTCGCTTTCTTATGTACAGTAGCTGCCTTGTTTTATACTTTTGGGATGTCCCACGATCGTTTTATAGTAGTTGCGTTCTATGTCATAAATCAAGCACTGTTGGGAGTCGACTCTTTTTTTTATTATCAATAAAGAATTCACTGTGGCATGAGCACATTTTTATTCTAAAGGCATGGCCCAGAGAAAAAAAGTTAGAGAACCTCTGTTCTAAGCATATTGTATGGTTGTGGCCAAGAGAACAGGGGGAAGGGGTTGCCTAATGTCCCCTAGTGAGGCCAAACCAGAGGTGGGTCTCAAGCCCATCATGCAATTCCTGGTTTGTGCGCCACGATACCTAGCGTTCCTTAGTTGTTGTTGTTTTTTTTTGCCTTACTTAAAGTTTATTTAGAACAAACACATTTTTCCAAATGTCAGTCTAACATGTGCAATCCAGAGGTCTGCCAGCTATCTACCCTCTGCAGAACCTATTTGGGCTTCTGTATTGTGGGCTTTCTCAGTCGCAGTGACTTCTGGGAGCATATTCACCCAGTGCTTTACCAGCTGCACTGGCTCCCGGTGGAGTACAGGGTCAGATTTAAGGTGCTGCTTTTGACCTTTAAAGCCCTTCACGGCCTAGGACCCTCGTACCTACAGGACCGCCTCTCCTGGTATGCCCCACGGAGAGCCTCAAGGTCCATAAACAGCAACACCCTAGAGGTCCCAGGCCCTAAGGAAGTTAGATTGGCTTCAACCAGAGCCAGGGCCTTTTCAGTGATGGCTCCGGCCTGGTGGAACGCTCTGCCTCATGAGGCCAGGGCCCTGCAGGATCTGATTTCTTTCTGCAGGGCCTGTAAGACAGAGTTGTTCCGCCTGGCCTTTGGCTTAGAGCCAATTTGATTCCCTCCCTCCCTCTCTTTCTTTTTTTCTTTTCCTTCTCCTCCTGCGATGAGGCTACATTTTAATATTTTAATGTTCCATTATTTTAATGTTGTATTTTATTTTTGTTTTTAAGTTGTAATCATTCATCTTGTTTTTATTATTGCTTGTAAGCTGCTCTGAGCCCGGCCTTGGCTGGGGAGGGCGGGGTATAAATAAAAAATTATTATTATTATTCTTCTTCTTCTTCTTCTTCTTCTTCTTCTTCTTCTTCAGAGGGACTTCAGAGCTGTAGTAACTCAACAGGCCAGATTGCTGTTGACCTGCAAGATGCTGCTCCTGTTGTGAGAGCACCACAATTTCCTCACAGTTAAAGCTGCTAGCTGTGTTTTTCGGACAACTGAGACCTCCAGGTATGGGGCAGTATATAAAATCAGCTAACAACAACAACAACAACAACAACTGTGTTTCTTGTGCCTCTGAAGGGCCAGGTGCGCAGCCTGGGAGTCATTTTGGACTCACAGCTGTCCATGGAGGTGCAGGTCAATTCTGTGTCCAGGACAGCTGTCCACCAGCTCCATCTGGTACGCAGGCTGACACCCTACCTGTCCGTGGACTTTCTTGCCGGAGTGAGCGTTCCTTAGTATTGAAGTCCAGGCTTCTAGTATGGGGTGGGTGGGCTGGGGGCAGAGCCCAGAGCAGGCTCAGGAGAAGCTCCACGATTTGGGGCAGGTTCAGGGATGGATTCCCCTGGCCTGGTACAGAGCCCAGCACAAATGCTGTCTCTTGTTGGCATCTGTTGCTGCAATATTTGTCAGCTCCTCTCCACATGGTTCCATTCCAGCAGGCCATTATGGGAATTTTGTAGCTTAAGCCCAAGTGCCCGAGCTTCTTTTTTTCCTCCTCCCTCTCCATTCCCTTTTCCTTTCATGCTGTGTCTTTGACGTGGTAAACCTGATGGCAGGTACTGTCTTCACACTGATACAGTGGTACCTGAGGTTACAGACGCTTCAGGTTACAGACTCCGCTAACCCAGAAATAGTATCTCAGGTTAAGAACTTTGCTTCAGGATGAGAACAGAAATTGCACGGCGGCGGCGTGAGCACCATTAGCTAAAGTGGTACCTCAGGTTAAGAACAGCTTCAGGTTAAGAACGGACCTCCAGAATGAATTAAGTTATTAACCCGAGGTACCACTGTACTTGTAAAACTTATTAGGTGGAAGAATGATCTTAAAATGCTAATAATAATAATAATCACAAATAGCAGTTTTCTGAGGAAGACAGAATGGTTCATTGCTAGAAGGAAACTCTCCTTTCTATATCCTCTTCGGTCTTTATTCAGCCAGCACGAGAAACATCAATTAAACTTCCCACAAGACATCCAATGTGAATGGATAGCCTGCGCTACAGCTCTGCCTCTCACTGTTGACAAAGGACTCAGCTACACAGCTGCAAATAAAACATTTTAAATGTGTTGTAAAGTGCAATATATAAATGTGACACACGAATGGAGACAGTGAGCGATGCAAAATTCAATGTATTTCTCGAAAAAAGCATTTTCACAGCTTTTTTTTATATGTGTGTAGATTCCACCAAACTATGTTTGGTCAGAGGGCCTGGCTTGGTACAAACTCAGGGTGGAAAATGGGACTGATAATAGCTCAGCTTCTAAGTAGGACTGCCATAAAGACTTCCTTGTATAACGAATAATTATGCATTGTAAAAACCATGAGTCACGATCATTGACTGACTTCCTTCTATCTCTCCCCTCAGTTTTTTTATTAAAGCATGACTTCATTGGCCTGGGATCAGAGATGGACAAAGGGGGGTGTGGTGGGTGCGGGCCGCCCCGGGTGTCAGCACTGAGGGGGGTGACAAAATGCCGGGCAGCACTCACCCCAGGGCCTGCAGCGTGCCCAAGCCACACGTCTCTCCTGGGAGAGACGCAGTGGCTTGGGCGCGTGCAGGCTCTGCGCTGCCCAAACCGTCCGCCCACTGCCTCCCCCCCAGCTATAGGGTGGCTGAGTGGGAGGAGGCAGGCAGACTCCAGAGGCCTCGTGGTGCGCCCTGCCCCTATGGGTGGCTCACCCCATCTCTATGGGCGGCTTGCCCCACCCCTGGGCACACCGCCCCAGGCGCCCAAACAGTTTCCTCCACCGCTGCCTGGGTGGCCGAGTGCCGCCATGTTGTTTTCAAAGACTCTGTTGTTTTTGTAAGCTGTGCTGATTCACAGGGTACATATGTGAGGCCTGGGGACACGGGATCAATCTTTTTACGCATTTATTTACAGTGATACCTCTGGTTAAGAACTTAATTCGTTCTTAACTGAAACTGTTCTTAACCTGAGGTACCACTTTAGCTAATGGGGCCTCCTGCTGCTGCCGCGCAATTTCTGTTCTCATCCTGAAGTAAAGTTCTTAACCCGAGGTACTACTTCCGGGTTAGCAGAGTCTGTAACCTGAAATGTTTGTAACCCGAGGTACCACTGTATTACTAAAACGTGAATCCAGATATTTTATGCTGTGGGGATGGGAAAGTTTGTGCAGGGACAATTATGATAAGAACGTAATAGGGTTGTCATATGTTCGGGTGGAAGTATGGGTGGAAGTAAGGCTATGTACATACAGTGGTACCTCGGGTTATAGACGCTTCAGGTTACAGACACTTCAGGTTACAGACTCTGCTAACCCAGAAATAGTACCTCAGGTTAAGAACTTTGCTTCAGGATGAGAACAGAAATCGCGTGGCGGCAGCAGCGGGAGGCCCCGTTAGCTAAAGTGGTACCTCAGGTTAAGAAGAGTTTCAGGTTAAGAACGGACCTCCGGAATGAATTAAGTTCTTAACCCGAGGTATCACTGTATTAGCAACTTACAACACAGTATAGTTCCTCCCTCTTCCCGTTTTAAGTCCCATTTGCATGGTGCTGTACAAGCAGTAGAGAAGGAGCAGGAATGTCATCGCCCGAGAGCACAGAGGAACCAGTGTACAGTGGTACCTCAGGTTACATACACTTCAGGTTACATACGCTTCAGGTTACAGACTCCGCTAACCCAGAAATATTACCTCAGGTTAAGAACTTTGCTTCAGGATGAGAACAGAAATTGCGCAGTGGCAGTGTAGCAGCAGCGGGAGGCCCCTTTAGCTAAACTGGTGCTTCAGGTTAAGAACAGACCTCCGGAACGAATTAAGTACTTAACCTGAGGTACCACTGTAAACAATAATACGTACAAAGCCTTGGACTTTTAGTCTGGTGCATTAAAACAACTAAGGAGCCTGCTGTAGCCCATTCAAGACTAACAGATTATGGGATACACTTCCGTAGGCCCAAGAACACAAACACACTCCTATCTATCTTTTAGACTTCAAAATACAGACTTTAAGAGAGATACAGGACTCATTGCAGTTGGAGCTTGGGTTGTAACAAGACAACAAACCGTATTCTCTAGGCAGCCCCATTAAACTGAGGATGCTACCAGAGTGTTGCTATTCAATCACACGCCGGCAGATTCAGGTTGTGCAGTTGAAGTGAATGGGGGGGTGTCTTGTGCAAGAAACCCGCTTTCCCCCCAAAATAAGACCTTTTACAATAAGAAATGCACTGGGAGGTGTAGGATAATGCTTTGCTTTGATGCAACGCTATCCGAGTTCCCTGCGGATAAATCAGGACGAACCCTCAACAAACCACTCTGAGAGGCATACTGAAGAGTAAATAGGATTGCCCTGCAACTTTAGGAGTGGGGTGCGGGTGGACGGAAGCTCGATACATTTGGGAAACTGCCTTAAGAACTGTGCATTGTGGCCTGAGCTCTCAAAGGCAACAGACCTTTTCTTTGACTGAACGCCATAGCTGAGATCTCTCGTCTTCCTCACCGTTTAGCCTGGAGAAGAGGAGGTTAAGGGGTGATATGATAGCCATGTTCAAATATTTAAAAGGATGTCACATAGAGGAGGGAGAAAGGTTGTTTTCTGTTGCTCCAGAGAAGCGGACACGGAGCAATGGATCCAAACTACAAGAAAGAAGATTCCACCTAAACATTAGGAAGAACTTCCTGACAGTAAGAGCTGTTCGACAGTGGAATTTGCTGCCAAGGAGTGTGGTGGAGTCTCCTTCTTTGGAGGTCTTTAAGCAGAGGCTTGACAACCATATGTCAGGAGTGCTCTGATGGTGTTTCCTGCTTGGCAGGGGGTTGGACTCGATGGCCCTTGTGGTCTCTTCCAACTCTATGATTCTATGATTCTATGTTACACGAGCTCCAAAGGCCGGCACATAACGCAAGGAATGTGTTCTACAGATAACAGGGAATGAGAGAGGTGGGATAGGCAGCCCAGGAGAAGTCCACACCCTCCAACATTTCTCCGGTGAAAATAGGGACGTCCTAAGGAAACACGGGACATTCAGAGACCGGGACGGCATCTGTAAATCTGGAAAACAGGGTTACTTGGTGGGTCTGGAAAACTCATGCATGATGAGGATTAAGGAAAAGCGCGGTTTGAGGCGGTGGAAAAGAAAGCAGGAGAACTAAAATGCGGTCGTTTGGTAGCATTTCATTTTTATAACACATTCTCACCCACCCTGTTTGGGTATCCCCTCCATTCTTCCCCCGATTCTCACGCCGTGAGATGAAAACAGAGAGAAATTGATAGGAATAAGCTACTCACAAAGGCATGGCTGAAGGCTCCCTTGCCATCCAGATCTCCCCAAGGAAGTTTTTCCGCAACCACCGTTTCTTCAGGAAGGCAGCGGGGAATATGAATCCCCATCAGGAAAATGTCTCGTGAAACTAACGCCCCACCAGCTGGAGAAGGAGACTTTTCAGCGAACTTTTAAACACATCCTGCCGGACTCCGCCTTTCCAACAACGAAGCTGCCACCCCCCTTCTCCACCTCTATTCCCCCCGCGAAAAAATCCCAACAACCCTGGGGCAACGGCTAAGAGCAAAAGCCACGTTTTCCTTCTCAGGAGGAAAAGGAGAAGCCTTCGAACAAAAGTTTCATGGGAGTGGACGGAAAGGTATTCCAGTCTTTGCTCTCACTGGGTCCATCCATGCGTCCTGTGCTGGAAAAAGCTGACTAAGCAGGGATTTTATAAAAGGAAAAAGGGGGAAAGGAAAGGGAAAAAAGACCCCACTCTGAAACTCTCCTTAAAATCCTTCTGGTTTAACATTGCTGTGTTTTGCTTTCCCCTTATTGGGCGAAAGTTAAGAGCGCCAGTCTAGGGCATCAGTAACGGATTTGGAGGACGGAAAGCGTGACTAATGAGAAACATCTGGGAAGCACATGGGCTGGGATCTGGAGGGGAGTCACTGGCAGGAAAGAAAGACTCCTCAAGGAAGGAGCAGGAAAGCCATTTGTCCGCTTAAACACTGAGAAGCTATTGGCAACTTCCGGGGCAGGAAGCTGGCTTCAACCTGTAGCCCAGAAAGCCAGTTCATAAAGTAAGAATTTATGATGCCTGAAATTCTGCGTGGGTTTCCCCCCAAATATCCACATTTCTGCAACTGGAGAAAGGCTTTTTGACATATACTAAGAGTCAAGTCATGCTCTTTATTTCAGCTCATAGGAACAGTGATTGATTTCCTCCCCAAAAACCTCAGGCTTTATATACATTATTTACACAATGGGTCCTGTGTGATTGGCTGACTCTACTTCCCTCCTGGAGCCTGATTGGTCTGCTCCTGCAGGCCAATCAGGTTGTTGCATTCTAGGATCCTACCTGTTATGTACTGAGCTGAATCCTAGAACAATAGGATCCAGAATGCAGCAATCTGATTCATCCGCAGGAGCCACCCAATCCAGCTCCAGGTGGAAGTGAATCAGCGACCTGATTGGCCTGCCGGAGCAGCCAATCAGGCTCCTGGATGAAGTGAATCAGCAACCTGATTGGCTTACAGGAGCAGCCCGGAATTAGCCAATCTTGCGGGGCCCATTGTGTAAATAATGGGGAAAGTTTCATTCATTGCTCCTATGAGCTGAATAAAGAGCATGAAATTCACACTCGACTCCGAGTATATTTCACTACCTGTCTATTGTTCTAGGATCCAAGCTCAGTAAATAACACTTTTTTGTGGGGAGGGGCTTACCCACTTTGCTTAGTCTGCAAATAAATTAAATGTATCAATTGGCAATGTACTGCATCCACACCAGTCTGTGCAATTAGCGGGAAAGTAATTCAATACTTTGCCCTGTGTTCAGGGATAATGTTTGGGATTTCCAAGACCTTAAAGCAAGAGAAAAGGGTGTGAGTGTGTTGGACAAACTCTTAGTTGGAGCCTTCTTCATCCCCAGATGTTAGACTATTAACTGCCATCATCCTCTGACCAGAACTGATAGGGGTTGGAGTCCAACATCTGGAAGTCACCATGTTACAGGAATTTGATTTATACCAGGTCAACCATTTGCCCATTTGCCCCCAGTACTGCATACTCTGGCTTGCAGGAGCTCTGCAGGGTCTCAGACAGAGGTCTTTGTCATAATTTGATTCCTGACCCGTTTGCTAGGGATGAGACCTGAGACCTCTGTAAAAGGACCCCTGACCATTAGACCCAGTCATGACCGATTCTGGGGTTGCGGCGCTCATCTCGCTTTATTGGCCGAGGGAGCCGGCGTACAGCTTCCGGGTCATGTAGCCAGCATGACTAAGCTGCTTCTGGTGAACCAGAGCAGCGCACAGAAATGCCGTTTACCTTCCTGCTGGAGCGGTACCTATTTATCTACTTGCACTTTGACGTGCTTTCGAACTGCTAGGTTGGCAGGAGCAGGGACCGAGCAACAGGAGCTCACCCCGTCGCGGGGATTCGAACTGCTGACCTTCTGATCAGCAAGTCCTAGGCTCTGTGGTTTAACCCACAGCGCCACCCGCGTCCTCTGTACACAATTGCAAACTCTCTACCAGTGAATTACAGTCCCTCCCTCTTGAGATGCTAACAGCCCAGTCCGCCGCACATCTACTCAGAAGTAAACCCAGCAGAGTTCAATGGGATTTACTCCCTGATAAGTGCAGAAGACAGCAGCCAAAAAATGATGTGCATGCATTTATTATTTGTCTTTCTAAGACACCTCATTAAAAAAGTTATCTAGGCGCCGCACAATAAAATGCAGCCATAAAACCAAGATGCAATTAAAAAAAAAACCCGCAATGAACTTTTAAAACTCCAACCACCATAAAAAAATCAAACACATAATAAAAAACAATTTTTAAAAAGCACAGTAGTGAAAACCAACTGTCACATACAAGGGCGAAAACCCAGCAAACAGAAGTTAGCTCCCCACTCACCAAATATCTTAAAAACTCTGGTAAAACAGAAGAATTGAAATCAGGAAGCTGCCTTATACCGAGTCAGAACCATTGGTCCAGTTAGCTCAGTATTGTCTGCACTGATTGACAGCCGCTCTCCAAAATTTCAGGAGGCGGATTTCCTAGTCCAACTGGGCAATGCTGGGGATTGGGACCTTCTGCATGCAAAGCAGGTGCTCTATCACTCAGCTACAGCCCTTCCCTAAGAATCTTAGACTTGTGCTGAAATGACCATTAGGTGGGCACCAAGTGAGCTTTCCTGGGGAAATTATACATCCAGGGGGGCCACCACTGAAAAGGCCCTTCCGCTGCCATTTTCTGAACTTCAGACCAAAAGGGCACACTGAAAACAGCCTTAGTGGACAATGCTAAGGTAAGGGTAGGGGCATATGGGAGAAGGAGAGATGTACCAAGGGCTTTTATCAGTCCTTGAACTGGACCCAGAGATGAATTGCAAGCCAGACAGAAAATGTTAAGAATAAAATTGGTGTACTATGGTTTAGAAAGGCAGGGAGGACCTGGAAGTTGCCCATTAGCTGTTAGCATCTGAATAGCAGACTGAGCGGGCAAACCAATCACCTGGTCACAGTATCCCTACCATACTAACAGCTCCATCTGATATACGGCTGAGACTCTACCTGCCTGCGCACAGTCTCACCAGATTGGTACATGCTCTGGTTATCTCCCACTTGGACTACTGCAATGCGCTCTCTGTGGGGCTGCAGGTGGCTCAGAATCTGCAACTAATCCAGAATGCAGCAGCTAGACTAATGACTGGGAGCAACTGCTGGGACCATATAACACTGGTCCTAAGAGATCTACATTGACTCCCAGTATGTTTCCAAGCACAATTCAAAGTGTTGGTGCTGACCTTTAAAGCCCTAAATGGCCTCGGTCCAGTATACCTGAAGGAGCATCTCCACACCCATCAATCTGCCCGAACCCTGAGGTCCAGCTCCGAGGGCCTTCTGGTGGTTCCCTCACTGCGAGAAGTGAAGTTACAGGGAACCAGGCAGAGGCCTTCTCGGTGGTGGCACCCACCCTGTGGAATGCCCTCCCATCATATGTCAAGGAAACAAACAACTATCTGACTTTTAGAAGACATCTGAAGGCAGCCCTGTTTAGGGAAGTTTTTAATGTTTGATGTTTCACTATGTTTTTATATTCTGTTGGAAGAGTGGCTTAGGCAACGCAGTCAAAGTGGGTGGGGTACAAATAAATGATGATGATGATGAGATGAATTGTGTTTCTTCCTAAGTTATGGCAATTGTTTCTATAATCCTCTCTCTATATACATATAAATGTTATACAAATCTCTTGTCCTTTCTTTGTGGGGACACCTAAGCGGCCACTGTAAAATTGCATGCATATGTATTGTGTATCTTAAGAAAGAACTAGGCTCTCGTGCTGGTCTGATTTCCAGCAGCAAGAGAGATCTAGACATTTCCTCTGAAACCTAAAATGAGAGACTGACTCCAGAGTCTACCAGAACCTCCAGGAAGTTTTGCCATGTTGCAATTTCAAGAGGGACGGACGTTTCATCCCAGGGAACAATGGGATGCAAGCGAGAAACAGGACTGATGCAAGTTTAGAAACAAGAAAATAAATACAAAGAAGGGAGGAAACCTCAAGGACCGAGAATAACTTTTAGAAAAGAATAGAGACAATAATGTTTATGTGGGGGAAGACAACGGGAGGATGTCATGCTAGACAGCTAGGAAGAGAGTAAGGGCAGATTTTATTGTTTCAACCAAGGGTTGTGATGGTGTTAGATAGGAAGATAAGAAGCCTCTGGGAGAGATCATCTGCCTTGCAGTACTGATAAAGAGATGTACAATTTGGGGTGGATGAGAATTTAATTTGCAAACCTGCCTAATTTGCAATAGAGAACCAGAATAGAGAACCAGAATACAGCCATCCTATGAGTTTTCAGTTAAACCACAGAGCCTAGGGCTTGCCGATCAGAAAGTCGGCGGTTCGAATCCCCGCGACGGGGTGAGCTCCCGTTGTTCGGTCCCAGCTCCTGCCAACCTAGCAGTTCGAAAGCACGTCAAAGTGCAAGTAGATAAATAGGTACCGCTCCGGTGGGAAGGTAAACGGCATTTCCGTGCGCTGCTCTGGTTCGCCAGAAGCGGTTTAGTCATGCTGGCCACATGACGCTGTACGCCGGCTCCCTCAGCCAGTAAAGCGAGATGAGCGCCACAATCCCAGAGTCAGCCACGGTCAGGGGTCTCTTTACCTTTTGTGAGTTTTGCAAGGGTATTCTCTAGCCAAGTAAACAAATGCATATACCTGGGTAAAGTTTGCATTAAAAAATGCATGTATTTGTGAAAACAACATACAAAAATGCATGATTTTAGGGGCAAATGCTCTGCAGAAATGAGACAAAATTTGCATTAAAAATGTGCGGCGCAGGCGAAATTCACATTGCAATGCCAATTAATTTTCTAAGCCTGGAAAAGTAGCTCTGTATCTGCCAGCTGGAGACTCGCTCCTGCAGCTGCTGGACTGTAGTTTGCGGCCGCAGCCCTTTATCAAGGCCATCATTGTCACCGCGGAGTCCTAAAATGGTTTTTAAACAAGATATTGTTCAGGCATAAACATGTGCTTAGGAGATGGGCACCCTCCTCCTTAAATAACTTCCTGCGTTTCCTGAACTCACCTCTTCCTGGTGGCCGCTGTCTTGGAGAGGGGGAGCAGAAAGCTGCTTTGGACTTGAGGCAGACACAGGAAGATGAAAAAGAAATGGACACACCACAGATAGGGCACGCTGTGTTGGAAAGGCTATAATCCCAACTTTCCTTGAGCACAATCCAAGGGAGGTCCATGGTATGAATTAAAAAAGATCTTTAAATATAATTTCAATAAAAAACCAGAGATGTTTTTGTTAGGTTTAATTGGAGATGAAATTCCAAAAAAAGAGATGTGAATCTGTTTATGTATGCCACAACGGCCGCAAGGGTACTTCTGGCTCAGAAGTGGAAATCGCAGGTGCTTCCAACATTGGAAGAATGGCGGACTAAAGATGGTGGAATACGTAGAGTTAGCAAAGTTGACGGGGGAGATCCGGAATCAGTGTGACGAACTGGAGCAAAAGGACTGGAGCAAATTTATATTATATATGAAAGAACATTGTAAACGTTTGTAGCTTTGAATTGAAATGTTTTGTAATGGGAATATAAGGAACTGATTTACATTTAATGGGGGGGGAAATATAAAAATAAGAGAGAAGGTAAAAAAAGTGGTTATGGAAATGCTAAGAATAAAGTAAATATGAACGGAAGTCAGAGAGGGGCAGGAGGAGGTTGGTGCTCGGATAGAGTGATGTTTGAGTTTACTGAATTATGTATGGAAACTGTGATTATGATAACATTGAAAATGCAATAAAAATTATTATTTTATATATATATATATATATATATATATATATATAGACAGAGAGAAAGGGAAGTCCATGGAAACATGTAGCCTTGTGTGCAGCAGCTCCATGTTATTGTGATCTATACTCCATACATTTTGGACAGTCTATTACAGGATGTATCTTGTAGGTGAATGCGAACGTTGTGCACATATATGGGGTTGCAATGGAGCCTGCTGGTCTCAGTGGTCCAGTTACCTGTGAAGGACAGGTAATTGTGCTCTGCCTTCAGTCCGGTTGGAGCAATTCAATGAACGGAATTACTATTGCAGAAATTAATACTGCACAGCTTGAAGCAACTGGATGCTTAAAAATAGACTCCTTTGGGGATGGAGCATTGTCCAGACCATGGGTAGGCAAACTAAGGCCCGGGGGTAGGATCCGGCCCAATCGCCTTCTAAATCCAGTCTGCAGACGGTCCGGGAATTAGCGTGTTTTTACATGAGTAGAATGTGTGCTTTTATTTAAAATGCATCTCTGGGTTATTTGTGGGGCATAGGAATTCATTCTTTTTTCTTCTTCTTCTTCAAAATATAGTCCGGCCCCCCACAAGGTCTGAGGGACAGCACTGAGGGACAGTGCTGAAAAAGTTTGGTGACCCCTGGTCCAGACCCATTAGACATTATTCAAAACTTTCCTTGCAGAACTTTCTTCGCAACAGAGCAAAAACATCAAAGATACATCCAAATAATTCCATAAGACATCTTGTTCTGTCCGGCATAGGCTCAGCATCTTAGAAAATGTGAAATACTCTGAACAGACCTATAAGCAAAGTTCTTTCTCTCTTTACAGCCCCCATTAGCCTGAGGCTATGCGCTCCTTGAGTGAGCTACATCAGACATCCTTACTTCCACGGAGCTTGGGAACAATGACTAAAGGCATCCTTTCAAAATGGAGATTTGCAACCAAATACCTTTGTCACCTGATCTAAGGTTAAACACTCACGTGTTAGCTAGCAGAATACAGCAGCAGTTAATTATCAACCCATCTAGGAGTTCAGAGACTGCTTACTATACTCCAGTGGAATTTTCAGTGTCAAACCTTTCAGCGATGCACACAGGCATGTTCCATTCCGGTGTCAATCAAACAATTATACTTAACAATTACCAGCTGTCAAAAGAGCCTGCCTTTTGGATTTCTGCCTGAGACCCCACTCTGGGCTCGCATCCTTCGAATCAGAAGGCATACTGAGCAGTGATTCATACAGAGAAGCAGCAAATAAGTTCCATTAGAGTAAACCTGCTCTGGCATAAGCTTGAAGTCTATGTCCAGTTTTAATTCAGAATAAAAAGGGTTCCTCTGCTGTCAAAAGTTTCGGAAGCACTTATCCAAATGTCTAGGTATTCTTTGGAAAGCTTTTGCCAAAGCACAAACAATGGAAACACATAAACAGCCCCCCCTTCAGCCCTGAACAAAGGTTTATTACACTAACTAGATATGGACTACAAAAACATAGCATTTCTGGTACAGTGTTTGTGTATGGAGTAACAAAAAATAGCAGGGAAGTCATAAACACTGGCCAAATATTTGGTCTGGCAGGCAGCTAACCATGTATTTCAGAGAGAAGCTCAGAAGCTCAGATAAACACTAATTAGATATGGAAGGTTAAGCTGTCAGCAAGAGTTTAACAAGAGAAACCTTCACCCAGCAGGACAACAGCTCTGAGAATAGAAAACCGGGTCAGATTCTCTCTTGGATATCAGATCCACCTCTTATTAAGTATCAACACTGTGCTAGTTTTCCTTTCTCCAACACCAGCTGGATTCCTCATTTTGAATGACTGACAACTGGCTACAAATCAATGCAAATTCATTGCACATAAAAAGCTAGGCAAAAGTTCCGACAAGTAGAAAAAACGACAGACTGAGCAGTTTCCTGCCAGCATAGTAGCCTATTTTAAGGCTTAAAATGTTGTGAGGTTTCTTTGAAGCGCCTTTGCTGATTAATCTCTCCTTCTTGCTTCAATTCCTTGTCTCCTCTGCCCTTTAATCTTATTCCCAGTTCATTTTTCTCAGCTTGTTGTCTACTATACACCCTTCCTTTTTAGACACTTTGCCCGTCTCTGCCCCACGTTCCAAACAATCTCCCAGTTAACTGCCCATGTGAGATTTCCATCCCAGCCAAACTGACAACTTTCCCTTTCCTCACAGAACTTGGACTTCAAACTGCTGGGTTCCTGGAGAAACTGAGCATTCCATTCCACAATGTCACCTCAGCCAATCAGTGTCCAGGGCTTCAGTGCCACGAGCACAACACAGAACAGACTAAGCTTTTTCGGAGCAGCAATGTAGCAGAATCTTCCCTTGGAAACAACGCAAGGCAAAAGGAAATCGTATTTTGGGGATTAAAAAAGAACTACACACGCAAATGAAGTTCACAAGGGGAAGGACAGTAAGGAGAGGTCAAAGGAAAAGCAAGCCTGGCTATGAACAAAGCTCAATTTAACATAATGCAAGGAATGAATGCAAGTATAATACAGAAGTGGTTACATCTTCTTAAGACCTATGCCATTGGTAGTCCAGCTGAAGGTCAGGACCATGGCTAGGTACAAGATTTGGGACACAGGTTCATATCCACAAATCTGCCCGTTTTTGCCTATGCTAATTTATATGTGCAGATGCATATGTACATGCTACAAAAACCAAGGCAACAAATGTCCCATCTAAGTCATATATTTCCACACACCCCAACCAGGATTCGTCTAGCTCAACTGTTCATTCAGCATTCATCCTGACTTGCTTTCAAAAAGCTTACATGGAGGTTAGACTATGTTTGGTTTTAGTTGAATATTCATTCTGATTCGTTTGTGGGGATGTTTTACAGCCTCTCTCATGGGTGTTGTTGTTGTTGTTGTTTAGTCGTTTAGTTGTGTCCGACTCTTTGTGACCCCATGGACCAGAGCACGCCAGGCACTCCTGTCTTCCACTGCCTCCCGCAGTCTGGTCAAACTCATGCTGGTAGCTTCGAGAACACTGTCCAACCATCTCATCCTCTGTTGCCCCCTTCTCCTTGTGCCCTCCATCTTTCCCAACATCAGGGTCTTTTCCAGGGAGTCTTCTCTTCTCATGAGGTGGCCAAAGTACTGGAGCCTCAGCTTCAGGATCTGTCCTTCCAGTGAGCACTCAGGGCTGATTTCCTTCAGAATGGAGAGGTTTGATCTTCTTGCAGTCCATGGGACTCTCAAGAGTCTCCTCCAGCACCATAATTCAAAAGCATCCATTCTTCGGCGATCAGCCTTCTTTATGGTCCAGCTCTCACTTCCATACATTACTACTGGGAAAACCGTAGCTTTAACTATACGGATCTTTGTTGACAAGGCGATGTCTCTGCTTTTTTTGCTTTTTCATGGGTGTAGCCAGGATTTATGTTTGAGGAGGCAGGATTTATGTTGGGTTGGGGCAGAACCGAGCTATCTGCAATGTGATTTGGTCAGTTAGTTAAGTATTTTTTTATATATTTACTTGATTTAGGGCGGGCAGCTATGCACATGGCCTAACCTCCATTCTACATCGAAGTTAAAATGCCATTCTGTGTCCAGAAGAGGGTGACAAAGATGGCAAGGGTCCTTCTGTCCAAGTCCAATGAGGGAAACGTTGAAGGACTTGGGTATATTTAGACTAGTGATTATGGGACGACTAAGAGGTTATCTGGTTGTTCTCTCTGAATAGGGCTTTCACAAAGGTGGTGGAGCAAATCTGTTCTCTCTTTGCTCCAAGACCCAAACTTATGGGTTCAAATTATAATACAAACCAGGTGGTTAAGAAAGCCCAACAGAGACTCCATCTCCTCAGAGTATTGCGGAAGAACGATGTCAATCAACATTTGATTATCTCCTTCTACCAGTCAACAATAGAAAGTGTCCTTTCCTACTGCATCATGGTGTGGGACACTGGTTTGACATCAACTGATAGGAAGTGCCTACAGAGGGTGGTGAATACAGCACAAGATATTATGGGCTGTCCCGTGAATCCGCTGAATGACATCACGGAAGAATGTTGCCTCAGGAGAGTGAGGGAAATTCTCAGGGATTATTCACACCCTGGCCGGCACTTTCTTGATATCCTGCCCTCGGGCAGAAGATATAGAAGCACAATTAGTCACACCAACAGGGTAAAGAACAGCTTCTATCCATGGGCTGATAGGCTGCTGAATGAAAAGATAACAACAGGACAACTGACTTTCGGGTTGGGTGTGTGTGTGTGTGTCAGTAAACGAGGGGAATTAAGACTAAGAGAGCTGAGTGGGGGGTGCTCGTGTAATCTCACTGCATACAAGTTGTACAAGTGACAATAAAGTATTTCAGTTTTAATTTATAAGAAAGGGGGTGGACTTTGAGTAAATATTATTAGGCCAGTATTAGCCATTTGACGGTGGAACAGACTGACTCTTCTTCCTTTGAGGCTTTTAAGCAGAGGCTGAATAGCCACCTATCGTCAGTGCTGTAGCAGGGAGACTGGACTTGAGGTCCCTGCCAGCTCTGTGATCTTCCTCTCTCACATGGCTCCAGTTCCCCCCAACTCCACCCCTTGAGTTTCAGGGTCCCCCTCCTGCCGGCTCACATGACTCCATGTTTTGCACTCTGCTATCAAACTCAAGTACAAAGAAATCTTTTATGACGCTGACCTTGGCTCTCCGTGATTTATTTGCGGCTAGGTTTTTCCCTTCTCTGAGCGATCTGGGCTCCTTCCCAAGACAAGGACAAAATGCTCCAGCTTGTTTTCCACCCAAACATTTGCCCCCAAGGAAAGAAAGCCCCTGCCACACTTCGAGTTGTTGCACAGCAAAGCCGCTCGCTGGCGGAGCTCACACACAAGTTGTGATGGGAAAGACAGACACTGCCCTTACACAACCGGCCTCTATTTTTGAGCTGCTTTTGAGCGGCAACTTGGGGGAGAAGAATGAGGGCTGCGTCTCTCAAGGCTGGCCAGCGGAGCTGGAAAGGGAACGATCTCCGTTAGTTCCACAAGCAGTGATGGGCCTCTATTTTTGAGCGGCAACTCAGCGGGAGAAGAATGAGGGCTGCGTCTCTCGAAGCTGCCAGCGGATCTGGAAAGGGAACGATCTTCTCTGTTCGTTCCACAGGCAGAGGCTTCTTAAGGCATTTGGTGGAATGAATATTGTCTACATCAGATGGAGGACTTTCAGTTCTCTGGGGCAGATAAGAGATTTGGGGCTATCTGCAGTAATGCTTAACAGCATTTTCAGTTGCAGCCCTGGAAGGAAATACTTCACTACAGCGATGGAAGAAATGATCAGCAGCACAAGTCTGGGACTGGGTATAGGGCAGGCTTCCTCAACCTTGGCCCTCCAGATGTTTTGGGACTACAACTCCCATCATCCCTAACCAGTGGTCCTGCTAGCTAGGGATCATGGGAGTCGTAGTCCCAAAAACATCTGGAGGGCCCGAGGTTGAGGGAGCCTGGTGTAGGGGCACAGATTCTCACATGCTGAGAATCTCAGCTTTTCTCGTTTTCCTCTCTCTTTCTTTAAATAAAAAAAATTACTGATATAAACACATACAAAATACAGTAAAAGTAATAAGTGTAACCAATTGAAATGCTTGCAGAGATAGAAAAAAAATTAAGATACAAGAGGGAGGAAAACCTCAATCCTTGCTGGTGTCTCCAGGCGGGGTTGGGAAAGGTTCACAGCCACAAACCCTGGAGAGAGAGCTGCTGCCAGTCAGTGTAGACAGCACTGAACTAGACCAGTGGTCTGACTTAGGCTGCATACACATTACTGGCTTACGATGCAGCTAGTTGTTCTTTTTCCCCAATGTGGATTGAATCTGGTTTGGGGGACAATGTGTTATGTACTGAAGTTCTCACCCTGGGCCAGCAGGGGGAGACTGTAGATAGTTTTCACTCAGGTCCACATATGCAAATAAGGAATTGAAAGTGACGTTCAGTGATTGGATAGTTACAGAAAGTTGTTACTGTTGCTTTGTAGTTGAGCACTATATAAGCAGGTTGGCTGAACCCTTCAGCCCAGTTCTGTTCTGGCCTGTGAATAAACAAGAGCTGTTTGAAGAATCGCTGTGTCGTCGGATATGTTCACCCACAACTTAACACAATGCATCAAAATGCAGTAGAAATGATGGGATAACTACAGGATGAGCATGCTTCTCAAACCAGCAGTGGAAGCATAGTAAATGGGAGCATGCAAAAAGCCCCCAACATTTCTCCAATGAAATTAGAGGTGTCCCCCTCCTACATTTCTCCAGGGACATCCCACCATACCCTCCAACATTTCTCTGGTGAAAATCGGGATGTCCTAAGGAAAAGAAGGGTGAAATATACTCGGAGTTGAGAGCGGATTTCATGCTCTTTATTCAGCTCATAGTGTTGAGGAGGAATGGAAGTTCCCCCAGAATGTCTGCTTTAGATACATTATTTACACAATGTGCCCCACGTGATTGGCTAATTCTGGGATTCTCCTGTAGGCCAATCAGGTTGCAGATTCACCTCCACCTGGAGCTGGATTGGGTGGCTCCTGTGGACCAATCAGACTGCTGCATTTTGGATCCTATTCAACTCAGTACATAACAGAGGGAATTCTAGGACTGTCCCTGGAAAAATAGGGACACGTGGAGGGTCTGGAGCATGTACAAAGTGTAAGTATCAAACACATATTATAAAGCACATTCCTTTCCAGCACATCAGCACACCTCAAAGCACAGTGAGAGGGGAAAACAGGACATGAAGGAAGATTCTGGGCGCATTGATGGGGACGGCCTTGGCACGCTCTTTAAAAGTTCCCCTCTCCTTTTCGTCTCTTCTCTTTCCAAAAACAGCAGAGCTGGGATAAAAATGTCTGTGGCCTTCTGGTAAGAGGCGATGTCAATTAATTAGCTGCTTTGCTATTTGCTTCCCTTTCCTGAGATTATAGGGATCGTTGAGGAGATGTGGTGCCATTGGGGAGCTGTTGGAACAAGGGCTGGCCCTGGGTCTCTCTCTCTGAAGCATCCATCACAGATCCTGAAACCTTCATAACAGGAAGCAATCATGTTTCCCATATTTTCATTTGACCATATCCCCCTCTTTTTCAAATGAAGTGGAGCTAGAGACCATATAACTGGAATCCCTTTCTGAATGGAAGGAAACGGGAACCCCCCCCATTGTAGTCCTTGCCAAAGTCCACCCAGAGATGCCGTCCGCTCCACCTTCCATATTCATATGCAAACAAGGGCTCCGCTTGGAGTTCAAAGGCGAGAAAGGCTTTATAATAGCGAGAAAAGGGGGGGAAAGGAAAGACAATGGGCCTAGGGGAAAGGGAGGGGGCTGGCACTGTTCAGTGAGAGAGGGGGTGTCTTTTTCGGCACCTGTGCAAAGGGAGGTGGGTGGCCAAGGGTCACGGCTGCTGGACCAGGGCTCTGGGCAGCCAGTGAGAAAAGGAAGCAGAGGCGTAAAGAGAACAAAGCCATGGAAAGATCTGTGAAGCAAGAGCACTGGGGGGAAAAGGAAGCCAGCCCCTTTCGGAAGGTAGCTTTTGCAACAACAACGAAAAGGAAGGGACCTCTCTGGTCCCTGGCCTTTGCAAGCCTGCCCACTCTGCATGGTGGGAAAGGAGCTTGGCCAGGTGTCCGTCGTGCATTCCCAAGAGCGCATTTGTTCCCAAATGTTTCGTGGAGGGAAAGGGAACCGGCCAACAGAATCCGGAGCAAACCTGCCGGTTACATCACCAGCTCAGGCGTCATCCATCCGGTGCAGTTCCAGGTGAATTTAGATGACCAAGAGCTTCTACTGCAGGGTCTATGCACCTCATGAACCAGTGAGGCAATTGCGGCAAACCCCATTTAGCAAACATTTTTTGAAAATGGGAGCAATTGCAGAAGTCTGCTTCAAACAGTGGTCCAGCCAGAAAGCTCATGAGCTTGATGTGCCGATTCTGAGTCAAGATCAAGTTCCAGCACCATAATTCAAAAGCCAAAGCATTGATGCTTTTGAATTCTGGTGCTGGAGGAGACTCTTAAAAGTCCCATGGACTGCAAGAAGATCAAACCTATCCATTCTGAAGGAAATCAGCCCTGAGTGCTCACTGGAAGGACAGATCCTGAAGCTGAGGCTCCAAGACTTTGGCCACCTCATGAAAAGAGAAGACTCCCTGGGAAAGACCCTGATGTTGGGAAAGATGGAGGGCACAAGGAGAAGGGGACGACAGAGGATGAGATGGTGGGACGGTGTTCTCGAAGCTACCAGCATGCGTTTGACCAAACTGCAGGAGGCAGTGGAAGACAGAAGTGCCTGGCGTGCTCTGGTCCATGGGGTCACGAAGAGTCGGACACGACAAAATGACTAAACAACAACAACATGTGTGAGAGAGGCATGTGCCGATATGTATGTGTCCGGCACAAGCACACGTTGCACGCATGTGCTGTTCGCGTGTTTCCTGTGTGCAGAATCAGGTTCCCCCGGCGACGCAGAGACACCACACTAGCATCGCGGCTTACTGGGAGAACAGTGGGGAGGGCAAATCAGTGAGGAGGTCAGTGTGAGGGCTGGATGGGTTCTGCTGTTGCATTTGCACCGTGTCAACCTCCTTGTTACCTTGCCCATCCCTATCCTGGCAAACAACAGTGGCTCGCCTGCTGTGAAGCTGGTGTAGCGGCTCCACCCAGTGGAAGTCCAGTGTGGAACAGTACAGTGGTACCTCGGGTTACAGACACTTCAGGTTACAGACGCTTCAGATTACAGACTCCACTAACCCAGAAATAGTATCTTGGGTTAAGAACTTTGCTTCAGGATGAGAACAGAAATCGCGCGGCAGCAGCGGGAGGCTGCGTTAGCTAAAGTGGTGCTTCAGGTTAAGAACAGTTTCAGGTTAAGAACAGAGCTCAAGGACGAATTAAGTATGTAACCAGAGGTAGCATTGTATATGTTCTGCATGCAAGAAGCCCACCACTCCCAGTCCAACACCTGCAAATCGCGCATGCCCTGACTACCATATGATTTTTCAGGGCTTGCATAGCTCCATGCCCATCACTTTGTAAGGTCCGATAATCAGCTGGGCAAAAATAGGGTCACCTGGAGTCAGCAGAACTTATCTTTTCTGGCTCGTGAGCTGTATTTATTTACCCTTGGTCAAGCCTCCAGAGGCCACATGGCAGGGAAGGGGGATGTCAACGCACTTTTAAACACAGGAGAGTCATTGTGGCGCAGTGGTTAGAGTGCTGGACTAGGACCTGGGAGATCAGGGTTCAAATCCCCACTCACCAAGTGACCTTGGGGAGCAGTAAGTAATTCTCAGCTTAACCTACCTCACAGGGTTGTTGTGAAGATGAAATGGAGCTGGGAGGAGAAAAGCTCCTTAGGAGAAAAGGGTGGGGTGTGAATAAAATAAAATAAAATAAACATATATGCACAAAAGGTGGACACACAGAGGCACCAACTCTCTGCTCGCCTGATCTCTGCAAAGCACTTAAGGAGGGAGGATTACTGCCAAATGGATCGATCTGATTACTGGAGAGGAGGCAGTTTGCACCCCCATTTTGGCACCAAGCTCTGCCCACCCCCACAGTGCTGTATCTATTATCGTTTTGTAAATGTTTTTGCTACTGCCCAAATCGGTATCGTCTTCACGGGTCAGAATAATTTGCTTGCTGGAGAGTAGGATTGAAGAAGAAGAGTTTGGATCTGATGTCCCGCTTTATCACTACCCTAAGGAGTCTCAAAGCAGCTAACGTTCTCCTTTCCCTTCCTCCCCCACAACAAACACCTCACAGAGTGAGGCTGAGAGACTTCAGAGAAGTGTGACCAGCCCAAGGTCACCCAGCAGCTGCAGGTGGAGGAGCGGGGAATCGAACCCGGTTCACCAGATTACGAGTCCACCACTCTTAACCACTATACCACACTGGCTCTCACACTGGGCCCACAAACTGGGGGTCAGCTTTAAAAGCTGGCCATCAGAAGCAGACCAGCACCCAGCGGAATTGGAAAAGTGTGGCTTGGTGTAATTTGAGCCAGCTTGCTGGCTGCAGACAAAACCTCACAATCACCTTTTGGATCAACTCAATTCAAGAGCAACCCCACCCAAAACACACCTAGATGGCTATATCTGCCTGCGTAGCCCAAATAACTGCATATGTCTTGCACAATGTGTGAATAATTAGTAATACAATAATCTGTAGAACCATGTTAGCTTCAAGTTATACCATATCGCCTGAATTATATATAATTATATATAGTCATCACTCTCCATGTTTGCAATAGGCACCTGTTTCTAATACAGAAAACTGTTGTGTCTGCAGTAAGTTCAAAACTAAATCCATTCTCCACAGTTTAAAAGCCCCAAAATTAATGATAAGACTGTTTTAAAAAATACTGCAAGCCTTTTGTTAATCTTCAATCCCAGCATAAGCGAGCTAACAACAACAACAATAGAATCATAGATTTTTAGAATTGGAAGGAATCCCGCATGTCATCTGGTCTGACTCCTTGCAGTGCAGGAATCACTACTGAAGGTCCTTGACTGACAGCCATGCAACCTCTGCCCTGTGGTGCTCAGAGGAAGGGTGGTAGAAAAATTCAATAACTACCGTATTTTTTGCTCTATAAGACGCACCAGACCACAAGACGCACATAGTTTTTGGAGGAGGAAAACAAGAAAAAAAATATTCTGAATCTCAGAAGCCAGAACAGCAAGAGGGATCGCTGCGCAGTGAAAGCAGTAATCCCTCTTGCTGTTCTGGCTTCTGGGATAGCTGCGCAGCCTGCATTCGCTCCATAAGACGCACACACATTTCCCCTTACTTTTTAGGAGGGAAAAAGTGAGTCTTATAGAGCAAAAAATACGGTAATCCCTAATAATGACAGTCTGATTCGCTGTTGAGCAGCTCTCACAATCTGTAAGACTGTGCATCAAACCTCATTAAATACATGTGTGTTTGTATGCGCACATGTATTATATATGCATAATCAGGTGCACGCAGACCCAGAATTTCCTCTTCAAAATTGTAACTTATGGGAAACAAAGTTCATAAAAACTCCCTCAAACCTCAGACTTCAAGGGAAAATAAATAAATCATATAATCAGGAGCAGGAAGGTTTCAGCGGGCTGCAGACACGCGAAGAGAACTACTTCAGAAGTATTTTCTTTCCCACTCAAGCTTAGGGATTATTAGCATGATTATTACCCAAAACAAGCATTCCCTAAGCTTGCGTTGAGAAGAAAATAGCTTTCGGAAATGCATTTGCTCTTTGCTGAAGGCTTCCTGGAGGGGTCTGCACTGATGCACTAAACCCCTGAAAGGAGCCACTTTGCAAGCCCCAGTACCTTTTCCAGAGAGCTGGTGGGGCAGGCAGCTCCGAGCAGAGCAGGAGAGACGCCTCTTCTTCCGAAGCTCAGGTCCCGCTCGCTCACAGCTGGATGGCAACAAGGCTGATGTGCCAGCGGCAGCAGGATGCTGGAGAAAGTGAGCTGGGGCGGCTTCCTGGAAGTGTTTACATAGGTGTCTCCAATCTCCACCCCCCACCCCCAAATGAGACCCAGGAGAGCTGGCTCTGTTCGTGTAGGCAGGCAGGAGGGGGGCCCTTGTCCATCACCGCTCGCAGGTGTGGACGACTGACGGTTTCCGTGCAGGCAAATAGGTCCCGGGTTCGTTCCCTGGTGCCGCAAGGTAGGGCCAGGGATGTTGCTGCCTGAAACCCTGGAGAGCTGGAATTTTCAGATTGGGAAAGGTTATGGAAAACTGACCTGAAATTCTCGCCACGCTGTACGTTGAAAGAAAACTATATGGAAACGATGTACCGGTGATATCTGATTCCTAGTAAGTTAGCGAATAGGGAACGCGGGTGGCGCTGTGGATTAAACCACAAAGCCTAGGACTTGCCGATCAGAAGGTCGGCAGTTCTAATCCCCGCGTTGGGGTGAGCTCCCATTGCTCAGTCCCTGCTCCTGCCAACCTAGCAGTTCGAAAGCACGTCAAAGTGCAAGTAGAGAAATAGGTACCGCTCTGGTGGGAAGGTAAACGGCATTTCCGTGCACTGCTCTGGTTCGCCAGAAGCGGCTTAGTCATGCTGGCCACATGACCTGGAAGCTGCACACCGGCTCCCTCGGCCAGTAAAGCGAGATGAGCACTGCAACCCCAGAGTCGGCCACGACTGGACCTAATGGTCAGGGGTCCCTTTACCTTTAAGTTAGCGAAAATGTATAAGGCAGGTACTAAAATCTGCTGGAAATGTAAAGAAAAAGAAGGCACCTTTTATCCTATGTAAGGTAATAAAAGCATATGGGAAATGATATATAAGGGAATGAAAAAAAATTAAAATAACAGAAGACTTTTTATTAGGAATGTAATTTAAAAAATTTGGGAAATGATATATAATGAATTGAAGAAAATGTTCCATTTAACATTTGTTAAAAAACCTAAAGCATTTTTGTTAGGAATTGTAGGGAAAGATCTGCCAAAAAAGCTGAAAAACATATTCGTGTATGCGACAACGGCCGCAAGAGTTCTGATAGCACAAGGATGGAAGACTGAAGAAACCCCAACTAAAGAATCATGGCAAGAAAAATTGATGGACTATGCAGAACTGGCAAAACTGACATACAAGCTACGGGACAAGGATAACTGTGATTTTAAAGATGAATGGGAACCCTTTACAAAGTATTTGAAGACGCAACAAAGAGAACTGGACTCCTTGGCTGGCTTTGAATAAACATTCACAAACTTTTCTATTGATGACAATCAGCTAAATAGTTTGAGGATCTATACAACTGTGTAACATGCAGAAAACAGCATTTTTAGAGAAATCAAAGACTGGAACTGAGGGAAGCCGGGGGTGGGGGTGGGTGGGTTTTGTGTGGGAGGGGGGAGGGAGGGAGGAAAAAGGATGATATGTTTCTGGATAATATGTTTTGTTTTAATTTTGAATAAAAAAGTTTTGTTTTTTTTTTAAAAAAAGATAAAGCTGCTGTCCAAACAAAGCACATTAGCATTTCACTTCCCTGTTCTGGTTACAGCCCATCTTTCCTTCGAGGAGTTCAAATGGGTGTGTGTGTGGTTCTCCTCCTCCCCCCTCCCACCCCTTTTTATCCTCAGAACAGCCCTGTGACCTAGAGACTGGACCAAGGTCACCCAATGAGCTTCATGGCTGAGAGGAGTTTTCCCTGATCCTAGGCTGAGACTTGATCCACATTTTGTATTTTCTGAGAGTGTGGAAATAGCTGAGGACTGGATGCTTAGTCCTGTCCCGTTGCAATACAGTCCCCAATAAAGGAAGCTGCCTTGCACCATTGTTCTAGCTAGCTCAGAAATGCCTACACCAGGAGTGGGGGATCTAAGGTCCAGGGGTCATGTGTGGCCCTCAGAGTCTCTCTCTCTGGCCCTTGGGCCTCACCCTCTGGCCACATGCCTTCTCCGCAGGCCACACTCTTCAACAGCCCTCCCTCACACCCTCCTTGAGTGTTCTGGACTAGCTAGAGGGGATACCTTGAATTATGGACGTGCTTCGGCCTCGGCCCAGTATACCTGAAGGAGCGTCTCCATCCCCATCGTTCTGCCTGGACACTGAGGTCCAGCGCTGAGGGCCTTCTGGTGGTTCCCTCACTGCGAGAAGCCAAGTTACAGGGAACCAGGCAGAGGGCCTTCTCAGTAGTGGCACCCGCCCTGTGGAACGCCCTCCCACCAGATGTCAAAGAGAAAAATGACTACCAAACTTTTAGAAGACATCTGAAGGCAGCCCTGTTTAGGGAAGCTTTTAATGTTTAATAGGTTATTGTATTTTAGTGTTCTGTTGGAAGCCACCCAGAGTGGCTGGGGAAACCCAGCCAGATGGGTGGGGTATAAATAATAAATTATTATTATTATTATTATTTGCTTGGACAGAGGTTAAAGAAAAGTGTATCACGGACAGGTTGAACACAGAGGAATAGTGGGAGGAACCAGCTGGGGAACCCCAAGGCAAGAAGGCTCAGAGCCCGGGGAGCAGTGGTGGGGTGATGACGAGCGGTCATAGGGAGAAAACCAGGAAAAGAAGGTGTCGGAAGCTGAAGAGGTAACAGGGCTTAGTGAGCCGGAAGAGTCTGGGGCAGAGAGAAGCCCAGAAACAGAGACAGAAGCTAAGGCCGGAGAAGAAGACAAGAGCAGAGATGAGTCAGGCTGGTGAAGAGTCGCGGGTGTCTCCCCCTCCTGCTGCGACAACCTCCCCTTCCCACTGGTCTCCCAGAACCAGGAGAGGCATGAAAAGGGCAGATATGTTTGCTTCATGCAGGCGCAGTCTCAGATTGCTTGGGGAAAACCTTGGAGAGGAGGGGACTTAGGCAGCTGTGGGGAGACGGGGACCTTCAGCCTCAGCAACTGCAAGACCTACCGGAGATGAGTTGCTGTGTTCATTATTCCTGACACTCCTGTGCAGATCTTGTTCTTCCTAATAAAGAGTTAACTCCAACTCGCACAGTGTGATTTACTACTGGCTGGCTCCTGACAGATGTACACAGAAACAAGCCTACTGTATGAAGGCAAAATTCACATTTGCTGCGCTCTCCACTTTTGCCTCTGGTCTGAACCACCACTGGCCATGTGTCCCCTGGAAGTCTGAGCAGAAGGGAATGTGCGTCACTGTCCGGTTCACGGGCGATCAAAGTCCTGGCAGGGGACGTCAGAACCGGGAGCAAGATGGCGGGGTGGGAGCAGGAACGGGGGTCCAAAAGCCAGGAGTCGAAGCCAAGAGTCCGAGGGTCAGAGAGCCGGGAGTCAAGAAGCCAAGGGTCCAAGAATCAAGAAGCAGGGAGTCAAGAAGCCGAGGTTCAAGGATCAGGAAGCAGGCAGTCAAGAAGCCGAGGTTCAAGGATCAGGAAGCAAGAAGCCAAAGGCAGGAAGGAAGTTGCTGTGGCAAAGAGCTGAAGGGAACTGCTGACCTTATATCCCTTCCTGGCTCTTGCCACCAGGTTCTGTGAGTTACCAATGGGCCTCACCTGTGTGGCCGCGCCTTGCCTCTCCAGAACAAACTTAGGAAGGCCCCAGTCCTGCAAAGTCCTATTGGTCACAGGACCTGGCTCCTGCACGCACACCTGACAATGTGGCTCTCAGGATGAAGAAAGTTCCCCACGCCTGTCTACTACAGTTTTTAATCTGTGTGCATATTTAATGGAGGGGGGACACAATGATAAGAAAGTATCCTTCGGCCGCAGTCTGAAGTGGTGTAGTCCTCGTCTGCACAAGCAGCAAGCAAGTCCTTTTTCCTCCCACAACTGGAATCTGGCGTTGGGGTGTGCATGTTTCATCCCAATATAGAAATATGAGCACATATAACCACGCTGTTAACAAGCCACTCCAGAGAACGAGGAGTAATAAAGAGCCCCCGAAAGAGAGGAGAGGGGAGAGGAGCAGCTGTAAAAACAAAGATTAAAATGAGCTAAACTCCAACAAGGTTCGAGTCAGCGGCCTCCGCATGGCAACGAAACCTCCACCCGGTTCAACGCTGGGTTTTTCCTTCCTTTGTGGGGTGGCATGATTTTCATGAATGAACGAGCATCTATGAATGGTGGAAGTTGTGTGCTCAATCTGGGTTTACCACCCCCCCCCAACTCCTATTAAAAAAAAGGAAGTAGGGCCCAGAGCTGGCTGTATAAGGCAGGCACAATGAGGTGACAGTCTGTGAGGATGGAACAATGATGCCAGGAGCAGCAGGCAAGTCCAATTTATTTTAGCACTGTTTCTAGCATGGACCCCCATGTGAAATGGAAATGCAACCGCCGAATTATCTGGCTGTCAGGAACTCCAGAGCTTGAATCGGGAACCTTCTGGGAGTGAGGCTGCCTGCCTGGGAAGGCAGTATGAGTCGCAACAGTTAGCAGGCAGTTCAAAAACTCAATTGACCAGGCGTAGGGTTAAAGGTAAAGGGACCCCTGACCGACTCTGGGGTTGCGGCACTCGTCTCGCTTTATTGGCCGAGGGAGCCGGCGTACAGCTTCCGGGTCATGTGGCCAGCATGACTAAGCCGCTGCTGGCGAACCAGAGCAGTGCACGGAAATGCCGTTTATCTTCCCACCGGAGCAGTACCTACGTACTTTGACGTGCTTTCGAACTGCTAGGTGGACAGGAGCAGGGACTGAGCAACAGGAGCTCACCCCGTCGCAGGGATTCGAACCGCCGGCCTTCTGATTGGCAAGTCCTAGGCTCTGTGGTTTAACTCACAACGCCACCCACATCCCAAGCCTAGGGTTAGGCATGAGCAAATTTGCCAATTTAAGTTTTCTCATTTTTCAGCTCCAAAGTTCAGTTCTCCAGATTTTCGCATCAGTTTGCAATTTTAAAAGTGCCCGTAAACATTCGTGAATTTGTCCTAATATGGAACTTTACCCAATCTAAGTCATTTTGCAAGCCATAGGCACCATCCACCACAGGGCCTGGTATAAACCCGCTTTATACCAGGTCCTAATCAGATGGGTAGTGGGTAGTGATGTATGGAAGTGAGAGCTGGACCATAAAGAAGGCTGATCGCCGAAGAATGGATGCTTTTGAATTATGGTGCTGGAGGAGACTCTTGAGAGTCCCATGGACTGCAAGAAGATCAAACTTCTCCATTCTGAAGGAAATCAGCACTGAGTGCTCACTGGAAGGACAGATCCTGAAGCTGAGGCTTCAATATTCTGGCCACCTCATGAGAAGAGAAGACTCCCTGGAAAAGACCCTGATGTTGGGAAAGATGGAGGGCACCAGGAGAAGGGGACGACAGAGGACGAGATGGTTGGACAGTGTTCTCGAAGCTACCAGCATGAGTTTGACCAGACTGCGGGAGGCAGTGGAAGACAGGAGTGCCTGGCGTGCTCTGGTCCATGGGGTCACGAAGAGTTGGACACGACAAAACGACTAAACAACAACATTTGTGAGAGAGGCATGTGCCGATATGTATGTGTCCGGCACGAGCACACGTTGCACGCATGTGCTGTTCGTGTGTTTCCTGTGTGCAGAATCAGGAATCGGACATGACTAAACGACTAAACAACAACAAAATAAGATGGTATGACCACTGGTGGAGGAAGGGGGGTGTGGTGGGGGCGGTCCATCCCGGGTGTCATCCCTAAGTGGGGGTGACATCGCCGCCCCGCCCCCCTGGGACGCTTGCCATGGGCGGCGCTATCCTGGGATGCTCACCACTCGCCATGGGCGACTAGCTCTGCCTCTGGGTAGGACCCTGATATTTAAAAAAAGAAACACATACCCAAGTCACCCCAATTGGAAATTCAAGGAAGGCTCCAGGGCCCATCAGAAGCTTCCTTGCAGAACCAGAACCTTCAACAGGCAAGCAGATGCAGAACATGGTTCTCCAGCTGTTTCTGGACTACAGCTCCCATCAACCCTAGCTAGCAGGACCAGTGGTCAAGGAGGATGGGAACTGTAGTCCAAAAAACAGCTGGAGACCCAAGTTTGGGAAACCCTGAACTGGAGGCCGCTGAGGAACCGCACATAAAAACCCAGCAGGACCTATTGCTTTTTTGTAGCCAATGAAAGTCATCCCTGCACATGCACGAAAGACAGTGGGCGATTTTGCAAGATGGGGTTGGGGGGTCTGGCAGCCCCAGGACTTCACTTGGGGTGAGCAGATCCTGGAGGTGAAATGGCGGCTCATCATTCTCCATCCCCAACTAACCTTTGCATTCCTCTGCTAAGGCGAGTCTTCCCGACGTATCCCCAGACAGCTGCCCCAGCCCACTGGAATTCCAGCCTCAACGCGCACACGCATGGAAAGAAAGAATAGGTAATAAACCCTGTATGTCATCGCAGCTTCCTCCAACAATGGAAGGGTCAGTTCCTGTGAGCCAGGGACGGCTGCCGGCATTTCAATAGCTGGAACTAGGTGTAGCTCAGCTCCGTGAGTCAAATATACAAGCAATTCAGGGTCCGAAGCTCTCTACCGGTCCGTATCTTAATGCTCTGGCAAGGGAGCAGGAAATGAACAAGACATTCCTAAAGGCCACAATATTGCTGTTTCAATCCTCCTCTAATTTTCCACCACCGGTTGTGAAACTCCTCTCTTGACCACTGCCAAGGGGTAATTAAGAGCAGGATGGCAGTGCTTTTGCCAAGGGGTGAGGTCAACCTCATACTGAATCCAGTTTCACCTGGATTTTTCACGGGAAGCCAGTGGCAGAGTGCAGGCATGGCGCTACGGAGGAAGAGCAACTCTGTGCGCAAAGTCCACAGGTTCAACCCCTGCTGTCCTACACTAGTGTAGTTGTGATGGCCTGGGAATCCAATTCAGAGGCTGAACCTGAGGAATCCCAGCCTGCACAGGAGTCCCCGCCTCCAGGGCCGGCTGAGCTGGGGCAGGGGCTTGAACCTGAAGGGCCCGCACCTCAGGAGCAGACACCAGCTGAATCTGCTCTGGCTCCGGAGGTGATTGAGGACCCATTGCCTCTCCCAGCCCTGTCAGGGGAAGGTGAGGTTGCCTCTGGGTCCAGTATCCCTCCAGCCTCTCCGGAGCTGCAGAGGCTCAGGGCAGAGAGGCGGAGGGAAATAAGTTCCTGCAGGAGGAGTGCTCGCCTCCAGGCCAGGAGAGGCGAGTCACCTGTGGGCCGGGACCACCCTATGCCTCAAAGGTCAGCCAGCCCAGTCCCAGGTTGCGGGAGCAACATTGTTGGTAACCTGTTCCTGCCAGCACCCTGTCCTGCTCTTCCAGAGTTCCTGACCATGCCCGGCTCCTTGCCTTGGAGCCCGCTTCGCCCTTGATGGACAGCCTCCATATCCTTGACTTGGACCGGACTCAGACCACACCGCACGGCAACCCCCGCCCCCCGGGACCAGCACAGTAGTGGTTAGATCAGGATGGGGTAGGGGACTGGTGGGCCAGATTACTACATCCCCCCACCCACTGTGGCGCTGGCCATTTGTCAATCATGTGGTGTCACAATGAAATCAGGTGATCCTTCTTGCCCACTGAGGTCCTCAGGTGCCCCCTTCAAGGTGCTAGATTGCCCAGAACTCTCCATGAGGCTTTGCAGGCCCGGCCGATCAGCTGAGCCTGCAAACCCCCTTTAGGCTGAACCAGGCTTTCACCTGCCCCACACCTGATGTTCAGTATGGCATCAGGTGTAAGACAGGTGGGGTGAGGCTTCATGGTCCAAGCGGTTTAACATGTTGGACCAGGGCCTGGGGGATCAGGGTGCAAACTCCCACTTAGCCATGAAGCTCATTGGGTGACCTTGGCCCAGTCACCAACACTCAACAGAGCCTACCTCATATGGCTGCTGTGAGGATGTTGTGGAGAGAGGAAGAACAGTGTGTGCAATTTTGAGCTCCTTGGAGGCAAGATAAATATTCATATTTATGAATGAATGAATGAATGAATGAATGGGTCCCAGGTAGCAGGACTGAGAAGGACTCCTGCCAGAGATAATTAGAATTGTAGACCTGGAAGGGACCACAAGGGTCATCTAATCCAATCCCCTGAAATGCAGGAATATTTCGCCCAACGTGGGGCTCAAACCCGTAACCCTGAAATTAAGAGTCTCATTGATGTATTTCTATCAAGAAAGGCTTGTTAGAGCCATGTGGCTAAGCTGGAGCCATCAGTGTAGCCTCTTCATAGGCTGAGTTCATCAGGTATACCAGGAAAGAACACTAGGCCTGATTACCTAGTTCCTTCCAAGGTGAGCTAAGCCTGGCAGGGCAGCTTACTCTGTGGTCTTAACTCCTCTGTGCCTTAATCAGACTTAAGCATGTTGGTTACATGAGGCTGGTTATCCCACAATCTGGGTTTTGTGGGTGCCTCCAGCCAGCCCCTGTGTGCATTTAAATAAAGGTAAAGGACCCCTGACCGTTAGGTCCAGTCGCGGACGACTCTGGGGTTGCGGCGCTCATCTCACTTTAGTGGCCGAGGGAGTCGGCGTACAGCTTCTGGGTCATGTGGCCAGCATGACGAAGCCGCTTCTGGCGAACCAGAGCAGCGCACGGAAACGCCGTTTACCTTCCCACCAGAGCAGTACCTATTTATCTACTTGCACTTTGACGTGCTTTCGAACTGCTAGATTGGCAGCATTTAAATACACATGCATTAAAGGGCTCTTGAAAGTGATGAGAAAATGCTCTGAAAAGTCTGGAAATGAATGAATTAGTAACGAGAAGACATGAAAACATGCCGCAAGCAAGTCAGGACAAATGCAGGACAAATTGTCATATATAAACTACCCCCTAAATGAATCAGAACAAGAGTTTGGTTAAGACTGTGCCACAGTCTACCCTCCTTGTAAGCTTCTTGCAAGAAAATTAGGACAAACACTCAGGAAACAGGGCGTCTGGAACAACCCTCTGTCTCTTGAAACTAGGAAAGTCTAGCTCCAGGGGAGTTATACAGTGGTACCTCGGGTTAAGTACTTAATTCGTTCCAGAGGTCCATTCTTAACCTGAAACTGTTCTTAACCTGAAGCACCACTTTAGCTAATGGGGCCTCCTGCTGCCGCCGCTGCATGATTTCTGTTCTCATCCTGAAACAAAGTTCTTAACCTGAGGTACTATTTCTGGGTTAGCAGAGTGTGTAACCTGAAGCGTATGTAACCTGAAGCGTATGTAACCCGAGGTACCACTGTACTGGGATGTGGGGAACTGGAACAGGCTAAGCAACAGGAGTGTGAATGGAGGGGAAGGAGGAAGAAGAAGAAGAAGAAGACGACTTTGGATTTGATATCCCGCTTTATCACTACCCGAAGGAGTCTCAAAGCGGCTAACATTCTCCTTTCCCTTCCTCCCCCACAACAAACACTCTGTGAGGTGAGTGGGGCTGAGAGACTTCAGAGAAGTGTGACTAGCCCAAGGTCACCCAGCAGCTGCATGTGGAGGAGCGGAGACGCGAACCCAGTTCACCAGATTACGAGTCTATCGCTCTTAACCACTACACCACTTCTCCCCAGGTCCAATCTTCAGTACCTCCTGGAAGGACTGGGAGCGACGCCTGCCTGACACCCTCAAGGGCTGCTGCTGGTCAGTGTCTTTTTTTTTTTTTTTTTTTAATCATATTTATTAAAGTTTCCAAAAATATAAAAATACAAAGAAAAAAAAGAAAAAGAAAAAGAGATATTTAAAAACCTTACTTTCATTGCCTACTTTCTGGGACTCCCCCCCTCCCCCCCCCCCGACTGTATTCCCCTTTCCTTAATTTAGTTCTACAAGCTCTCACTCCCAATTTGAAGCTTAATTTGTTTAACCCACTATCCAAATTGAATTGTACAAATCTTACCACCGTCCCACATCATTAACAAGAAAAAGAAAAAGATTTTCCCCAATATCCACCCCAGTTCCTTCCACGAATTCCCTTTATTTAAACACGTCCAATCAAAATAAAATGACATGCGTAAGTTATTTAAAAAAATAAAAAATAAAAGATATAGAAAAATTCAAAAGATGGTTACACAGCCTTTGGATTTCAAATCTCCCCCCCCCCCCCCTTCCCCGGTTTGAATTCCCCCTATCCATCAGTCTATGCATTATCAGCTTGGAAGTCTCAATTCATGACCAAATTTCTCCCCGATTCCATCTTGCCGGTTTTCTTTTAATTTATTAATAATATGTAACTTCAAGTGTCCAATCTAACAAAGGCCTTTAATTTCCTTGATCTTTACCACTCCTCCCGTTGTTCTTTCCGTGTCGTAATCAGTCCTTTGTTCTTCTTTTCCTCACTTTCTCAGGTTTCTTGTCCTGTTCAGCTGCTAAAACTTTCTAATTCAGAAATCTGGTATCTCTGCAGAGGTTTGTTATTCAGGAACAAAACTTACGTCCAGTCCCTTCCTTTCTTCAATAGAAAATTCTATTGTCTCCTTTAATGTAAATACCTCTGTAGACAAAATACTATTTCAGTTTTGCAGCTTTCCCAAAAGATAACAAGTCCTGTGCGAATCCCAGAGTATTTTTCCACTTACGACCGTTCTTGTAATATCCCGAAACCCCTCTAGGGGATTGTAATAACTTTGTATCCTCTAATCCAAAAGTCAAATTGTTGCTTATTTTCCAACAGTTTATATCCATATTGTAGCAAATTGTAGCAAAATTAACCGGCAAAGTCCTCATAACAAAGTCCTCTTTATATTCTCCAACTTTGACAGCCACTTTGACAGCTGTCAAAGTCTCCGTCTCTCTTCACCAGGCTCCACGAATCGCCCCGGTTCCCAGGGGGGGGGGGTTGCATTTTTCTTCTCACCCTCCACTCTTCTCCTCCAGCACAGTTCTTATAATTTCCCATCGTGAAATTAATGGTTTTTATCAAGAATATACTTCCCTTTGGACCTTGGTTACCCAGTCCTTGTTTTGGAATGCTTACAGTAGGGGGGGGGGATTGACTTCCTTTTAAATCGCCCCGCTCGTGCCAAATCCGAAATTTTGAACCCGGTTTCCCAATTACTCACGGGTTGTTGTTAATAGTCCAAATTTTCAATGGAAGAAGTCAGCGCTCTCCGTCGAATGGCATGCGGCTGCGCTCGGCAGGGAAAGCAGAGGACTCAAAGCACCACGCCGCTCCCGGCACCCGATCCGAAGCCTTTAAAAGGCTCCTTCACGAGTCGGGAGGGCGCTAATGGTGCAAGCCGAGTCACCCATGTCCACGGACTCCGTGCCCGTGGTTTTAAGGGTCCCCGCGTCGCCGGCGCGGTAGGACCCAGCCCCTGCCGAGCAGACTCCCTCCGGAGCTCGGAGGGAGTCCGCCATTCGGCGATGGCGCCAACCCGGAAGTCTGCTGCTGGTCAGTGTCAACAATCCTGAACTACATGGACCAATGGTCTGACTCTGAAAATGGCACTTTCCAGTGTGCCCCTTGTTAGGGGTTGAAGCAGAGATCCAGTTCTTGCCAATGACCCTTGTCCTCCCCTTAGCACACCCTCAGCACGAGTCGCTGAATGAAGCCAGCATCCCTTTCCACGGCCATCAGAGCACACGCCTGCATCCTGCAACCCCTCCTTCGGGCAATCTCAGCCCGTGCTGCAAATATTTGCTTTGGCTCCCCTTGGCGGAGCTCCCTCCTCATCAGGAGCTACAACAATGCGGATCACTGGGTATTTAAAAATAATAATCATTATCATTATTATAATGGGGAAATGCCTCTCTCCACATTCCTCAGGTCGGAGTCTCCTCCCGGGCCAAAGCTTTGCCTGGTTTTATACACGCGTGAATACGGAAGTGGTTTCGTTACAGGGCGGCCCATCCAACCATCTGGAACAGATATCCCTCCAACAACAGGACCTGCTTCCCACTGGATTGCCAAGTTGGGAAGCCAAAAATCCTAGAAAGAAGAATAAAAAATAACTGGAAGAATAAAGGGGTTCTTCTTTTATTGCTTCATGTTTCGCGCATGATTATGCGCAGGAACATAGACCTGCTATTAGGCTGATTGAGATGGTGCTGCGGGTTGAACTTGGCACCGTCTGCATTCAAGGGAAGTGCTACCATATTTTCTGGCATATAAGACTGGGCGTATAAGACGACCCCCCAACTTTTCCAGTTAAAATATAGAGTTTGGGATATACTCGCCGTATAAGACTACCCCTCTTCCAACGCACACCAAATAAAAATTTAAAAAACCAGTCTCCGGTCTGGCTCGGAAATCCGCTCCACTTCCCAGTGGCCGGGGGCTGCTAGGGCCAATTTTCAAGCGTATTTCTGCTTCATCTAGAGAGCTTGGTGTCCTCTGATTTAATTTGCTGTCGTTTTATCCTTTGGTGGGGAGTTGCTGCAGGAGTTGCTGCTGTAGCTGGCATATAAGACGACCCCCGACTTTTGAGAAGATTTTCCTGGGTTAAAAAGTAGTCTTATACACCAGAAAATACAGTAATTCACTGAGATTTGGCCCTTCCCCTAATAGGAACATAGGTAAAGGTAAAGGGACCCCTGACCATTAGGTCCAGTTGTGACCGACTCTGGGGTTGTGGTGCTCATCTCGCTTTATTGGCTGAGGGAGGCGGCGTACAGCTTCCGGGTCATATGGCCAGCATGACTAAGGAGCTTCTGGCAAACCAGAGCAGCGCACAGAAATGCCGTTTACCTTCCCGCCGGAGCGGTAACTATTTATCTACTTGCACTTTGACGTGCTTTCGAACTGCTAGGTTGGCAGGAGCAGGGACAGAGCAACGGGAGCTCACCCCATCGTGGGGATTCAAACCACCGACCTTCTGATCGGCAAGTCCTAGGCTCTGTGGTTTAACCCACAGCGCCACTGTAGGTTATAGAGCCTATTAAAAGTAAAAAATGCCATCCTGAGTGCTTATTGCAAACTAACTAGGGCTACTGTCAAAATGTTGGAACAAATGCTCAGACACGCTTCTATGAAGGAAAATTACAAGTTAAGCAGCAAACGTTTTGAACTGTGCGCTTGGACTTCTTTTAAAGATTGATGTAAGACTTTTTCTATCTGAAATGACCCTCCAAATTATAATAATAATAAAAGGAACAAGGAAAACAGATGTCTCCGCTGCTCAGTGCTAGACACTCCCCTCCTCCCGTATTTAACAAATCTGAATAGTCACTTACTCGGAGTTGCCAAAACTTCTGTCTCTTGTGGTTTCCATTTGACAAACGGTCTTTCAGCAGCATCTGGGCTGCAGCGCAGTCAGTGGCACACGCAGGACAGCGGATGGGAAATATATATTTGAGAACCTAGCAACGCTCCACCGCTAAGGCAAGAGCAACCCCTCAAAAGAAGTGCAGTCCCCCACGTGTCCCCAATTACCGGGACCTAACCACGGCCGGAACATCCATCTCATCGGCTCGGCTCCTCTTTCTGTTTTCGGCTTGGCATCAGGCAGGCACATCTGGAATCCTTAAGCTCCAAAGCCAGATCCTCTGACCAGGGGCGGATGGTGGTAATTTCACAGATGTTTATATTAGGCAATCCCCAATCCATGTTAACAGCATCTGGAAACATGGCAGAAAACGAGTTCTCCTCCTGAGAAAACCTTCCCACCAGGATCTGCGGCCAGAGATCATCTCTGCAGCTCTGGAAAGAGCAAGGCAGGCATCATAGCTGAGCAACCAGAGGAAAGTTTGCAGAACGCTCTGCTTTGTTCTGGGGTGGCTAGCAAATTTCAGCTGCCAAACACGCTCCTATTCTTCTTCTTCCTCCATCCCTTTGCTAAGAAAATAGTTTATGCCCTCTGCTCCATGGTCAGATTGTTCAGGGACCTTTGGCCACAGCCCATCCGTGTCAAGGGAGTCTTTATCTGAACTCCACAATTGGCCCATTGAAAGCGTAATCTCTGGAGGCCGTGTGCTTTGGAGAGTCGGCAGCCTGTGCAAAACTGATACATCACTGGAGGTGGTGTATGTGTGTGCACATAAAGACAGTCATCTTCCTCTCTGTGGTGCAGGGATGCGCAGAGGAACGAGCTGCAACTGCTGAATGTACCCATTGTCTTTTTGACCACAAACCCTGAGCTTTAACCCCAGAGTCGCCATTTGATGCTCATGTACGCACAGAATCCGGGAATCAGGGCAGGGCATGCCCCACACAAACTTATTAACTTATGGGATACGCCACACACAATGCTCAGTTAACGTAAGGAATGTCTTGCTGCAAGACGGCCCAACACTCACCAGCTAACTAGTTTCCATGTTTAAAAGAAAAATAAAATTAAAATAAAAGGTTGAGACAAATTTGAAGGAGGTGTATCAATAGCTATTGATTGCAATAGGTATGTCGAACCATGTTCAGAAGCAGCAAACCTCCGAACACCAGGCGATGGTGCAGAATAAACAACAGCAGGGTGTGGAATAAAGAACAGCCTTTGTGTTCTTCCCCTGTGTGTGATACAACTGCGCACGATCCTGCAAAACTGTTCTTTCTTACAACTCTGGCGCGCAGAATATGAGAAGGTAAGACACTAACTTTCTAAACCACACGATGAGGGAAAAGGCTGAAAATGTGCCGGCAAGTTTTTCTTGATAAGGTTCCGAGGATCTTCAGCCAGGGAAACTTTAAGCGGGTCCCATTTGCCCTATTCTGAGCCACCGTGGTAAACTTGTCAACGTAGAAAGTCTCACCAGCTCACTGTTGTACTTCAGCGACACTACTGCAAACAGCCAGAGGGTGGCACTGTGTTCAGGGACAGGCAGGACTCTGAGGAGTGTGGACCGGGGGAAAGGAGGCTGGAGTCTGATTTGGGAGAGGGGGAGCAGTGGTTTCTGGGGACCTGTACCAGCCAGGAGGCAAGAATCAGGAGGCAGGGGAAGCTCCAGAGCTGGAGGAAGAGGCAGGACAGGCTAGCGATGGGCCAGGTGCTTTCCTCCGCTTCCTTGCACCACTGTCTCCCAGAACCAGGAAAGAAGTGAAGTGGGAGGAACAGAGGAAGCTTCCGTTCAGGCATAGTCTCTGGCTATGTCAGGCGAAGGTACATAAACTGGTGGAGGGGGAGTGGTCCTCAGTTGCTGCAATTGCTCCATAGAGAAGAAGAAGAGGAGTTTGGATTTGATATCCCACTTTATCACTACCCGAAGGAGTCTCAAAGCGGCTAACATTTTCCTTTCCCTTCCTCCCCCACAACAAACACTCTGTGAGGTGAGTGGGGCTGAGAGACTTCCGAGAAGTGTGACTAGCCCAAGGTCACCCAGCAGCTGCATGTGGAGGAGCGGAGACACGAACCCAGTTCACCAGATTATAAGACTACCGCTCTTAACCACTACACCACAGCTGCCTAGATGCTAGACAGATGTGAGTATCTTTGGCAATAAGTATTTTTCGCTCCAAAAGACGCACCTGACCATAAGATGCACCTAGTTTTTAGAGGAGGAAAACAAGAAAAAAAATATTCTGAACGAAACAGTGGCTATATGATTTTTGTGGTGCAGGCTGTAGCCATGGACATGCTATGTGATCAGATGGTGAATTTGGTGTGACCCAATGCAAAAATCCTGAGGATCCATGGGCTTTTACCTCTCCCGTCCCAGGCAGCCTCCTTTATCTCTAGCGTCCCTTATCTCCCTCCCCGATCGCTTGCCGATCAGCTGCTTCCTTTGAACACCCCCTTTCAAAAAAAAAAGAGAGCATGATCTGCTTTTTGCCCCTGGGCAATTCGGCTCCAGGGACCACACATTTGCTCCATAAGAGGCACAGACATTTCCCCTTACTTTTTAGGAAGAAAAAAGTGTGTCTTATGGAGCGAAAAATACGGTAACTGTCTGCTCTTTCCTTGGCTGAGAAGCTCCCAGGATTCACTGCAGCTACCAGCTCAGTAGAAGTCAGCCCCCGCCCCTCCCAGTCTTATAAAGTCACAGTCTCTGGCCTGGCTCATTATGCGCAGAGCATCGTGCACAGAATGAGGTCAATGGACTGCAATGGCCCACCTTGGCTCGAGACCGTGACCCCCCATGTTGCATAAGGATCAGATCTGGGAATCCCTAATATGGTTACCAGATTTTTTTCAATGAATCCAGGGACACTTTTTTTTAATTTTTGAAGCTGAGTAGCAACAGGGAGTCAGTAGTGGGGATGGTGAGGCAAAAGACCCTGGGCCCAAGCACACATGCACAGTGTATAAAGGTGCAAAGCCCTTCTTTCGCACCCTGTGAAACATAAATGCACAGAGGTTTTTTTAAAACAGCAATGGCGCGCCACCCACCCGTGACTCCTGAGCCTCCCCTGATATCCTCCCTCCTCACCCCTTTGTTTTGACTGACAGGGGGAGGCTCAGGAGTCGCGGACGGGCAGCTGTTGCCCAGTTTTTTAAAAACTCTGTGCATTTATGTTTCACAGGGTGCGAAAGAAGGGCTTTGCACCTTGCCTGGCAGAGAAACTGCACACCTTGCGCCCCTCCTGGGCAACAGCCACCCACTTGCAACTCCTGAGCCTCCCACAATCTGTCAAAACAAAGGGGGAAGGGGGCAGGAGATCTGTACCACCAGACGTCCCTGGTTCCCCTTTGGCAGTGGCGGCGGGAGCGAGCAGTTCCTGAAGCCAGCCAGAGCCAACTGCACTACCAGGCTGGCTCCGGGCTGCTGAGGCTGAGGCTGAGGCTGCCGCTGCCATGTTTCCTGGGGACAGATTTGCAAATTTGGGGACATTCCGGGGATGGAATTTGTCCGGGGACAGATTTGCAAATCCGGGGACTGTCCCCAGGTACCAGGGATGTTTGGTAACCCTACTATAGAAGAGTGGTGGTGGGGCCAGGGGCCAGAGTGGGTGGAGCAGCAATGTAAATTTGGCCTTCGTACACAAGGGGCACGGGTGGCACTGTGGTCTAAACCACTGAGCCTAGGACTTGCCGATCAGAAGGTCGGCGGTTCGAATCACCGCAACAGAGTGAGCTCCCATTGCTTGGTCCCTGCTCCTGCCAACCTAGCAGTTGAAAAGCATGTCCAAGTGCAAGTAGATAAATAGGCTTAGTCATGCTGGCCACATGACCTGGAAGCTGTACGCCGGCTCCCTCGGCCAGTAAAGCGAGATGAGCGCCACAACCCCAGAGTCGGCCACGACTGGACCTAATGGTCAGGGGTCCCTTTACCTTTACACTAGGCTGGTTTCTACATGCAACACGCCTCCCTGGCCTCCATGCTGGCGATTATCATTTCACTGAGATCCCAGTTCTCCTCCAGGAAGCTCGGAGGAGCTTGTGTGCTGCCTCCAGGCAGCATCATGTCCAAATGCTTGCCAGGATGAAACCACTTTGCTATAGGAATGTAAGAGCGCCACTCAGGCCAATGCAGATGTGACAAGCAAAACAGGCGAATACATGGCTGCCCACCTACTTGCAAAGGAAGCTGAAATTTGTCACCCCCTTGAAGAGGGCACGGCTTAACTGTTTCTCCCTGCAGAGTGCAGAGGAAATAACTAGGCAGAACAACAAACGGCTCCATTGTCCTACACGGGAAGGACGACGGCAGCCATAAAAGTAGATCAGAAAAGGGGTCCGCTGAAATTCCTCTCTGGGCAGGAGTCAGATCGGCAGGCGCTCAGAAAGAGGAGTCACCTCCACCGGCCAGACTCCATGCACAGATGCAAGATGACACTGTATGGTAACCTATTGTGGCACAGAGCACAACAGCATCATTCTACAACTGGGTGTGATCTTTCGAAAGCCACTGAAACACGCTTGACATCTGCACTATACATTTAAAGTACTCCTGCACTGCTTTAGCAGTCATGGCTTCCCCACCAAACAAGAACCCTGGGAACTTTGGTTTGTTAAGGGTGCTGGGAACTGTAGCTCTGAAAGGCAGTCTCCTAACAACTCTCAGCACCCTTAACAAACTACAGTTCCCAGGATTTATTATTTTTTATTTTTGTAGGAGAGCTGGGACTGTTTAAAGTGGTATGACAGTGCTTTAAATGGATAGTGCAACTCATCCTCATGAACAAAAGCATATATTTGATAAACTGCTTTTGGGGGACCTAAAAGCATTGAAGTCAGTTTCAACAACGCCTTGTGTCAGGGGCTTAGCTTCAAATGCAGGAGCTATTCTCTAAGCAGAAACATGAGAGACCCTGTTTTCATTTTTCGTTTTCATTTTAAAAGGGCAGTTTTCAAGTCCTCAAGGTTCTAGGCAAGGTTTAAGTATGGGTGAGTTCTTTGTAGAGCAAGCCCTTCATTTAGCACAGCGACCTAACAGCTCCTCACGACACCACATTCTCTGACCTCCCTCCTTTGCACGTTTAGGACATGATCCAGCACTTTAAAGCTGCCGTTCAAGTCAGTCGAACTCTGGCTTCACTTAGTGCAAACGAAAACGCCCGATTTAGCTGCTGACTTGAACTCTGGTCTCCCAGGGTCTAGTTGTCCACTCTAACCACAACGTCACATGCACCAATTCAAAACAATTTGCAAACAGTATTGAGATTGTTTAGAACGGCCCTGACACCAACCTGAGCACAAATAAACATAAAAGCACAATAAAAATGATGTTGGGAGGACCTCTGAGAATAAAGAGGGGGCTCTCTTAAGATCAGTCTGCCATGCAGAGATCCAAGACCCTCCTTAAGTTCCCCCCCCATTCGATTTGCTATGACGCACTCCAATTCTGCGCGATTTTGATTCACTGCCATAGTTTCCATTTGAGTCACTTGCAGAATCAGATTTTCCTTTGACCAAGGAATGCTCTGGCAGCTAGAAAAGAGGAGTGCTCCCCCTAGTGGTGCTTAAAAAGAAGGTTTTTTTGTGGGGGGACAGTACTGGCTCAGAACAGGACGTGCGCAGTAATATCTCAAGTGTGGCCGCACCATTGATATGCATAAGAACAATATGACATTGGCAAAAATCCACAGCAGAGAGTCCTGTGACATCTTATAGACAATATGAGTTGCAGCCCAACAACATCAAGGGCACTGCACTGGCTATTTTTATTTTACATTGGTCAGGCTGTCCAACTAATACGGTGTTGTCTACTCTGATAATGCTGAAGATCTCCAAAGGCTGAAGGAGAAAGACCTCTTTCACATCACCTGGTACCTGAGACCCCTTTTCCATAACTGGAGACACCAGGGATTTAACCTGGAACCTTCTGTAGGCGATTGCTCTCCCACTGAACTGAGCAATGGTTTCCAATACGGCCACAGTACGGAGGGGTGTACAAATTTGCTCGTTTCCTCAGTCTCTCCTTTGTACAACCTTCAATTCAGTTTGTTACATTTCTTTTTCACTTTGTGATATTTTTTTTTAAACAAGGGCTCATGAAAACCCATCCGTATATTTCCCCCCCCCCCCAATATACACAAACTGGTATGCAGTTTTGCCTAACATGCACACTTTTGAAAGCAACCCCCCCCAATGTAATGCATTTCTGTATGCAATTTTTCACTAATATATGCAATTTCATGCACACTTTCGCCAAATACACATTTTGTACAAATGTGCCTAATTTCAGCAGGGGAATGGGACCCCGTGGGCAAATTTATTGCAGTGAAAGCTGATGCCGTAATCCATGAAAGGTTATGCTGTAATAAATCAATTTGTTTCCCCCAACCATTGTCCATGCTGGGTGGGAATTTGCACTCCAGGGGTGGTTGGCCCGTAGTCCTCCAGAAAGTTATTGGACTACAACTCTCATCAGCCCCAGGCACCATGGTCAGGGATGATGGGAACTGTAGGCCAGCAAACTGGTTTTCCTAGGCAGGGACAAAATAAACAAATGCCTTCATCGTTGCACCTTTTAACTCCACTTAAAAACTGGTCTGCACACACCCGCACGCTGGCAGATCTGTTGCAAGTCCTACCCTTTTCCAGACCCATCGCCAGTTCAGAGGTGGGGTGGAGTCCTTTGAGGAGCTTAACAGCTTCCAGATGCAACTCTGCTACGTCGAGGCCTCTCAGAACCACTTCAATTCCTCCTCTTCAGCCATCTCGCGGGCAGTCTGTTTGACAGGCTGCCCTGGGCTATCCGTTTCCCTCCTCTCTTGCCATTTTAACAGGGTCGTGAGGAGCCAAATGTTCCTTTCCAGCTGTAAATCAAGGAGATTCTTTCCTTGGCAAACACCGAACGCCTGGGACCTTCTGCATGCAGGTCAGGCTCTGCCACTAAGCTACGGCCTTTCCCCGTATATCACATCTGCACAGTGATCAAGCTATTGAGATGTCACTAGGTAAAGGTAACCATTAGGTCTAGTCGTGGGCGACTCTGGGGTTGCGGCGCTCATCTCGCTTTATTGGCTGAGGGAGCCGGCGTACAGCTTCCGGGTCATGTAGCCAGCATGACTAAGCCACTTCTGGCGAACCAGAGCAGCGCACGGAAACATCATTTACCTTCCCGCCAGAGCAGTACCTATTTATCTACTTGCACTTTGACGTGCTTTCGAACTGCTAGGTTGGCAGGAGCAGTGACAGAGCAACGGGAGCTCACCCCGTTGTGGGGATTCGAACCACCGACCTTCTGATCGGCAAGTCCTAGGCTCTGTGGTTTAACGCACAGTGCCACCTGCGTCCCTAGAGGCACAGAAATACTTGCATTTGCACAGCCTTGAGAACACTGCACTGCTGAGTACCTGTGAAACCCCAGAGGTGGGCCGGGTACCAGACACCTGTAAAACGAGCATCATCCCTGCTTTCTTCCTACCTGGTTAAGGGGAAGGGATGCAGTTCAGTGGGTGAGCACCTGCCTTGCATCCAGGAGGTCCCAGGTACAATCCCAGGCTTCTTCAAGGAAGGCTGGGAAAGCCCCCTGCCCTGGATAGCAGCTGCCAGTCAGTGTAAACAATACTGAGCTAGAAGCACTAGTGACCCAGCTCTGAATGAAGCCATTTCTGATGTCCCAATGTACCATCTAAAGCTTGCTATTTTGCCGACAGGGCTGGTACAAAAAGAAAGAAGGAAATCTCTTAGAAAATCACATTGATTAAATCCCAATCAACTTCATCACAGTGTCTAGAGCAGAAAAGAACTACCTATGTGTGGGGTGAAAAATAATAGAATTGGAAGGGGCCACAAGGGTCATCTAGTCCAACCCTCTTCAATGCAGGAATCTTTTGCCCAATGTGGGGTTCGAACCCATGACCTTGAGATGAGATCCATGCTCTTCCAACTGAGCTATCCCAGGTCCAGCTGTGTATTATTATTATTATTATTATTATTATTATAATAATTATTATCATCATTATCATTATTCGCCTGCCCTTCAATCTAAGGTCCCGTGGTGGGCTAAAACATTAAAAGACGATGCTAAAAACAGTTTAAAGCAACTTACTATCACAGAAATGCAATGACAAACTTAGACAGCATCTTAAAAAGCAGAGACATCACCTTGCCAACAAAGGTCCGTATAGTTAAAGCTATGGTTTTCCCAGTAGTGATGTATGGCAGTGAGAGCTGGACCATAAAGAAGACTGATCGCCGAAGAATGGATGCTTTTGAATTCTGGTGCTGGAGGAGACTCTTGAGAGTCCCATGGACTGCAAGAAGATCAAACGCATCCATTCTTAAGGAAAGCAGCCCTGAGTGCTCACTGGAAGGACAGATCCTGAAGCTGAGGCTCCAAGACTTTGGCTACCTAATGAGAAGAGAAGACTCCCTGGAAAAGACCCTGATGCTGGAAAAGATGGAGGGCACAAGGAGAAGGGGACGACGGAGGACGAGATGGTGGGACAGTGTTCTCAAAGCTACCAGCATGAGTTTGACCAAACTGCGGGAGGCAGTGGAAGACAGGAGTGCCTGGCGTGCTCTGGTCCATGGGGTCACAAAGAGCCAGACACGACTAAACAACTAAACAACAACATCACAGAAATAAGGTGGGTGCTAAAAAAAATAGACACCTCAAGTGTCCAAGATAAATGGCCCAAATACACCCACACCCGCTTCCTGTCATTTAAACCAAAGCGATGACATTTCCTGCTCACGCAGTTAAGAGAAACCCTGCTTCACCCATAGATTTGCACTGTGATACAAGAGAAGCCTCCAAGTCGCTCTGCCTTTAGACTGCACGTACGACTGAGGACTTCAGGGACATTAAGACGACAGAGTGGAGCTGCACTAAGGGACCTTGACTCTACCGCACCCTGCCTACAGCATAAAGGGTAGATCAAAGTTGGCTAAGTAGCGTAATTGATCCTTACAAAGCATAATTCATCCTCTTCCATGCAAGCACACATTTTAGAATTGGGGCTGGGGGCTGACGCAGCTTGCCTCTGAATCTCAACCACCCCCACCCCCATCTCAAGACCGAAGTTTAAAATGGAAGGGGAATTATCAAATTTGCAAACAACATTCCGAGGTACGCTGCTTATTTGCAAAGCATTCTGAGAAGGAAGCAGTAGCAACATTTAAGCAGCTTAGAAATGCAAGAGGAAGAAAACAGACATACTAGGAATTCCTGGCCTTATCCCTTTGCAAAAGCGTCCCATCGTCTTTCCGGAGCTTGTGAAATAAGTTCCAGTCTCCAAACAGCAGCCTCTCTTGGGTTCAAACTCCGTTTCCTTTTGGCACGGAGGGTCTCTGCTCTCCAGAAGGCTTTTGACAAGAGCGCGCAGTCAGAGCAGACCTCTGAGCTCCCGGCTTGCTCCCCGTCCTCCCCTCCCACCCACCCCTTCAAACCAATCTCCCTTCCCGCTACAGACGTCTTGGAGAGTCTGGCAGCAAAGTTTGGCTTCCTGAGTGAGTGAGCTGGGATGGGATAGGAGAGGGAGAGGGGATGTTTGGCTCCTTCCAATAGGAAGTTGAGACTGCGAGACCGACTCAAGACACAAATGGGCTGCACGTTTTCTCCTGCTCTGCTTCCTTCACACAAATGCACAGGCAGGAGTGTGCATTTGTATGCCTCAAAGGCTGCAATGTTTGGAACTTTTCAGTGACAAGACAAGTTGATAGAAGTTTATAGAATCATGCACGGCATAGAGAAAGCTTTCCTCTTCTCAAAATGCTAGAACATCAAACAAAGCTGAATGTTGGAAAATTCGGGACAGGTGAAAGAAAGTACTTCTTCACACGGCGCGTAGTTAGACTGTGGAACTCTCTCCCACTGGAAGCAGTCATGGCCAATGACTTGGAAGACGTTGAAAGAGGACTGGTCATATTCATGGAGGAGAAAGCTATCTACTAGCTACGATGGCTATGCAGTCAGAGGCAGCAATGCTTCTGAATACTAGTTGCTGAAAACCACCGGAGAATAGAGAACAGGCCCTTGTGTTCGAATCCTGCTTGTGGTTTTCCCACAGGCGTCTGGTTGGCCCCTGTGAGACCAGGATGCTGTGCTAGATGAGTCGCTGGTTTGGGCCAGCAGGCTCTTATGTGTATTGTGATAGGAATCTTGAGGTCTTAGATATATGTTAAATGTTCATAAGTGTACCAACCAAGTATGTACATAGATCAGCACAGGAAGACTGACCTGAAATCATTTTTGGCTCCCAGACTGACCAAATGTTTTCTCTGCAAGGCCAAAGGAAAATGGAAAAGCCTCCCCATTGTCTTTTCCTTCACAGATCCTGTCTTAAGGGTATGTATGTATGTGTTTGAATAGGGTGTGAGTCTGTGATCTGGCCCAGGAACTAAGTATTTATCATTACAAAAGACTGGCCAGGCTCCCCAGGCAATCCAATCAAGTAACCTGCCAGACAGGAGAAAAACAACATTCAAATTTCTGTTTTAGACCGCCTTTTCTGTGATGCAGGTGGGATGTATCTGAGAGGTGGTCTTAGGTTACACCCTTCTGTGATGTATGTATGATGTTTCTGGGGGTGGTCTTGATCTACAGGGTGGCAATTTCAAAAGTACTTATAAGGCCTTGCATGTCATTGTTCTGGGTTCCTCCTCCTTTCCTGCGTGTAAGGGGAGCACCCTGTTGCAACAGATCAATAAAGATCAGGCTTACTAGCTGCTTTGCTTCTCAATATTCTCGGGTTGGCCTCTGTTATTTTCTCCATAGGTACCAATAGGGAACCTATGTAAGGACTCTATATGGGCTCTTGGATACAACACACACACACACACACACACACTATGCCAAAGTCCCATAGTGCGTTGTAAGAACCCCAAGACCAACCCCGGCTGATAATAATCAATTTATACATTGTTACATTTTCATCTCATTATCAGATAGCATGCCTGGTCCTCACCACCCCCATCCTTTTTGGAGTATCCCTGGCATGAGAAAATCCAAATTGAGGGAGGGGAAAGTGCATGGAGGAGAATGCCATACGGGCAACAGATAGATAGATAAAACTTTATTCGCATTAGCCAATGGCCATAGCAACAATAAAACATTACAGTATATGCAAAAAGAGAAATCTGATATAAGAGCACAATTTAAAGTCCTGAATCAGCCGTCAGTTAGTGGCCCTTATTCTGATCACCCCTGCTATGAACGATACGATACGATACGATACGATACGATACGATACGATACAATATCTTTATTGTCATTGTCCCTTGTGGAACAATGAAATTGAAAACTACATAAAACTACCACAAAACTACATAAAACTACATAAAACTACTACAAAACTACATAAAACATTCAAAACCCCCTAAAAACTCTAAAACCCCATTTTAAAACACACTATACTACAGAAACCCCTTATGCTGCGTTTAGAACCAGAATTGCATTAGCGTAGAAACTGTTTTTCAGGTGGCTAGTCCTGGCCTTTGCTGTTATCTGCTCATTTTGATCTGATAGAGGAAAGGACATTGTGGCAGTGGTTGAGCGCCCTGAGATGGTTAGTAGGAGTGGGGTGATGATCTCATTCCTCAGGTCTTTGTAGAGAGTACAAGACAGGAGGACGTGTGCTACCGTCTCCACAGGGGCAAAGACGTTTCTCAGGCAGGATCTTTTGGAATCGACCCTCAAGTACCGCAGATGGCAAAGCATCCATTCTTGCAAGTGTAAACGCACGTCTGTATTTTGGGATAATAAGTTTGTGCAGATATGGGGCCAGAGAATCAAAATGGAAAGGCGGAAAATGAACATACCAAAGGCAGACTTTCCTTATAGTGGTCGGGTTGTTCTGATGCTCGATATCTTTTAGACAGTTGACCAATTAGACTGTTTGCTTTAGTAGGGTCCATAGTGAGTAGGTGTTGTGGATAGGCCACAAGAGTGAAGTTTTTGATAGAGGGTTTTAAGCCAGGAGCTTTTATGGGAGTCTTGAAGTACTAAGGATGGTAAACTGGGAGGGTTTGAGTTTAGGTGGAGCCAGAAGTTAAGCGTTCTTTGCCAAGTCCGTACTTCTGCTGAAGGGAGACTTGCCTCTAGTCGCAATGATGTGTTTGGGATGCATGGTGGTACAGAAAAAAATCTGCCTTAGAAACTTTGATTGAACAGCTTCCAAAGTGCTAAGGTGGTTGCCAGTCCAAATCTGAGCCCTGTATAGTAGATGTGTTGGGGTTTAGCTTGGAAGACTTCTAGGGCTGATGGTAACGGGCAGCAGAGAATTAAGGTACAGCAAGAATAATATCCACATTGTAATATCACACCCAAACTGACTGTGAGGATCCAGAACCAAGGTGACCAGGAATTCCAAAGAGTTTGGAGTAAATTTATTGAGTATTTGAAAGATCTTTGTAAGAATGTGAAGACACTAGCAGGATTGATATGAATCCTGCAACATAACGTAAAATAGTATCTGACCATGGATAATAAAAGGACTTGAAATATATGAAGGACAGAAACTGGCAGCTGAAATGCTCATATAATTTATTAGGAAACGAGAAACCAGTTGAAGGGAGGGAGGGAAGTCACGAGCTCAGTGGAGCAAATGCGATTGATTTGTTATTGTAATATTGTTATATTATATGTGTTTTGTTTTGTTTTTATTAAAGAAAATAATAAAAATTATATTTTTAAAAAGGACTAATATCCACATTGGACAACAGTATGGATGATCCCCAAGAGCTAGCAATTGGGCTATTGGGAACTCAAGGAGCTTCACATCAGAGGGGAGAATAGATGGTTCTCTCTGCTTTAAGTGCAACGCTCTAGCCACTGTTTCAACAATTTCCAAACATTTGAGTTCCCTGGAAATCGATCAGAGGCTTATCCATGAGAAGCTCACTGATTATTTATATTGAACTGTAGTTTTCTGTGGTACCTTTTGCATTTTAAGCATTTGTCTTTTTGATAACGAAGATTTTTGCAAGTTAAGAAAACACACACATATTGCTCTCTTCACATCACAACCACCTTGTGGAGATAGCCATGGACAGATCTGTCAATTCTAGTTCTCTTGGTTTCTCACTTTTCCAAACTTAAATTCTGTTCTCCACATTTCTGCAGCAATTCGCTTTTTTATTTTTAAAAAAAAAATATTCTCATGAATATTTGTCAGTGCGAATTTCTCCTAACAACATTTTTTTTGCACGCCTTCTTGATTAATGGAGACATTTTTGAAAGCAATTTCCCCTAATAAGGATGTCTTTCCCCATGCAAACCATCAGCAGCCATCATTCAGGCTAGCCATTACAGTGGAACCTCAGTTTTCGAACGTAATCCGTTCCGGAAGACCGTTCGACTTCCAAAAAGTTCGAAAACTGTTGGCGAATTCAATTGAGAAAATTGAGAAATGCACTTCGGAAGCCGTTTGACTTCTGAGGCACATTCAAAAACGGAAGCATTTACTTCCGGGTTTTGGCATTTGGGTTCTGAAACATTCTGAATTGAGACGTTCGAGAACCGAGGTTCCACCATACAAAGATGCGAGACATGCAAAACTCAGCTGAAGCAGCCCTGCTTATTCTCTACGCGCTTGCTTCTGCTTTTAGCAATTCAGCTTCAAAGTTCTCTGGACCTGTTTAGTTCTTCCCAGCTGTGATATCTCCTTGTGCAATGGATTCCAAATTCTGAGAGGATTTAAAACCACAACAACAACGAACCTGCCAGGATGATGTTTCGTTACTATGCAAAAGTTTGGTTTTATGGTCTGGGACAGGGACGGGGAAGCAGCTAGAGTCTGTCACACAGCTGCTGTCAAAACGCCTCCATGTTCAACTCTCCTCAGTTGAGAAACTAATGGCGCAGTCTTAAATTGCTCCATGCGGCAGGGTCTGTTGCCTGCAGTGGCAACAAAATGGCAGTGCCACTGCAGTCACTGTGAGGTGTAACCCGCTCCATAGAGGGATGGGTGAGTCATATTATAAGCCTACCTTGTTCTTGTTTTCTGGAAGAATGTGAAAAGTACAACAGCCATCCTTTAAAATTCACACCTCTTCGAATTTTGCAATGCAGTTCTCCAAGCAACCAATGTTTACAAAAATGCATTAGGCTTGCTGAAACTGTACATAAAATGCATACACTCATGAAAATAACATATGGAAATCGTGGGGAATTGCTATGAAAAATTTGTATATCAGGCAAAACTACCTATGACCATGTATATTTGGAGAAAGCTACCCTAGACAGCATCTTAAAAAGCAGAGACATCGCCTTGCCGACAAAGGTCCGTATAGTTCAAGCTATGGTTTTCCCAGTAGTGTTGTATGGAAGTGAGAGCTGGACCATAAAGAATTGACGCTTTTGAATTCTGGTGCTGGAGGAGACTCTTGAGAGTCCCATGGACTGCAAGAAAATCAAACC